CGTTTCTTGATTCGCCAAGAATTCACAGAATTGGGCTTCTGAAGGTCATGGGAGTGTTCGCTCGCATCTGGGAATTTCCCCCTTTCGCCAAGATAAGAGGAATTCTCGGGAAGATCTCTCAATGTCTGCTTTGCCCGAAGTTGAAGATTGGGGAGAGAAGCGAAGGTGGGTGTATAAACCCTAGACGCGGGAAGGAGTAGTGGAGCTCACGTCATGTAGATCGACGCGAAGAAGAAGAAGATGAAAAGAAGAAGAACAAGAAGAGAGAGAGAGAGAGAGCGGCAGGTGAGTGGAAGCTGGACAGCAACATGGGTCCGACACCGACTGTCTTAATTTTTTTTTTTTTCCATTTCTTAGACATCCTAGTACTTTTAAAACAAAAGCAACGATATTCCTTCATTTCTTTGTCCTGTTTCGGATCTCCCCCACGTCAATTGAATCAAGACACGATCTCCGTAATCTTATTATTCGTATGATTTCGAATGTACGTACGAAGAAAAGAATCTGATGTGTAATCTTCGATTCCACGACGAACGGCGTAGTGCATAAGATTTGTGAACTCCACGGCGAAAATGTGTATCCGGGCACGGCATAGTTGCGCGGGCCGTGCTCAGAAATACATTTCAAACGAGATTTGCTTTTTGACCCATCATGATCAGGACACAAGATGGGTCGATGCTGAAATGTAAAAATCGATGGATGGATTTATGATATATTGGGTCTTATAGCTGTCTGCAAGATAAGAAAGAGTTGGGTCGCTTTCAAGAATCTCGCATCATTCATCGGTCAGATTCAACCTGATTGGAAATCCATGGAATTGCGGCATTTGCCAACTCCAAGATGGGGCCCCCCTTGAGCCTCCGGACAGTTAGCGCATGGCTGTCTGTTTTGTATTTTTAAACCTTAATCAAACCGAATAATCAAATGAACACAAGCCTGAATTCACACTCTTCCTACTCGCTTTCCTTGCCGGTGGAAGAAAAAAAGAGAGACAATTCATTCACGGTCAGATAGGAATGCATTCCATTCTTTAAATTACTTGGAAAGTTTTAGTTTTTCCATCCTCAATTTGCCGCTTCATGAGGGGGTAAACACCAGGTGCCGCTCGAAAACTGCCTGTGGGACAGAAAACGATAGATAAATGGCAAGTAGGACTTGTTAACATGTGCACTGCTGGTGCACTTGCCTCATTTCATGGGCCCTTTGGCCTTCAGGTCTTTATCTGAGAGCTGAGTCCACCCCATCTTTTTGTCCTAGAACAGCAGTGTTTTGCGGGCCTGCGGTGAAGTAGAATGGTCACGGCATCTGCACACAAAGAGATGAATGGAGCAATGAAAGGCCTGAGCTGCATGTTTGTTTGCTTCGTCCAGGAGGGACAGCACATGCAAGGGGGATCCTACAGTTCAGACGGGACATGACCAATTAGGCACAGTAGATTGTACTGCTAAAACTCAAACTCTTTCTTGTTGAGATCATTGGGTGAATTAGACTCGAGTCGAGTATTTATTCCGTGTTTCCTGGGGAAACCTAAAAATCGAGTCTTGCTCGGATGATGCATGAACTGTCATTCATAAGGAATATTTGCTGCTCCCACAAATGCTTTGCAAATCGATTCGGCAAGGCTGAGAGACCTGCAGGTAGATGTTCAAACGTCAGATGAATTCATGTCCGACAGGCAAAATGAAACAGTCAGCCATACAATGAAGTGAAAGTCTGGCTATGAAGTTCAAGCACAAAATCAACATTCATAAACCGGAATCACACCTTAATACTTTATAGGACTAAAACGAACATTCTTCTGTCGGTTATGCAAGCAACATTATGGAGAGGATGATGAACCGACACTATGCTGAATTAGTTCTATTTCATGCCCTTCTTGTAGCCTTTCTTCTTCTGCTTCTTCTTCCTTTTCTTTCCTCTGGCCCTACTATTTTGCGATGGGGGCTCTTCAATCATGCATACCAAAGGCTTAACATCCTCCACCTTCCTCACTGGCTTAAAAACTTCAGTGATCTGAGGGTTCAACAAGTCCTCGGAGCAGCTTAAAGTGATGCCCTTACTTGCTGCTTCATCCCAAAGCTCTCTGGCCTTACAAAATTCGCCTCCTCGACAAAGCTTTGGTACGAGAACATCATATACAGGCCCATATCTGCCCAACGAACTGCTTTTCATTCGCTCGAACAATTCGAGAGCATGATTCACTCTCTCGACCCCACAAAGAATGCCAATGAGATCATAATAAAACTTATGCTCTGGCACCAACCCTTGCTCAATCATTTCATCCACTATCTTGTTACCCTTGCCGAATCTTCTGCTCAGATATAGTACTCTAGCAACAAGATAATAACTCACCCAATCTGGAGAACACCCCGCCTTCTTCATTTGGTCAAGAATTTGACATGATTCCTTGACCCTCCTAGCCCTACCCAAACATGAAAGCAAAATATTGTAACTAATTGAATTAGGAACGATTGTATAGGTTCTCATTTCCATCATCACATTCAAAGCTTCTGGAACGAGACCTGAAGGATGACGCTTAAGATTTCGCTCACACAAGCATCTGAGGAAGGCGTTAAAGCAGAACAAATCCGGCATAAACCCAGCAGATTTCATCTCCTTGATAATTCTCCTTGCTTGCTTAACATCCTCCTTCACAGACCACCCGTACAGAAGACACCTGTAGATACACGGCTCGATGCCTTCCAATTTACTCTTGTGATGCTGAACTACCCCCTCAGCCATCTTGGCATGTCCTTTGGAACAAAGGGCATTGACGATAGCCATCACTGTTGCACTGTCCTGGGGACACTTGAATTTCTCCAGGTTCTTGAAGAGGCCCAATGCCTCACCTTCTCTCCCCAAGTTGACCAATTTTTCCGCTACCACGCTATAAGTCTGTTTATCCATCACCCGACCTTCTTTCCCGAGATCCGAAATCAGTATATCCATTGCCGTGTGATCCTTCTTCTCCGCAAACATCTCAATTGCATAGTTAAAATCCTTATCCTCAATACCAGAGCCCAGATTCTTCCTAGCCCAAGAGAAGAATCTCAACAACCTCCTGGTGGGTGCTTCATACTTGCAACGACCGATCACTTGGGTCACGAGGGACGACGTTAAACGACCTCCGAACTGATCAAGACTCAATTCCAGGTCATCTAAGCTACCAATCGGGGTCGAAACTGCGTCGCACAGATCCTGTAGCTCGGGCAGCGTCAGCGGGGCCAACCGCGTGGAGCACAAACGCCTATGGCGTGGTCTGCAATGCCGGGCAGTGCAGAATTGGCCGAGGAAGTCTTTCCATCTTGACGGGGTTCCTCTCGAGAATATCATCGAACAAGTGGTGTGCGTTTGGCGGGTACTAAAGTTTCACCCGCGAATGATCCAAGCTTCGATAATTATCTCCATTGCGAGTTCTAATCACACAAGGACAGTGTCTCCCTCCCGATGACAACACATTCTGAACACCTTTTCCCGAAACAAACGCAATAGATGTGGATTCGAAAGAGCTAGATGCAAAAAAACATAGAGAGAGAGAGAGATTAGATGTGGAGTTGGGTTGTTCTTTGGCTCCCTCCACATTATTGTTTTGCTGAAAGCCGCAATGGTCGTATTAAAGCGGGGTAGATTTAGGATTAAAGTGAAAGTTAAATGACTCTTTAGGTAAAAAAAAAATTAAGTCAAATTGGGATCGTATTTAAAATTTGGGATTTTTTAGGTAATTAGGCCTAAGAACTTTTAGAAGCGGCTTTGACCGATTTGGTTTCCGTGTAAAAACGGTTTTGTAACAATTTTAAGGTCGATTCTCAAGTAGAACCGGTTTTGATCTGGTCCAAAATCGAACCCTTAGAACTTTGGTAAAAAATAATGAGATTGAGCGTTTCAACAGAAACAAGTAATCATGGTATCCGAGAACTTTGCCAAAAAAAATGTTTATGATGGAGCAATTAAACTAAAAAAATATTGAAAAATAAAAAGTAGATCGGTTCTCGAGTTGACCTTGGAATTTTTGTTTTGGCTCTTGACCGGTTTGAAAGTTGAGCGGTTCCAAAATTCGCTAACCGACTCTGACAATGTGGGTTCCAAGTTTTTAATTTGACACCTATCCAATTCGAAACCAAGCACCCCGAATTCTATTTTTTCTATTGACACAACGGTGCATCATTTTACCAATATTTTAAATAAAGAAGAAAAGAAAAAAAAACGAAACCATCTATTTAGGAAAAATGAAACATATGATTATTGAACTATAACCCAATTTGCAATGCGGTTTCCAAACTTTAGCTCAATGTGTAATGTCGTCCCTGAACCTTTTTGTACATACTTAAACTAGTCCTCAAACTATGTCAAAATGTTTAATATCGTCCGTGAACTTAAATTAATGGAACGATAACATTGGTTAATTTCATATAGTTTAAGGATTAATTTGAGCATTTATCAAAAAGTTCGGAGATCATATTGAATAAATTAAAAATTCATGGGTGACACTATATTTGGAGCTAAAGTATATGAAACACGTTGAATAAATTAAAAGCGTACGTTAGGTCAAATTTAAGGATCTCGTCGTTATCCCATTTATTTCTGGACATTCACAATCGCGGTGGCACCAACCGTAAATAACGAGGGAACAGCAAAAATCCAATTTTTATGGTCCCTGAAAAGCCTCTCCTCCTCCTCCTCCTCCTCCTCCTCCCTCCTTCCCTCTCCGATCGATCGGCTCTTCCGGCGAAATTCTCCGGCGGCGATCTTCCCGAAACCCTCCGATTCATCCCACGGTGCGATTCGATCTCCTCTTCTCCTGACACGCATTTCATCGAATGTTCACTTCCGGACGTGTGTGCTGAGTCCGATCATCTGGTCCCGACATTAGGCGTAGGAATTTCTGTTCTGTGTTTTTGTGTTTCGATTCCTTGCGGATCGGGTAGGTGATCTGATTGGTCGGCGAGTCCGCATCTGGGCCGTGTTTGATCAGAGATTTCCTTCTTTTGAGAGGTTGAGCTTGTTCATTGCGTCGCTGATTAATTTGGGGTTGGTTTTGTCCGTCGATTGGTGAAGGGTCTGGTTAGAGGGGGGCGGCGCGATGAGCCAGGTGTTCGAGGGGTACGAGCGGCAGTACTGCGAGGTGTCCGCCAATCTGTCGCGGAAATGCACGGCAGCCGCCGCTCTCAACGGAGGTAAATATGATTCGACGTTTCGAAACGCCTTTTCTTGATTCGATAGATCGGGTGAAAACGGAGTGGTGGAATGTTTAGAATCTCTGGAGCCCATTATTGTTTCCGATGATCCCGAGAAATGCATTGTAAGAAAGTCTTGGTTATTAGTTCGTAGGTGGGCATTATGGAAATGGAAGTAAAAACATTTGGAAGATTGTCTTTACCATTTCGTTATGGTTTATGCCAAACCCCAGATCATGGTTTTGCGTCACGATATCTGTTAATTTGTTCTCTGCTTGATCGACCGTGCGATTAGTCTTTTCACGGTTAACGAATTCCGTTGACGGTTGAGGAAGTTGGTTATGTAGAGGCTGGCCGAGTGTCTGAAGATGTAACTGGAAACTGGGTGATTAACTAGGAAATTGACTTTTGTTTGTTTGCAACCTGATTGTGGTGGGTTGTTTGTTCCTTATGAATATGCAGAGCAGAGGAAGCAGAAGCTTTCTGAAATTAAAGCTGGCTTGGATGATGCCGAAGCCCTGGTATACGAGGATAATTCTATCGTTCCGTATGCTCCTTTCTTTTTTTTCCCGTGAATTGTTACTTATGTTTGACTATTTGTGATCCTTATAGATTCGGAAAATGGACCTTGAGGCACGGAGTCTGCAGCCAAGCGTCAAAGCAACGCTTCTTGCCAAGTTAAGGGAATATAAAACTGATCTGAACAATTTGAAGGCCGATGTAAAACGACTTACATCTCCAAATGCTAATCTGGCTGCCAGAGACGAGTTACTGGAGTCGGGCATGGCAGATGCAATGATGGTCTCTCTCTCTCTCTCTCTCTCTCTCTCTCTCTCTCTCTCTCTCTCTGTGACATATTTCTTTGCATTTGCTGCTTACCTTGTTCGGTTCGTTGTGGGTGATTTCTTGACATTGCTAGGTTTCTGCTGATCAAAAAGGGAGACTTTTGATGTCAACAGAAAGATTAAATCACTCAACTGACAGAATTAAAGAAAGTAGAAGGACAATGCTTGAAACAGAGGAACTCGGTGTCTCAATTCTTCAAGATCTGCATCAACAACGCCAATCCCTTCTGCATGCTCATAACACTGTACGTCATTTGCCATGATCACTCTTTATTTGGCTCAACGCGGTTTTCCAGTTTCGTGTCGATCTAAGGACTTGGGAGATAGAAAGTACAAGAAATGTCTGTCCCAAGTTGCATAGTTCATGTATAAGGACATTGTCATCCTTTTTTTTTCCCAAGTAATATAATACGGACTTCGGGTTTGTTGCTGCATGCGGATCCTCGGTCACTTTGTCCGGACCAATAGGTTTCCCTTCAGGGCGTGTCAAATTGTTACAATTCGTTGGTATAGGAGGACATTTCTTGATGTTAGTTCTTTGGTTTACAGCTTCATGGAGTGGATGACAATATCGGCAAGAGTAAAAAGATTTTGACTGCCATGTCGAGAAGGATGAGCAAGAACAAGTGGATCATTGGCTCCATCATCGCAGCCCTAGTCGCCGCCATCATTCTGATCCTTTATTTCAAGCTGCGTTGATGTCATCGCATGGCTTAGACGCATCATTATCCGCTCAATTGTTGATGGCTTTTCCATGGTGTGAATGTACGCTATACTTATTGCAAATTTTTTGTCTTCTTAGAGCATGACGATGTATGTTTTGCTGAGCTGAGTCTTTCTTTGAGCGATTTTGCTGAGCTGAGTCTTTCTTTGAGCGATCATCACCATCTTGACGACCTTTTACTTACCTAAAAGTGCAAATAGTAACGAAGTTTCTGTCAGTTTATCCATACTGCAGAGTCTACTTATCCTTGCCTAAGGTTTTTGCTCATTATCCATCGGACTACTCTCGGATATGTTATTTTTGCTATACCCTACTTTCGAGTTTGTCCATACACACTCCATAGCACAAGATTTGCGGCTCGAGTGCTTAATGTTTAGGGATATCGAACAAGGAAAATTCACTCATGGAAATATACTTATGTGAATACAATTTGATGGATCAAGGAAAGGTAAAACACTTCTGATGGGCTCTTCATAGGTCAATTTGCGGCAAATTACGACATCCCACAGGCAACAACCAGGCGGACATTGTTCCCAAATTGGCTCCACTGATGCGACACTCTTTATGTGAACAACATTACTGCGCGCAAGCAGTGAACCAAACTTTAACGTATCTGTTCCAACAAACTACGAAAAGATCAAATGGGAAACCAATATGATGCGGCACCATTTGTTTGATGAATAGTTTGGCCAATGACGAAGCTGCCACGGTGCATAGTTCACGCCTGGATTGGAAGAGGAACAGCAGTAAGCTGCTTTTGTGCAATCTGCATCACCTTTCGCGTGCCGAAATCTGATGTTGGCACCGAAAAACACCGAGCTGATGCTACGTATGATCTTGGCCTAATCGAGAAGAGAAGCAAACAACTCAGCTTTTGTATCCTTATGGGTTCTGCAGATAAAAATCACCTTTATGTCAAGAAACTTCACCATCCGGAGTAGAACCCCTCGAAGCGAGATCCTCATCCTCTGCTTCATCCTCATCATAATCAGCAGACTCAGGTTGGCCATTTAGATCCACATTTACACCATTTACTTTCCTCACAAATTGGCCCCGCACTCGGGGCCTCCTTTCAGCAAGTCGTTTCCTGTTAACATACCTAATCTTCTTGTCAAAGCACCGCTCTTTCCTTTTCTGCCTAAACTTGATTAGGGCTGCCTCTCGCCTATCTACTTTATTCGTGTTTGCTTCAGAAATAGATGAACTTCCAAAGGATGGCCAGGAATGAGGTGAAGACATCTGACCTTGTTGTAAGCATAAGCCAACTGGGTAATAGGGAAACGACGCCATCCCATTTACATGGGGGGGACAGTGAGGAAGATGACTGTACCGGGTTAACATGGCTGAAGTAGCATGGTTTTGCAAGTCATGCAGATTATTCTGGTACACTTGTACTGATGAATGCACCGTAACTGGATTAACAACTCCGGGCACATAGTATGGATATGTGCTCTGCGCAGCCAATCCTGGAAGGTCAACATGAGGCTCATTCATCGCATGCATAGGCATCTGAGGCACCCGTTCTTCCATGAAGTTCCTTTGTTGAGGAAAGTCAGCTGACCCTGGCGGTGTACAGGACCGTTCCAAAGACAGAGAATCTGGAACACTACTCCCACTTGGAAAGTCATCTCCTAGGGAAGATTTCTCCCAGGCCTCTCCATTTTCATGTGCTTGAGGATCATAAACCGCCTGCACATCCCCTGCTTGATCCTTCTCTTCCATCCGATAAGCTACAGAAGCACAACCATCAACTTGTCCAGCTGTGGAAGGAGTATTCTTGACAATTGTCGATTTAACGTATGTAAAGAAGGCTGAGGACTCTCCAATTTTTAGTTCACTCTTCTTAGGACCAGAGGAACATTGTCCTGCACAACAACAAATTTCAGGATAATGAACATAGTAATAGTGACAGTAATAGTAATAGACAAAGAGAGCATTAATTCTTCATTCTACTGATGAGGATATATCATCAAGAAAGCATAAAACATGCTGCAAAAGATGCGATGCACATGACAGCACTCAGGGCGACTCTATGTATGCTACAACAGACAATATAATACAAATTGAAGCATGCTCACCAGTTCGACGATCACTGATTCCTGGCACATCAGGGAGACAATTTACTGCACCATTAAGTGGGGGCTCAGCAACAGCGGCAGACTGGCAAATATGAATCCAGAAATATTATAATTGTGAACTAGTATATCACAAGTTTTGGGATATAAGGAGTGAATTTATAAGTTGTCCATAATTTAGCAGAATGAAAAGATTAATCAATTTTTTCATAGATTTTGCCATCCTGACAATCTTATTGAGACTAACCAAATTTTAGATGATAGAATAGATCCTTCAGAGATCCCACTTCCTCATTAGTTTTGTCCTGTTCCAGTCCATGTATGTACTAACTCAATAGTTTCTTCATTTCAGCCAGCTGTCGCATCCCTTAGCCAACTGCCTCTTTGAATTAATTAGATGAAAAAACCTTATTTCAAATTTCTCAAGTCCTGATATTATCAGGCACACGGAATGCCCATAGCTCCATGGAAAAGAGCAGTAGAAAATTTTACCATAATCATGATCTATTCCTGCAAGTGGAACAACGAACCTCAACACTCAATGTAATACTCACCTCGTCTTCATGAGTTGCAGACAGCCCAATCTCGGGATTGGCACTCTTCCGGGACTTATCATCAGTATCATCAGAAAGCAAAGTAGTACTATTCGTGTTAGCATCACTAGGGTCGGAACCAATCAGATCAAAGTCGTAGCTCAAAATGTTCTTCTCAACCAGTCCGAGCTGCCAAAAAGTAAATGTGAAGTAAAACATTATCAACCGCTGCTTTGCAGATTCCCAAGCTCACTACAATTGTAATAGGAAAATTCCGATACAAAAGCACTCACTAAAATAGCAAACAACTTCTGACCAAAAAAAAAAAATAGCAAACAACTAGACAATTGGATAGACACTAAAAAGTGTCCCGAAGGATCAGGGGCACAATACCATTCGAATATGTAAAGACCATGCAAAGTGTAATATGTTACTCAAATTATCAGGTACTGAAGCAAGAAAACTTCATTCAAAAACCAGTCTCCAGTAGCTTAGATCATGGTCTAAACTAGCTCATACAAACTTCAAACTTATGCATCTGAACAATGTAGTTGGTTTGATTAATTCACCACGGTACTTCCACTAAAAAAATATCAAATAATACTTTGTCATAAGTATGAAAAGGAAAATAGCATGGTCTCACAAAACTGACCATGCGTCGCCTTCTCCACATGTGTGTCCACAAGTTTAACAACTCATTGGTGCGCAATGGCTTCACAAGATAGTCCGCTGCTCCCAATCTCAAGCATTTGACAACAATTGAGACCTCATCCTGTGCTGACATCACTTATCAAAGCCAAAAGGAAAGAATAGAATAATCAGTATTGCTAGTATTGGATCTACCCCTGTCATAAGTTTGGAAGCAACTAGCGCATATATTTTATCCAGGGACTCTTCCTCAAAAAAGCCCTAATCCCCTCTGAAGAATACTTATAACATCATCTTGACAATCAAGAGTATTAGCCATGTCTGTTTGTTCAGAAAGAACCTACATAATGACAGCATCGGATGCATGAAAAACCATCCACCAGTGCTGGTGGGAACAACTAGTTTCCAAATGATTCCGATATAAAAATGCATTTGATGAAGGTTAACTAAAACTAGATGTTTCTATTTGCTTAAACTTAGGAAGATGAATAGGGAAGTGTTTCAACCAAGTAACATTGGAAGCTAACGGACGATGATGAACTTACTGATGACGGGAATCCGCCTCAATTCTTTATCTCTCGTAATATATTTTAACATCTTCATGCCTTTGTTCATGGGCATGTCAACTTCAGCTAGAATAATGTCTATATCAGGCCCTTCAGCATTTAAAGCATCAATGACCTGTCTAGCGGATCTTACAGAAGTCACTGCAAAACAAATGCAAACAAAAATGGGCCTCAATTTTAAATAAAGGATCTACCAAAAGCCTAGTATAGCACATATTTAGAAACTCGCCTACTTTAACAATGAAAAAGCTAGTATGTTATCAACCGAGAGAGAGAGAGAGAGAGAGAGAGAGAGAGAGGTGACAAATATCTCTTCCCCTTCAAAAGTACAACCAGCACCCCATTCCAAGTACAACAGAGTGGAAATGAAATGAAGTTTAATCAAAGAAGATATCAGTTGAAGTTAAGCAATACAGCATTAAACAGAAGATTACACTTCCTATTAATGTTCTCTAGCTTTTTCCGTTTGACAACAGTCAAGCAAATTAAATAGTGACCAAGCATTTGTACATCGAATAGTGGAGAAAACCACTCTTGCTATTTAAATAACTATAAGCTATTGCTTTTCATACTCTCACAAATCAATTTTAGACATCGAACTTGTAGTTTCTCAAGTTGGAAGTTCCTCTCATATTCCCTGACAACAAGACCGGGCATCGCTACCATTTCATTCTCCATAAGCAGTAGTACACTCCAAATTTAAGCTTTCTGAGTGGTCTCTATCCTGGTTCATTCAAACTTGGCAAATTTGGTAGACTTGATGTTTTTCCCTATGCATCTTAGCACAATTTAGACATATTCTGCACTCAATATTAGATAAGCATTGTTGCGCGAGGTAGGGGTTTGGGAGAACCCGCGCCGGTTAAGAATTCTCCTCGAATTAGTTCACGCCCGAGCAGTACAAAATATGAGAATGAACAAGCACTGAATTTCCAAAATACCTTGTTACCAGAATCTCTCAAACCACTTCTCCGTGAAGAAATAAAAAAGTTTAACATACAGCAAGCAATCACACGTGTTGAGCATTTCACATCAACCAAGGGACCAAAAATTACGCCCGTAACGAGGGCACCACAGCTAATGCAAAAATAAAAATGCTATTAAAAATGGCAAATAACAAAATAACAGTTATACCCTGATAAGCGCATTTCAAAAGAAGCGTAAGAACCTCTTCCGAACTCTTCGTGTCGTTATCGCACAGCAAGATCCTCACTTTGCTCCTATCGATGAATCCTTCCCCACCACTCTTATTAGCATTATTATTCCCAACACTTCCCCCAGCGCCGCCGCCGCAGCCGCCATCGCCAATCTCTTTGTTCAAATTCAATTCCAAACAATCCATAGCTTCAACAAAGAGGCTCTCTCGCGCGCTAACCCCAAAAAACCGCTTTCTCGTTTCACTATCTTTTCAGACGACAAAAAAAGAAAGGCGGCGAAAACCTCGGGCGATGCTAAAGAACTTCCATGGAAACTCTCCTCTTCACAGCCCCAACCAAAGCCAAACTTAGGGTTCCAGTTCCTGATACTCTCGTTCGCATGACATCATCTCCCACCAGTCTATTCACTGGAAATCCCTCGTCAAACACGCTAACATCCAACACCTACCGTCAGTTCACGCACACCAGCAACCAAAAAGCAAACAAGAAAAAAGAGAGAATCCACCGCAACGCCGGGCAAAAGCAGCTCCGAACAGCTCAACAGCGGTTCGCGAGCGCGCGTCGCGAAACGAGGTCGGAAGCTCCGGAGGAGGAACCTCCGAGCCAAAACTCGGCGGCGGCGGCTCCTCAATCCGGAGCCCGGGAGATCGAAGATCGCGGCGGCGGCGGATCGACGATCGCCGGAGGAGCCCCCGGCGCAAGTTAGCGCGGCGGAGAGAGCTTTTGGGCTTTTTCCCCCGGCACGCGACGAACGGAGAGAGAGAGAGAGAAAACTATCTTGGGCACATATCTCTCAAAAAGAGCAAAAGCGCGTGCACTCGTTGAATAAGAGAAAAAAATGGCTACGGGCGGAGGCTAAAGTGCGCCGGGGGTCGGGAGGCGACGAGGGCCGTCGGATCGCTGCCGGTGGGGCGACGGAGCGGAGGGCGGGGATCGAGTCTAAGGGGGGTGGGCGCAGTACGCACGGTCGGGTAAGATAGAAGGGCGGGTGACGTGGAGGGTGGGGGTGGATATTTCGGTAGAGATGAGGAAGCGGCCACGTCACCCGCTGCTGAGATCTCTCTGTACTTGAGGAAACCAATTGCGACCCTTCTGTTTTTCTTTTTCTTTTTTCGTTTTTTCAATTAAAAACAAATAATTAAATTTTTTTGGTCGGTCAAATAATTAAATAAAAAAAATAAAAAATCACCAAAAACCTTAAATTATATATACTATGATACATTCATCCTAAACTTTTTTCTGTGACACAAAAAATCACAAACTTGTATCTGTGTAATACATTTAGCCTCCGTAAAAAATCTGTCAATAAGAACCATTAAAAATCTGCCTACACAACGTTGTTATGATTAAAAGATCATCAAATGAGATTTTGACGGAAGGTGAAGAGTCATATAGGTACAAGTTCTGAGCTTTTTATGTCATAAAAAAGTTTAGGATAAATTTGTCGTAGATGGTATAGTTTAGATTTTTTATGTCACGAAAAATATCAGGATAAATATGCGACGGTCGGCATAATTTTGGATTTTTTCTTTTCTTGTTTTTTTTTCATTTTTTTAAATTTAATTATAGGGAGAGAGAGAGAAAATATTATTGGGTTTGTGTCTTTGTCAATATAAATTTTTTAAAAAAGAAATAGCCACGTCACGTCCGAAAATGGGCAAATTGGAGATAAGTAAAAAAATGGGGGGAGCGAACAATCAGTCGCTGTCGGGAACTGGAAAGTTCGCGGGGCAACGAATCACGTGATGCCACGTGGCGCCTCCGGGGGCTTGCGCTTTTCGGTATACGTACATCTCACGAGCGCTGGTTCAGCACATGGAGTAACGAGAGCCACATGAGCTGAGCTTGGGAGGGGGATTAGGCATATGCTATTATCGTTACATTGGAAATTACGACGCATTTGGCCCGAAAATCACATGCATCGTGCATTGTCGGGGCGAAGAGAACGGGAGTAGCACATTGCCCCTTGATCCCCCCGTTCGATCTTTGCGTAGTACCACACTGATCGATCCGATCGAGCGGATGAATCGTTCGGAACGATAAGAAGATCAAAGAAAAGGCAAAAAAAGGATATTACTCGCGTCTACATTCTACAGAGGAAGCGACCCATCAGAAGCTACATCATGAAACCGTTTCGAAACGGTGCTAACGAATGTTAGATGAAGGAGTGGTTTGCAACGCCTTGTGTCTCTAGGGCGAGAATATGGACAACACCTCCATCTTCTCTTAGGAAGGAAACAGGCCACCTCAAGAGCAGAATTTGGGCTGTCCCCCGCCCAAACAAGGGACTACAGAAGCAGATGATGGCACAAGAGTTTCCCATTTACGCAGGTTAACAAGCCATTCCCCACCAGCTTTCAACCAGAATAGAGACGCCCAGAGCGAGAGAGCACTGACCATGGGAACGAGCAGGTTCACACAGTAACTTGCAATGGACACATGAAAGGCAATGAGTTGCATCGGGGGGCTTGATCAATAATGTTCGACATGAGTTCAAAAGGCGAGTCGAGTTCATGGACCCTCGCATCTGTCTGTGCCCATTAGACAAAATCTAGAATAACCAGTGATCTTTAAGGGAAAATGTCTCTAGTGTCCAGTTAAAGAGCTATACAAACATTTCATTCGAATTCATTCGGATATTTCAACATCACCCTACCATTTGACATTCGGCAAGGAATTAGTCCAACGACAGAAGCTAGGATTAGTCTGATCTGTACACTTTGGGAAGCAGACAAGCCCCTGCTTATAAGGTTAAACATTTGTCTATCAGTATAGATATCAGTTCGAATAAACAAACAACTTCTTTGCCACTAGCCGGAAGCCAGCACTCTGTTGAAAGTCGTAGGGATCCAAAGAGAAGCAAAGCATCCACAAACGTTCCAGGATTAAACAAGGGCTCAATCTCAGCAGCATCACACTGACTAAAAAACAAGTCTTTCTGAACTGCCAGAAGATAAATTTAGTCAAGGTGTGGAGAAATCTGGGTCAAGCTATAATGGACTTTCCTATCAAAAAGGTAACGCATTTCACAGCTTTTATCGCAAGTGACCAAAACGACTTGCTCAAATTCTACATGAACCCCTACATGATGAAGCAGGCATTAAAACATTCAACATGATATCTTTTTTGTGATTTGTGGGTTTCTTTTTCTTTTTTTTTCGGTTCTGTGTGTGGCCCGTGAGCAGGCATTTGATTGGGTTCCTGGTGTTTCTGGGATTGCCGGTGGCCAATTTTGTGGACGTGCCTCAGGTTGCGGATCTTCATGGCCTATTCTCAAGGTGTGTTTTCTATTTTTCACTCTTATACCAGTGTGCAGTTACGATGTTGTGTCTTGTAATTATACATTTTACAGAGTCTTGATTTATCGATGTTTGTTTTCAGCGCAACTCTTCCCAACTCGTCGATATCGAATGGAACACAATTTTTCTGGGAGCGGGAATCAAAACCATACAAATATATAGTAAGTAAGGGTGATGAGAGGGAAAAGAGTAAATCTGTCAGTAGCAGCTGATCTGTGTCGATTATCATAGCTCTATTTCACTGTCTCAAGTGTTTTCTAAGATGAGGCTTGTAGGTGCAAGTTACAAGTCTCAGAGAGCTTGATAAAATTGCTTATTTGGTGAAGATGTTTGAATTTCCCTGTTTGGATAAAATCCTCCATAACCAGCTTAAAATTGTCCGATTTCAGTCACAATTGCTTGAATTTTTCGCACTTGCCTACCTGTTTATTGGCAGAACGGCGCTTTTAGTATGTACAAGTCCATGGAGCATTGTGATGTTTATGGCTTGTTACCATCCCGAGCAATGGGCAATTTTTCATTAGCTGACCTTTCTTGCAGCCGGCATTCGAAATTGGCATTTAAAGCCTTCATCTTCTTCTGGTGCCATATCAAAACAGCAGGTGCCGCAGATGAATAACTCGAGTTGGTGACACTAAGTACAGGCACTTCAAATTAAATTCAGAAGATTTGTTTCTTAGGAATATACGAGGGTTGTGCTCGCCTTTTCCAATGCTGTTAAATTTCAGGAGCAGTAGCCTGACGCTTGAGACAGTCTTGCTCAAACAGCAAGTGCAAACCTAAGATGGATAGCCAGGGACATCTGTGTGATCAGATAGCATGATGGGTCAAAGTATTAACAGAAATGTCCTTTCTTTTCCAATAGAAATTAAAGAATTAGTCCATTGGAAATGCTCTCTTTCTTGGTAATACATCACGAGTTCAGTCCACCGTCAATGGATAGTCATTTTTCGACATGAGCAGCACTGTTGGTGTCAAGAAAAAAGTTCACAAACGATGGACCTTATAATAAACTATTGCACAATGCTCTGAAAGTCGATTGCTTGCTAAGATTCTCCGAACGAAATCATAGTGTGTAAATAGCTTTTATAGTGAAGGGTAGCTCACTGGTGGTCAAATTGAATCTGCAACTATCAGCTTAAGCAAGCTAGATAGTTATCCAGTTACTGCTCTCCCCATTCAATTTTTTACTATTTTGGCTTACTCTCTCCCTTCAGCAGACAGGATTAAACCAATTTCTATGAATTAAATGATCTGAAGATTGAATTCTGACTAGTATTTTCCGTAGATTATGCAACGGCTTGATATGCAAATCTACTTGTGCAGGTCAAACTCTACTAGTGCAGGAACTAATATATCTTACTCAAAGCAATCGCTTTTGGTGATCGAGTCCTGTGGCGACGATGTTTCGTTCGACTTATGAAAATAATGCTCTCTCTTTCAAAGTTCAAAGACGCATCTAACACAAGATAGTCTTCGGGGTACAAATTCTTTGGTGAACTTGAATCAGATAACAGAAGAAGAAATAAGATCGCTTCATCCTGGCAGTTATGCTGCTCACTCTCAAAGAAGAATCAGATACCCATTGGCAAATTCAGTTGACGGCCAATCTGGCTTCGGAAGATCTGCCACTTCAATGGTACCCGGGTGTCACATTACGATGTGTCAACGAAGTTAAGAACAAAAATGTCGTGACACATTGGAAAATTGTTTTAGGATGATTCGTTGTAACCGAGTGTAAGGAGTCCTTAGAAATTCCCAAGGAAAATCAGAGAAGCACTCGTCAATCTGTGATAACAAGTCACAGTCATAGTTACTATTATTATTTTTCATGGTTATTGTATCTGTGACCACAATGATCTTTCCTTCAGTTCACAACCGAAAGAAAATCTGATGATACTCAAATCCAAACTTACAGGAAAATACAGACAGTGTCACGATCCAACGGTTCAACATGCATAGCGGAGACTCAAGATGTTCAAATGCTTAGAAGCACGAGGTCTGCTAACGAAATAATGGGATATCCTTACAAACAAAACCAAACACTAAGTTGAGATAGTAGGAGTTTAAGCAGAGAAAAACGATGACCCCGACAAATGCTACCATGTATGATCCTGTGAAAACCTGCAAGAAGCCATCTTTCCAGGACTCATCATCTCTGCCTTTGTCAGCAGTTTACCTTTGTAAATTGCTTCACCGAAAGTCGAATTGGTTCTTTTCGTCGGGTGTCTTGCCTGACAAGTTGTTGTGAGCAAAGCTAAAAAGTGGAAGTGTGTATAGCTCCGTTAGTTGCGGAGGAATCGAACCAGTTAACTTGCAGGAAAGGTCCAAGCTCTCTATATTCTATATTCCTTAAATTGGAGAATGTTACTGGAATCGGTCCGGTCAAATGATTATGCGACAGATTTTTAAGACGTACATATTGCTCACATAAGCGATTTATAGAGGATAGAGCCCATCAAAATTATCGTGTGAGAAATCCATTCCAGACAGATATTTCAAGAAGTTGCCCTTATTAGATTCCAATCTACTCTATGACATGAAGGTCACTTCTTCTGGTTCATCCAAAAAAGCACTCGTACCGCTATCATCATGGAGAGATGATGAGCCGAGTTTTCCCTTGTACTGGTAGAGCTGCCAATACTCAGGCGTTTTCACTCAAAGTTTCAAATGTGCTATTAGAGATCCCACCAATTCCAAATGTCAAAAATCTTCCAAACAAGAAGGAACTTCTCCAGAAAGGCCATTATAAGAGAGATCCAGAATGCTCATCTTCTTCAACTGACAAAGAGCTCGAGGGATCGAACCTTCAAAGTGGTTTCCTTCAGTAGAAGAAGCGAACTGATCCAATTAGGCATCTCACATATCAATGCATCTTCCTGTGGACCCAATGTGACAACGGACAAAGCTCTAGGAATCAACTCAGGGAAAATCTCGGTGAGCTTATCACTTCGTAGATACGAGAACCTAAAAAATGTAACATTTGCACAGTGGGGTATAATTGGACCGAGATTTGTTAGTCCAACGGTCTAGGAAAACAAGAGAATTCGACTTGCTGAAGCTCAACGATTAAAGGACCACCCAATAAGTTTCCTGACAACATCAAAAATTCCAAAAGTTGAATATCTCCCATCTAATTTGGAATTGGTCTGCAAAAGAAATTGTCAATTAGATCCAAAATCCTGAAGTGTGAGCTATCCAATATGCTAGGTGATATATCTCCAGTAAATTGACTGCCGTCCAGATACAAATATTTCAGTCTTGTCAAGTTAGTAGTTCTTGGTAGCATTCACGCAAGTTGTTGCCTAATAGTTTCACTACCGAGTGTGAGACACAACCTATGGCCAGTGACTCTGGCATCTGCCTTGTGAATCCGCGATTTGACAAGTATAAGGTCGTCAACAATTTCATATCACCTATTGACGGAGGGATTTCGCCTCCTATCTAGTTCTTTGACAGTTTCAAGTACTGCAAATTTGGAAGGATGGAACCGATATGAGATGGAGGCGCTCCTTCGATCAAAGCAGCAGATGCATCGAACTGATACATATGGACAGGATTCGACAGGGAGGGCAAATCAAAAGCATCCGACAAGTTGTTGCTGGTGAGTTTTAACTCGACGAGATTGACATCGTTCTGCAATAGCCAATATTAACACCACTGAACTCCACATGCACAGCACTGGCAAAGAACGCTTCATGTTTTCATGTTACCGCCAGAAATCGCCGACACATCGATCCACATCAGACGTCGTTTCGAGTAAAGTTGTCCACATCCGCATGTCACGTAGGACGACTATCAATTGTTGAACGCCATGTCAACAAGTTTGGACGGCAATTGGCCAAACTGACCACATTGGAATTTTGCGCAAAGATTTAGCATTATATTGACAAAATCGAAAAGTTTATGATTTAATTATCATCCGTACAATAATTTTAAGACTGATTTGGTAACTATCCCTGCTTAGCTAAGGTGGAGCTCAAGCGGCAGAGCAGTGGTCCCGCAATCCATGCCTCCTTCGTCAAATTGGAACAATTCCCAACGCCCAATCCTTTATGTCAGTACCATTCTTGAGACGCTAAAACCCGATTGGTTTGATGTTGCTGGTCGCAACCATCAGATAATCCACTGTCTTGTGTAACGTTTACAAAAATTTGTCAACGTTGGATTCCTTTTGGTTGCGAACAAATTATTCTCTCTCAATCCTCAGCCAAATCAAATCTCCTGATATTCAAATTAGCAGGACAAGGAATACAATACTAACACTCTAGGAGTCGAGCATTCAAAATGCATAATCAAGATTCAAATGCTTACAAACCATTAAACAAAGGTTCTCCACTGTTTTATCGTATTTTTCCGTCACAAAATACGATAAACTTATGAACAAGCTTGAACAACATGTACTGGGAATACGGGTTTAGGTAGAGAAAGAGAACCACCCCAAGGAACGCCACCACATATGATCCCGCGAAACTCCACACAAAGGCTTCTCTCCAAGAGTCATCCTCCTTGGTATGATTAAAAGATGGCGGTGTCCCCGGTCCCAGATTTGAGCCATCACAGCTTGTTAATGGTGGTCCGCAAAGAAGAGGGTTGCCTTCATAACTTGCTTCCTCAAAAGTTCCAAATTGATTTTTTCGATCTGGTATCCTGCCTGACAAGTTGTTGTGAGCCACACTAAAATGCGACAGGGCATAGAGCTTTGTTAGCTGTGGAGGGATGGGACCAGTTAAGCTGTTATAGGAAAGGTCCAGACTCTCTGCATTCTGTAAATTGGAAAACGTTTCCGGGATCGGTCCCGTCAAATGATTGTTTGACAGGTTCAATGCTCGAAGTTCACTCAAGTAGCCCATCTCTGGAGGAATAAAGCCCGTCAAATTGTTCAGCGAGAGATCCATTCCTGACATCAGGTTTAGGATGTTGCCCTTATAAGATTCCAACCTACTATTTGTGATGAAGTTTACTTCTTCTAGTCCTTCCATATAAGTACTCGGTACAGCTCCATTGTATGCATATTGATATGTCAATTTGAATTTGACCTTATAGTCGAGTGGTTCCCAATACTCTACCCAAGTCAGAGCACCTGAGAATGGAGATAACTCAAAGTATCCAAATGTCAAACCTTTCAAACAAGGAGGAGTTTTGCCAGAAAGATTGTTATTGGAGAGATCCAGTATGCTCATATCTTTCAACAAACATAAATCCAGAGGGATTGAACCTTCAAAGTTGTTTCCTTGCAATAGAAGAACCCTCAAGTTTCGAAGTAAACTGATCCACCCGGGGATCTCACCTGGCAATGCATTGTGTCTAAGATCCAATATGACAATTGATGAAGCTCTAGACAGAAACTCAGGAAAATGCCCAGCAAGAGTGTCATTTGATAAATGCAAGAACCTCATAAACGTAAAGTTGGCACAGCGGGGTAAATCAGGCCCAAGGTTGTTACTTGAAAGGTCTAGACTATCGAGATATCGTAAGTTGCATAAGCTAAACGGTAAAGGACCTACCAATAAATTATTCGCCAGCATAAGCCCTTGCAAGTATTGAATATCTCCAATCCAATTGGGAAGTGTTCCGGATACGAAATTATGACTTACATCCAAAACCATCAAGAGGGAGCTATTTAATATACCAGGCGTTATGTCCCCTCTAAAACGATTGTTATCTAGATACAAAAGTTTCAAATTTCTCAAGTTAGAATACCTCGGTAGCATTTGGCCTTGCAAACTGTTGCCCGACAGTTTCAATGTATTAAGTGACGTACAATCTTTAGCCAGTATCTCTGGTATCTCTCCCATGAAGTTATTATTCGACAAGTCCAATGATTCCAGAAATATCATGTTGCCCATTGAGGGAGGGATCCTACCTTTCAATAAGTTATTCGACAAGTTCAGATATTGCAAATTCGGAAGGACAGAACCAATCCAAGAGGGAAGCTCTCCTTCAATAATATTGTTAGACACATCGAACAACCACATGCTGGCAAGGCTCAAATTGGAAGGCAAATGAAAAGCACCCGACAATTCGTTGCCTATGAGTTCAAACCGCTTCAGATTTACATTGTTTTCCAGTAGCCAATTCGGGAAATTTCCTGTCATTCCATTATGGCTGAGCTGAACACCTCTCAGGTCATGTTGCTCCTTCATAAAGCTAGGAATTACGCCATTTGCATCTTTGTTGAGCACACAATTTGATAAGCTAAACATCTTCAGCTGAAATGAAGGAAACCAAGTGGGGTCTTCTGTACTTACTTCCAAACGATAATGGTTGTCAAGGAGGTGGAATACCTCAAGGTTAGAATTATTAGCCAGGGAAGCAAGCGAAAGCGAGCCTTCGAAAGCATTTCCAGATAACACAATGTATTCCAATGACTTGAGATTATAGAGGAGACAAGAAGGAATGGCCCCGCTCAAATTGTTATGCTGAACATCAAGCGCACGGAGCGAGGTCATGTTGCATGAACATGAAGGAAGAGGTCCCGAAACTCCATTACCAATAATCTGCAACTCCTCAAGGTTCCTCAATCCACACAAGCCTGTTGAAGTGGACGCTGCAACTATGAGTATCATCACTAAATTGTACTTGTATAGAAAGAAGGTATCTATGTCTTATTCAACTTTATCACAATTAAAGGGTTATCATGTAATATAAATTATTTAGGGGATAAGTGCATTAGAAGTCCTAAAACTTGTCAAGAAAGTGCAATTGAATCTTAAAACTTTCAAAAAGTGTATCAAATCCTAAAACTTGTCACGAAAGTGCAATTTAGTCTTAAAACTTTCAAAAAATGCAATCAAGTCTTAAAATTTGTCACGAAGTGTAATCGAATCCTAAAAACTTTCAAAAAGTGCAATCAATGGAATGACTTGATTAGACCAATTTGATAAGTTTTATAACTTGTTTACATTTTTTAAAAGTTTTAGGACTTAATTACACTTTCATAACAACTTTTAGGATGTCCAATACACTTATCCCATTATTAAATTATCCTTTGTGATCACATAATGATGAGATATACATGCACTATCATGTTGAATAGAGTGGGTTAAACTGCTTGTATTGAGAGATAGTTTATTATTAATTTGCTAATTTCATTTGTATTTGAAATATGTGTTATCATCTTACTCAGAACATTGTTAAATCATTTGTTTGTTATATGTGGGCTATCAAGTCATGAGATATTTTATCGATCTTTCAATATTATTTATTTCTTAAATAGAGCATAAATGCTTTATCAAATTTGTATACATACTTAATTCAGCTTAGTTTGTTCTTATCCACTTGAAGTGATAGAAATGATACCAAAATATAGAAGTTTGTTTTTTAACGGATGTAATGTTCTAACTATAAGATTCATCAATAACTATGCACTTAACATTACTTATTTATGATATATAACGCTGTAAAGATATATCATTTTTGTTCTATAGACTTTTTATAATAATAGATAATGTTTTCTATTAATATGGCAATAGTTGATTTTCTATTTTCTGATATTCATTTATTTGTAAAACATGAAATTAGTTATTTTAAGAACGATGATTTTTTTATGAGTCCATTATTTGTCAAATATAGACTATCATGTTCTAATAGATAATTCTACGCTGTTCAACTTTTAGTATCTTATTTAGTACAAAGTTAGTACATATTTATATAATTATTTGTTAATATGGGCCACCAAGTTATACATTTTTATCAATTTTATTTGTCAAATATAGACTACCATGTTATATTAGTAAATTCACAATTTTCGACTCTTAGTGCGAATGTTATATAGCAAATGTTTATTACATGTTTCCATCATTTATTTGTTAAATATGAGCCATCATGTTGTAAGATTTTGTTACCAATTTGTTCATATCATTTTCTTACGAAAGAGGAAAAAATAATTTATCATAGTGGATATCCATACAAGTTTTAAATCATAGCGGTCATCACTTATTATACATTTCGTTATACTTATTGTTAAAATATATACAGTCTTGTAATAGAACCCTCTAAATAGATATGTTTTTCCTTGTATGATTTATAATTTTATTACTTTCGTTTACTTATAAAGCATGTGAAACAATTTCTTTGTGATAATGGATTTTTTCATTGATCTTTTAATATTATTTATTTGTCAAATATGAGTCCAATATGAGATCTATCATGAAATGTTATTATTCTTCAGATTTGATATTAATAATATTTATATGTCAAATATGAGCTTACTAAATATGAGTCAACTATGAGATACTTATCGCTACATCGCTAATCTCTTTCAAAATTTCATCATAAACATTTATTTCTAAACATATAATATACATGTATTTTGAAATAAAATCAATATGAACATAAACAATTATATTTAAACATTTACCAGCGAAATGTGTGTAATTCTGTTAGAGAAATATGCATAAGAATGTATGAAAATATATTACCTAGAAATTTACTACCAAAACATGAATAAGAATTAGAGATGCATAGTCAAATATGCATAAGAATATTTGAAAATATGTTGCCTAGAAATGAATTACCAAAATATGCATAAGAATTAGAGATAGGGAATTAGAGATCTCCGAGAATTAAACATTTGCTAATGTGACTATCAAAAACAAATTACTGGGTAAAGCTTGCACATGAGCGTGTCTTGTGGCTCAACCTTATGCGAGTTTTACCCACACACACATATAAACACAGTTCGGTATCATAACTACATCATCAACTAGCATAAACACAGTACTTTTAGTTAAATTAACCAAATATTAAGAAAGTATGACATTGATTGGTTGCAATTCATGGTGCAACATAATTTAAAAATATTTTTTTCCAAAGAAAATGGTGTCTTTAATGTTTTCATGTTTTAGCACCCATGTACCAATTGGTTATAGTATACTTTTGAGTTTTGAGAAAGGCCCTTCCCTTCGCGCCCAACCCTATTGCCCTCAACCCTAGTAGCCATTTATGAAATAATGTCTTGTTATCATATTTTGCATGCATTTAAAGAAATGGTAAGATGCACCATATGACACGTCAAAACAAGTGATTTACATAGTAAGTCGAAACAAGATAATTAAATATGATAATCTATTCTCCTAAGTAAACTATATACTAAACATATCAAGAACAATATTGCACTGCTATTGATGAATCATATACACAGTAATGGTAATAATAATGTTGAAGAAACTGGATGTGCATATACGCTTTTGATTTATGAAAGAGACGCATGGAAAATCTTACCTTATGTTCAAGACAATCTTGCCTTGTTTTAAAAAGGTGATGAGTTACCTATAGTGATAAACGAAAGCATTTTCACAAAGTACCTTCCAATAACTTTGAAGCACTCAATCCACGAAAGCCGATGACTAAGGCCTTAAGAGATGTTATCCTCGTAATGTCCACGAGGGCATCATTGACCAAATTGTTACCCAAAAGATCTAGCACCTCCAGATTCGGACCTATGACAAACAAAAAGTTGTCAAAATCGAACGTCATATATCAACAAGGCATGGTCTTCTATTTTACAAGTACCTTCAAGTTGATTGGAAGATACATTTTGGGCCTCCGCCGAAGTTTGCTTGTACAATGAGGGGACTTGCTGTAGATAATTGTTAGATAGATATAGCTCCTTCAATTTCTTCAGGTGTAGCGTTCCGTTTAAATCTGATTATGAAAAGATCCATGGATGCATTATGGTCAATTAATTATCTACAGATACATCAGATGTCTAACTAGGATCAAGAATAACCATATACTCATTATGAGGAGAATTATTTTATAAGGAGAAACCAGTTGGTTCAATATACCCAAGTATCAAAATAGTCTATGTCATATGACTTTGTAAACCAATTTCATAAACAAGTAACTTATACCTCTAACTATAACTATTATACATAGTTAACTAGCAGAGCTAAGAGAATATTCTCTCGTGTGCTCCCCTTGTGACATTTGACTTTACCTCTATGATTGCCACGTGGCCCAATGCATGGCATAGTTTTGTCATGTGACCCACATTCGACCAACAAGCATTAGTTTATTGATTTGCCATTTCTAAACTTCTATCTTTTATCTAGTTATATATCTCAAAACATGAATAAGGAGAAACGAATTTTCAGTTATATTCGTGAAGATATAGATTATTTTGCCAAGACAATATTTCATTACATGCTTGTCATGTGACATTTGACTTTACCTCAATGTGGCAACATACATGGCATAGTTTTGCCATGGCCCACGTTAGACCAATAAGCATTAGTTTACTGATTTGTCATCTCCAAACTTCTCTTCCCCCCGACCCACCACAAAACCAAGCCGGGGACAGGTCACCGCCTCCCCAGCGGCCTCCTTGATGGCCCGATTTGGCCACATATGAGAGAGAGAGAGAGAGAGAGAGAGAGAGAGAGAGAGAGAGAGAGAGAGAGAGAGAGAGAGAGAGTCTGTTCGCGGTGAGTCTGTCCATAGTAGCTTTGTTCGTAAGAGAAGATGTGAGGGAGAGAACAGAGGCTAAAGGAGAAGGGAGAAGGGAAACAAAGAAAAGCTAAAAGAATACGGAGGTTATATGAATATGGTTTGTAGTCTTTATCATGATCCACAACGGAATTTGTTGTTGCTCTTCTTATGGATACGGAGGTTATACGAACTGACTCACGTAAATTTGATCACCTTTTTGTCACAGCACTAAATGTGAATTTCCCTGTCTCAGTATACTATGTTGACCTGGCAGGCACTAAGGGGTATTTTGGTTTTCTTGCATGTCTGGATACCATGGGTGGAGTTGGCTTGGGATTTTGGATTTGTTTGTTTTCTCCTACTGTCCACGAGTCCATGTGTCCAGATAAATATAGATGTTTGGTAGAGGTAATTACAAACCAACATAAGAAATTCAAATAATTATAAGAGAAGAAGAAAAAGAAAATGGATAAAATAAATTATAATATTATTTGGATGCTAGAGAAAAAGATGATTAAGAGAGAAAAGAGTGCCCTTCAAGTCAACTTTGTTGGGCTGCAAAATGCAAAGGGAAAATGACATAAATAAACTTTGACCCAATCTATAATGTGGTCCCTGACTTTTAATTTGTTCAATATGGTTCTTGAACTTTAGCCTAATATACAATGTAATCTCTGAACTTTTAATTTGTTCAATGTCGTCTCTGAATTTTTTGTACATGTTCAGTTTAATCCCTGAACTATACGAAAGTGTTTAATATAGTCCTTCCATTAATTTAAGTTCAAGGACTATATTAAATATTTTCCATATAGTCCAAGAACCATAATAAACATGAACCAAAAGTCCAGGAACCACATTGAATAAATTAAAAGTTCAGGGATTACTTTGCACATTAAACTAAAGTTTATGGACTACATTGAATAAATTAAAAGTTCATTAACCACATTACATATTTGGCCAAAGTTCAGGAACTATTGGGATGCAAACTGAGCTAATTGCTCTTCGTGCTTATTCTCTTTGGCTGCGTTTAGTTGTCCGTATAAAACTCGGGATAGGATATGTTTTATCCTATCCCGTGTTTGGTAGGTGTCTCGGATAGTATAATGTCGGATATAGAAGGGATATAACCCGGATTAAAAAATCCGAGGGAGGGGGGTAAGATAAGGTCGGATAGGATTTCTCTTATCCGTCATATAAAAGCTACTTTTTAGAAACCCTACCCCTTCATTCACGCACTCCTTCACCCACGCTACAGCTTGCTTCTACAATTTGCGAAGGTATGTATTCATCCATGATCGTCTTCTGCAATTTTTTTTCAGTAGTTTGGGTTTATAATTTTCATTCTTTGTTAACCGGTAATCGAACGACGAAGTTGTCGTAAACGAATCGTTCGTTGGGCTCCATGTCATGGATATCGTGTCTGCGTGCTGTGTGAGTTTTGAGTGCTTTTAGATGATGAGAGTTGTTTATCATGTTCCTCTTTCTTTTTTCTCTCTCGGGTGGTGGTCGGCTTTGAGTTCCGCCGGTGGTGTTTTTTCCATATACTGACGGATGGCCGTCCTTGCGGAAGTTGGTCAACCTTGTGACGTTGAGAAGCATCACGGGAACTCGCATTTCCCTGACGACCTGCTCCACTATCCTCATTTTCAAAGGATAGTTGTTGAGGAAGCCCCCACTTGAGATCAGTCCTGTTTCTCCATTACATGTCCCACCTGAATCCCAATCTCCACCTCTGTTTTCGTAAACAAGTAAAATACATAAGCATCACACCCTTATGTTAGAGGCTGTCTTAATTATAATAGACATTCATTCTCTGCAACAACTTCCATATTAATAGCTCCCTAGAAGTAAAATTTTTTAGTTCTCTTTTCATTGAGAACTAATCCATTGAGTTCTCTTTTCACGAGGCAGCAATGTTTGATCTTGTTATAGTAAAATTTTTAGTTGCCAAAGAAAACATCGCTGTTTGACAACCAAATTATGTGAGAATTTAAGGAAAGAGTTATTTTGCAGCTAGTTGGGATAATGTTTCATCGAGATAAGAAGGCTATATTTTAAATAGAGTTTGATGTGTGGGTTTTCAGAATATAACACTCCCTTCCGGAAGAAGTATATACATTGTTATAAATACCCGACACATAATGTTCCCACACTGAAGATGGAGTTTTTTTTAGCTTTCATTGATCTCTTGATCTTGAGGTCCCTTTTGCACTATTTTGCTTTTCAAGTATTCATGCTACTAAATGATGATGCCAATGAGCACCAATTTCTGTGAGAGACACATAACTATCTCACCAGGTTGTTCTTGTTCATTGGATGATTTCTGCGGGTCAGGTCCATCTTTTGTTGGTTGACCAAATAATAATGGGGTGAGAATAGGGTCTTTTTGCTTACCGAGGTGATTTAATGAATCCAAAATATTTTAAGATGCCCTTGATTGCAACTGTCGTGAAGTCTATGCCTGGATAGGCAGACACCTTTTATTTTTGGACTGTTCAATGTTAAGGAAGAGAGAACAACTTATGCATTTTCCCTGTCATTTACCTACATTGTTTGTTTGTTGCTCGACTGTAGCAATAGAGACTTCACTACATTGTTTTTGTTTCCATTGCTATTAGACATGTATAATATGGTGCTGATTTGTCATCATGGAGAAAAATATTCCTTATGTAATGTTTGAATTCTGGCTATATCATTTTAAATTTTTAATACTATGCTGTTTTTATCATTAAATTTTCTCTACCATGCTATCATCTATCATTAAATTTTGTAAAATTGCAATGAGATGTTTAGGAATGGAAGGTAGCGATTTTAGTCAAACCCAAGGAAGGGGAACAAAGAGAGACCGACGTGTATGGACAATAGATGAAGAAAATGCACTTCTAGATGGTCTTGAAGAACTAGTTGCGCGAGGAATGACAATTTTCATGAGCATCACATAGGGGCATATATGTTCTTTATATTGATATACGGTTTCTACCAAACGCAGGATAGGATAGGATATGAGAATATCCGACTTTAAATCCGTACTTCACCAAACAGTGGATAGGATATGGCCAAATCCCTGGATTTCCTATCCTATCATATCCAATCCTATCCTGACCAGAAATACGGACGACCAAACGCAGCCTTTGTAGAGATGAGTCTCTTAATTAATTTATGATATGTGCAACCAACTACTTTAAGACTTGCGTCATTTGTGCAATCACGTTTTGTCTTTAATTCACTTAATAATCCACTTTATAGCCCATAGCGCCCTAGCATGACATCTCCTATTATTCAAAAAGGTTAAGTAAACGATTACCTAGAGAAACATAGTTGAAAACACAGAGAGAGATTTACCTGAGAGACAATTTTCACTTAAATCCAACACTTGAAGTTCCTCCAGAGGAAGGAATAAAGAGGCGTTGATCACCCAAGCTCTCAATTCCGAATCGCGGGTATCGTTCAGGTACAATCGAGCCACTCGCAAAGTGGTGTCATCACACACGACGCCTTCCCAGCCACAGCAGTCGCCACCGCCGCTGCCGTCTAGCCACGATGGAAGAGAAGACCCACTCGGGCCGTTGAAGGCGGCCTTGATGTCGAGCAGCGCATTCCTCTCTTCTTCCAAGCACCTCATGCTGCTTCCACTTCCCATCAATGCCAGCAGCACCCAAGTCCTCATACACCATAAAAGACACTTCATGTTTATGTGTATATGGTAGTGCTTTGTGTTATCTGCTTCATCTGCTTCTTCTACTTTGATTTATACAAGCAGTCTTCCCATTTCGAGCGATCGTCGGGGCCATTTCCGGGGAACGGCTATGGGCAAAGTCAAAGTCGTGCTGGAGCCAATCCCGCGGAACCCGTCACGACCGCCGTTGACTTGACCCAGAACTTCTAGAAAAGAGAAAGGTGAAGATTAGAAAATGAGCATCATAAAATGACAAAAGAACGACCATTAGCAAATTGGCAAAAGATAAGTTACAGTAATTTCACCCAAGTTATAAAAGAAACATACGTGCCTAGATATACATACTAAATTGACTCTGACTGTTTGATAATAATGGACCCTACAGATTTGATGGTTCAAATTTAGTTTAGTATATATATTAGGTTCATGAAATATTTGCTCATGGCCCGCGGGTTATATGTTTTCGCTAGGGACCTCTTCGACTCAAAGATGTGGCACATCTTATCCTCCCGCGTGGTCAATAAAGCTTTGTGGAAATTGAATGCTCAATAATAACCTCGGATGCCCAAACTTATGTGGAAATCTATTTTGTTTATTGTGTGGCCATCGAATCACATGCGCTTAATGGATGTGATCTGTTACATTGTGCGATTCCTATGTAGACTCACATGATCTACTAGTAAGAATGCATTGGTTTTATATGTGCCATGGACCTCGTCTATGTGCAAAAGTTGCTTCGAAATCTAATCTACAATTAATAGAGTTTTGTGGTTGAATCGCATCATGGCCAAACTACATTCTCTCAACTTTCTATTATATTGCTGAGAATATTTTGATTAGATAAAAAAACATAATTACTTATTTAACATTGATGTTCCAAAAAAAAAGTTAAATTGATTCACGTAATATATAAATAAGTGTCTGCTAATTAATTATATAGGCTGAGTAATACGTACTTAATTATTTACGTTGTGCCTTATTTTAAAGAAAAAAAAGCCAATTATATAGTTGACTAATAAAAAGTAAAAAAAAAAAAAAGCGAAATATTTTTCTACCGAAGATAAAAAAACATTTTCTTTTATTAACTAACAAGTTTACAATATATGTGTGTAATATATAAATTCTCTTATTTATCTAGAAAATGTTTGCAATATCTAATATCTATAATCTTATCTTATGTATCCATATAAAAAAGGGTTTTTTGTGCGTTACAATTACATGATGGTTATTAAGTCTGATCATTTGTCACCCTCTCAATTGCACCAGTCGTGCTAATCGCAACTCCTTAGATCTAGGTCACGTATCATGATGTTTATTAGTCAAAAAGGTTCCTTTAACCCTTAATAAGTATTAGGTTTAACGAATGACCGTGAAATTGCTAAGAGACGTGAAATTCCAAGCCGTCGCGTTATATTAGCTTATGACGATTCGATTTTCTCATGAACCGCACGATGCAATGACTTTTTATCTAAACATATGGACATTTTATAGTAGAGCCTGCAAAAACACAAGCGGATTCTCTCCGGTGATTTCCCTTTTCACGGTGATTCTATAAGCTAAAACCAATTTTCTGAATGATTGCTACTTGCATAATAATTAATTAAATTAAAAAAGGGAAATATTATTGGTTTGGATCATTGTCAATTATAATTAAAAAAAAGGAAAAAAAAAAAGAAATTCGCAACATCACGTGGCGAATGGGCCAATTGGAGATAATATAATGGGGAGTTGAACAAATGGGTCGCTGTTGGAAAATTAGAAAGTTTGAGCACTACTAGCTCAACATTTACTCGGTCATGAGTCAAGACAGATGCATTTAGCTAAACTAGTGATTGCACGCAATGATCGGCTTCCCGATGATTCAGTTTCGATGATTTCAAAAATTTTGGATCCGGAAATCGAGCCAGTTGTTCCCCACTCAATTTTTTTTTTTTGTGTGAAAAATCAAAATCTTATAATAAAACCTTTTTAAAAAGAGGCACCATTTTACTGCAGAATGCTATAGATTAAATGGTCATGCTGTTGTTTTGTTTGTTTCTTTTTTCTACAAGCTTCAAAATTGATTCAACCTGGGAATTCCAACCTTAGAACTGGGAACTTGAACCGGTACTAAGCTAATTGTAGGTTCACGGTACCAGGAATCAAACCTTTTATCCCCAAAACCGGACTTGAACCGCGCCCGATGCTCGACCCCTCCGATTAATACATTGGAAGTACAACACTGAATGTATTCTCTGAATGTATTCTCATGTGTCTAAAATCAGGTGAGCTGCTGGTGCAACCTGGAAAATGCTCTTGAAAATGCAAACCAGATTGAAAAGTGCGAGTTTCGAGTGCATCGTATTCATGTGACATACATGACGGGGCGACAAAGTTGGCGGCATATTGCCCTTTGATCCCCGTTTGATCTCTGCGTAATACCAAACTAATCAACCCGACCAAGTGGATGATCGTTTTGAACATTAACCACTCGTGTGAAGCTCGACAATGTCGAGAGCTTAAAAGAAAGGAAATGGAAACATGTTAAGCGCATCTACATTCTACAGAGGAAGCACCGCCCATCATAGGCTACATCAAGATGCTGTTCGAAACACTTTGCCAACAAAGTATTTGCATTGTTGACTAAATTGCTGTTAAGTATAATATGAGGGAGTGGTTTGCAAAGCCTTCTAGGGGAGAACATAGACACCATCTACATCTTCTCTTAAGAAGGAAACAGGACTTGGATTGTCTTGTTCACCTGTTCAAACAAATTAGTGCAGAAGTAGATGATGACGGCATGAAAAATTCCTATTTACACAGGTTAACAACCCACTTTAAACCAGCTTTCAACTGGAACGAAACAAAAAGAGAGAAGTTGCATCGAGGCTAGATCGATAATGTTTAAACAAAGTTAAAGGGCGAGTCAAGATCATGCACTCTCGCATCTACCCATGCCTAATAGAGAAAAAATGACAAACCAGTGATCTCGAGGGAAAATGTCTCTAATGTCCAGTCAAATAACTATACAAACATTTCATTTGAATTCAATTGGATGTTTCAACATTGTCCTAAGATCTGAAATCAGCAAAGAATTAGGCAGACGACAGAAACTGCTACAGCAGTTAGGATTAGTCTAATTGGTACAATTTGTAAAGCAGACAAACCCCTGCTTATAAGTTAAACATTCATCTATCAGGATAGATCAGTTCGAGTAAATGAACAACTTCTTTAACACTAGCCGGATGCCAGCATTCTGTTGATAGTCGTAGTGATCCAAAGAGAAGCAAGCATCCACAAAGGTTCCAGTACTGATCAAGGGCTCGATCTCAGCAGCATCACGCTGACTAAAAACAAGTTTTTCTGAACTGCCGGAAGATTCTTTTCGGTATATCTCAGTCTCGTATCTTGGGATATCTGCATTAACAGTTGGAATGCTGTGGGCAGAGAGAGGAAATTAACTTAGTCCACAATAAGCATTTAACTGACTTAACTCGTATTGCAGATGCGTATGAAACATGTCTCCAATGCATTAACACATCTAAGAGAGCAAAGGGCTTCCTACAGGGTTTGAAAGTGTATTTCCAATTAGGGGTGGATCGATTCCAACCGAAAACTTGGAATCTACACAGTCCAGGCTGATTCTGGGTATTTGGAACCAGAACTGAATCGGCCCAGAACCGAACCAGCCATCCAGTTTAGACCCAGGAACAAGGACTCAATTTTTATTTTTATTTTCATTTTTACTATATATTAGATTTATTTTGGCATAATTGGTTCCGGGGGTTCAAAGAGCTAACCCAGGGACTGAACTAACCTTGGCCAGTTCTTAAGGTTTTTACTCATGAACCTACCTAGTTCACCTAAGGCCAGTTGGTTCACGGGTTGAACCAGGACTAGTGCTCATCCCCATTTCCAAGTACACTCTCACCTATGTGAATATATGAGAGAGGAGAAAGAGATCGAAAACCCCCTCTTCTCATCTACCCCCCACCCCCAAAAATCCCAAAGCTCTCAGAAAAAGATCCGACAAACAAAAAACAACCAAATAAACTTGCATGGGTTTTGTTCTTTTATCGAGGACTATGTTCTCAGCACTAATAAAGAATTTGACAGTTACTGAAGCTTGTCACGATCCAAGGAAAGAATAGCAAAAGCAGAGAACTTACTGCAGTCTTATAGTCGGAGAATTCATGAAGCCATTTTTCCTACTCACGACAGATCTCCACTCAGAGCTGCTACCAGAATCAATAGATAGTTTCTGTGCAATTCCATCACATGCATCAAGCACCTGACATAAGGTTGGAGATGTATCCACCACGAAACTAAACTTTGGCCGACCAGCATTATTAAGAAACTTGTTACTATTACCAAACCGCACTCTCAAATGATTGCAGCAAAGCTGCAAAATTGCACCTTTATGCGAAAGCTGTATTCTTTGACTACCCCTATAGAAAGGGACGAGGGACGCACGGATAGAAGGGATAGATACTTCTTCAGGCTCTAAGAACCCAGCATAGCCACTGCAACCCTCAGATGCAGATGCTGGAGAGGAAACGGAAATGTCTGAATCCTGGTTATCGGGTTGTTCTTCCATAGCAACATCTGATAGAAGGGGCTCTGCTCTCAAATCAACACTGAGGGAATCCATGCTAAAAGCATCTGCCTTAACTGTATCAGACTTGACCCCCTCATCTGCATTGGCAGTCAGTAGAGAGAATATCGGATGGGCTTCTCCCACTCTCTGATTTGCGAGAGAGAGTATCCGATCACTTTCGATCTTTTGACGAGACGTTGAGGAACTTACTGAGCTTCCTCCATTTGATAATTTTCCATTACTACGACTTCTTGTGGTAGCATTAGGGGAAATCCAACTGTTTGTTGTGAATATGTCTGGGAGACTTGATTCCTGCAAATATTGAGATTTCAATCAATGCCACAACCTATGAACACAAAGTCTACGAATAAATAGGCTTATCACTCATGCCAACCACAAGATCAAAGACAATTCTACATCTTTCGTGAGGGAGGATAGCAATTAGCCCTTGACCCATTTAAGAGAATGACAAGTCTAGAGTGGCAGGTGACTCTGCATTGACAGGGGCAACGGCAATTAAATAATATGTGCAGAGACAGTGGATTACAAATCAAATCATAAACCAAATCAGTCAACCAAGTTCTTGTCAATTTTACCTGTTTTTACATGTATAACACCACACCTAAAACATCAACAATAACATGGCATCATGATTTCTTTAACCTAGACTGCAGAGAAATTCTGGGAAGGAAGATCTATTAACTCGTGCTCTCATAGAACAAGTCAAGTCAATCATTCAAGTGGAGCAACATGGGATGAAAATTATGGATCAAGCAAATCGAAAAACAAATTTTCCACAAATGATGATTATGATCTAGATTTTCGTTTTGGCTCCTTTCTTTCAGCGCACCAAAAGATAGTAAATAACCATGCACGACTCAAGAAAACCAGTAGTTTGCTTTATATGGAAAGAGCCCCATGTACACGCACTTAACAAAAGATGCAAAAATCTCAACTGCTATGAATGTACTAATGTCATATGGCGATATCGGCATGGAAAGATAGAATCGTCAAAGCTGATATTGACAGCAGGATACATAGACGGTTGCATATTTAAGTTTGATAACACAAGAAGTTATCATCACCGGAAACGTAAATCAACAGATTAAGGCCTTACCAAGAACAGAACTGTTGCACAATACTTAAGAACTTCCAGATTCATCCTCACATCATCCAAACTCCTGAAAAGATGTTGCCAGAAAGATAAACATTGCATTGAAGACATAATACTGGAAGTGGAATAATTCCTTGAAGACAAGCAGGATTACCTATGAGTTTGCTGTCCAAGTCCAAAGTATGTTGCCAAGGTGGCCATCTGCATCGAAATAATAGCAATTTAGAAATACAAAAGAAGTGATAACAACGATACATTATACAACTTCCATGACATCTCAAAGTTACACCATGGACAATCTATGTGTATATTGGAAGAACCGAAAGAAAGAGAGAATTTAACCCAAAAGAGAAAAATAAGGAAAGGAATAACTGCTAAGATTCTAGATATTCGTCATGCGATTGAACCAGAAGCAATGTATATGGCAGAAGATATTTGGTCAGCAAGAGAAACTGCGCATGAAGTGATTATTGTCAACTTCTTAAGCTCCAGTCTTAGAAAAACCTCCCTGCATCCGTCGTCAATTGTTTGTAGGAATAGCTAATGCCCAGATGAGGGAGCAGCTTCTCTCATGAAATTCTTTGCACAATTGGATGATTGAAGTAACTGATGGTATGTGGGTTTGGTTTTACCAATACAACCAAAGCACATCCATAAAGCACGATCCAGAAAAGCAAACAAAACAAATGCTCCTCACAGCACAGTTCAGGCCCAAGGAAAAGACTCGAGAGCATAAACCAACCGAATTCGCAAAACCGTGTACCTTCATATCACCAGCTCTTCTTCCAAACTTCTGAGTCAACAACGCCAGCGAATCGATCGTCCCCTTCGGCTCCGGCGCCGGCCTACCGATCTCGGCGAACGCCTCCCTAATCCGAGCACAATCGAACCTCAATATGTTGTGCCCCGCCCATATCCTCCCTATCAACACCAAAAACCCCACCACCAGCACAACGTTAAGAAAACCCCGAAACCCCGAACCGCAACACACAAAACACCACCTCCAAACCCCCCACTCACCGTGGAGGATGTCGTGGACCTTGTCGGCGATGTCGGCGAACCCGGGGGCGGAGACGACGGCGTCGTGGGTGATGCCGTTGCAGCGGACCGAGAGCGAGGAGATGAGGGAGAGGTCGGAGGGGCGGACGAGGGTGGCGTAGCTCTGGAGCTCCTCCAGCTTCCTGGGGCACACCAGGATGGCCCCGAACTCGAGGATGGCGAACCGCTGCCCCGGCCGGGTCGGCACCGTGGTCTCCACGTCGAAGAACGCGATCTCCGATCGGGCGTCGTCGGCCGGACTCATCGTCGAATCCAAAAGCTCACGATCTGAACTGCACAGAAGAGAGAGGGAACGGAGGAGGGTTTTGGGAGTTGTTCTTGCGAAGGTCCTAAGGTTTATCGTTGATAGGATGAAGAAGGAAAAAAAGCGCGAAATCGCGGGGTATTTATGGAGGGAAGGGAAGGGAAGGGGGGGGGGAGGGATCGCGTGCGGGTGAGGTGCACGGGGTTGCTTCGGGGATTGGGTTGTGCGTGGCGTGGCGTACCGATTACCGGTGGGGTACGCCTCCACGTGGAGGTTATCCTCTTGGAGAGTGCGCGCGTGTGTGGATGGAGGGATGGGATGCCTTGCGCGATCAGGCCAGGTCGTTTCCGACGTCCGGGATTCGACGGTCAGTCGCCGGGCACCTTTCAGATCGGACGCACGGGATCGCATCATCCACCTCCAACGGATTTTCGTTTTGACCAAGGGAGCCTTGACCGTGTAACGAATTACTTAGGTCGCACATTTTCGCACCGTTCCCTCGACAGTGCAGAAACGTGACGAAATGTTTTTTTAGGAACATCGTTTGGGATATGCCCGGCTGTCGATTAAGAGGAGGAGTAGTTTGTCGTCATCGTCATCATCTTTCCATTTTGATCTTTCGTGATGATCATGATCTGGCCGGTTAAGCCCCACACAATTCAAAGGGAATGATACCGCCGTAAATTATAAACTTTGCCCACGATCCTAATACCTCAAAAAAAAAAAAAATTTAGCTTGTGCCGGTGTGACAAAAGCACCCTCTGCCTGCCACAAAAAAATCTCAAGCTTGACAATGCGGAATTTATGTCCATCATAGTTTATGCTTAGGAAAATGACGCAAATGATTTATGAACTTTAGTCCAATAGACAACTTTGATCTAATGTGTAATATAATCCTCAAATTTTTAGATCCTAAAATTTTGGTTCGACACTCAACGCAGTTCCTAAACTTTTAAACATTTTCATATAATTAAGAAAATACATTGGATATTCATATTGAACAAATCAAAAGTCAAGATTGCACGTCAGCCCAAACTTCAAGGATCAAATTGCACAAATTAAAAGTTCTTGGCCCATTGTGCTATTATCCTCTTGTCATTTTGTGCGACCCAATAAAAAATTCGGAGTATCAACTTCACATCGGGCATGTCTAACGAATTTTCGTGGCATCAGCTCCAATCGAACACAGAAATGTCTACTCCGAAAGAGCTACACTGCGATAAGTTTCGAAATGCAGGTCATTCGTAGCTCGCCGTGGGTTTCTCCGGCGATTCTCATTTTCTCGGATCGCGAACGAACCGAGCCAGCGAGGTTGCGAACTAATAGGGGTTTTTTTTCTAAGGGAAAATACTAAGAAATTAGAGCGCGGACCTTGCTTGCCGTGCAGACAGACACAGAGCTACAGGGAAAGGGAGAGAGAGAGAGAGAGAGAGAGAATCGGAGAGAATCATTCCTTTCCGTACCTTAACCTTAACCTCCTGCGCGAGCCGGTTGAAGAAGACGGGAAGAATTCTCGGACGCAAAGCGATGCCCTACGCCGCACTCGTTCGTAGTGGGTGGGAGGAGGTTATCCGGAATTGCCGATTGCCGAGCGATCGTGCTGCTTTCACCGATTCTCTCCTGGTCTAGTATCACTGCTATATACTGCTTTGTCGTTGCACAGACAGAAGAGAGAGAGAGAGAGAGGCGCTTCGGCTTAACTTCCACAGCAAGCTTTGGACTTTAATGGCGAAAAAACGTTTTTTTTCTAAACTTTTGAATTTCAGCTCTCCTCCTTTTTTCTCGAATCCGAGGCTGCCCTTTCCACCGCGTGTTGGGCCGTGCCGTGAGGCCCACGATTGGGCCGAACCCGCGCGGGCCTTAAGGCCCAAGATCTGCCTATTGGCCCGCCGGAAAAAAAAAGTAGTAATAATTTTCTGAGACAGGTGCATTTGAAGTCACAAAACTTATTATGAAAGTGCAATTGAGTCTTACAACTTTCAAAAAGTTCAATTAAGTCGTAAAATTTATCACGAAGTGCAATTGAGTCCTCCTTCCATTGATTGCACATTTTGAAAGTTTTCAGACTCGATTGCACTTTCGCGACAAGTTTTAAGACTTAATTGCACTTTTCGAAAGTTTTAGGACTCGATTACACTTCCATGAAAAGTTGTAGGGCTTGATTGCATTTTCATGACAATTTTTAGGACTCAATTGCATTTTCATGACAAGTTTTAAGACTTTCTATGCACTTATAACTATTTTTTTTGTAGTTTAAAAAAAAATGAATCTCTTGAATCATTTTTCAGGGGCGCGTTGCATCCCCCCTCTCAATTTTGGCATTTTCATTGTAAGTAGCCCTCCAGCTTATTCAACTTAAGCTTTCGCAATGTCTCACCTGAAGTACTGAGAGTAGTTGCAATGTCTCCGTTAGCATCGACGCCGATCATTTTTTTAGTAATAGCTCCGATGATGTGCTGGTCATATGACTAATCTATCCGTAGAGTGTAGATTTGTCCAACAACAAATGGCGAATTACATTGTACTCCGGATTTTGGCACGTGTGGTAAGTTGCCCCTTACTTTTTCAAATTTACTTATTTTTGTTTCATTGGTTCTCTTAGAGTATTGAAATGAGTTTCAAAGCCATCTTGACGTTGATCTTGACCAATTTGTTTGATCTAATCTCCATTAGTAGTTTAATTTAGGCTACCTAAGTAGACGTCGTCTTGCCCTTGCCTAGTACATGCATGTCCATGTGGCATAGCCTTTATCGGCAGCTACCAAGTGCTAGACGACTCCTTTCTCTCTCTCTTTTTTCTTTATTTCTTTTCCAATTTTCCAAATAATAGAAATTACAAAATCGTTTCTTCTTATTTGTAAATATTTTACTCACATGACAACTCTTAGAAGCAAAAGCATATATAATCATTTTGACATTTTAATGATTAAAGCCGGGAAGCTGTCTTGCTGTACTAGCATTTAATACCTGTATTTTGGTATTCTTATGAATTGATGTCGGCACAAAAGGCCAATTTTCGAAAGACTATACCAATTTTGATTGATTGAATGACATTTTTAAAAATTTGGACGAAGTCCTAATTTAAAATTTGGTTATTTGACCGATCATTTTCAAATGGCTAGAATCAATAAATGAGTAAAGGGCAAGATTGTTAAGCTTTGAATTGATTCTTTTATAGAGAGAGAGAGAGAGAGAGCCAACAACAAGACTGGACTTTTTTTGTAATAAGGTGAGAAATGGACCGAAGTAAGCCCTTCAAAACTCTGGGATGTAAAATGCAAGGGGAAGTAAAAGCATCATCCAACAAGCGGGAGCAAGGCATGCAGATACCGACACGTAAAAATAAGGAATACAGTCTGGCATCCCGCCACATAAGCAGGACAGGCATAGACAGCCCTCATTGGAAGGAAACTACCCCTTGGTTTGGTGAGGTTAGCCCTCTGGTTACGCTAGCGTGAGGGAGAGGCAGCTTCATCAGCAAGGTTGGACTTTCTTTGATAAATGGCGAGAAATGATTTTTACATTTTGTATTCATCTCCCTCTATTTGAATCCGACGGCTCCCTCTTCGCCGCATATTGGGCCGTAGCGTGAGGCCCAATATTGGGCCCGAAAACACTTGGGCCTTCAGGCCCACCAGAAAAAAAAAAAAAAAAAAAAAGGTGTTGCAGTTTGGGGAAAGCCACAGCTCGTTCCTCTTCTTATCTTCCCATGGATCTCCTCTTCTTATCTTCACATCTCGTTGAAGCAGCGCTTCCCGCGCCGTACCGGACAGCTCCGAGAGCGCTGCGGCAGCGCCTCTTCGCCCTGCTCCGGAGCCGGGGCGCCGCCCCGAGGAGCCTCGCCCAGATCCACGCCCAGGTCGTCGTCAGCGGCTGCGCCGGCAGCGGCTTCGTCCTCGCCCAGCTGCTCGCCCGCTACGTCGGCTCCGGCCTCCTCGCGGACGCCTCGAGGGCATTCGAGGGCGCCCGGAACCCGAGCACCTCCGCGTGGAACCAGATGATCCGGGGGCACGGGCGGGGCCCCGCGCCGCGGGGGTCGGTGGAGTGCTTCGCTCGGATGGTGCGCGGGGGCGCCGTGCCCGACGGCTACACGTATTCCCATCTCCTGAGCGCGTGCGTGCGGTCGGGCTTGTTCGGAGAAGGACTGCAGGTGCACGGGAGGGTTGTGAGGGATGGGTACGTTTGCCATCCGTTTGTGAAGACGAATTTGGTGAATTTGTATGCGATGGGGGGAGGGGAGAGTGGGATGATGGATGCGTGCAAGGTGTTCGATGATATGGGCGAGAGGAATCTCGTGTGTTGGAATTCATTGCTTGCTGGGTACGTTAGGCGCGGAGACATGGGTGGTGCGCGGAAACTGTTTGACGAGATGCGGGAGACGAATGTCGTCTCTTGGACGATAATGGTTGCTGGGTATGCTCGGAACGGAATGTGTAGACAAGCGCTGAGTGTGTTTGATGAGATGCGGAGACTTCGGGTGGAGTTGGACCAGGTGGCCCTGGTAGCTGCGCTGTCGGGTTGTTCGGAGTTGGGAAATTTGAAACTTGGCCGGTGGATCCATTCGTATGTCGTAGAGAAAATATGTGCTAGAAATCAGCAGTTGTCTGTCACTCTGAACAATGCCATTATACACATGTATGCTAGCTGCGGTTCGATAGATGAAGCCTACGAGGTGTTCAGGAAGATGCCACGGAGAAGCACAGCTTCTTGGACGACCGTCATCATCGGATTCGCGAAGCAGGGGCTCGCGGACGAAGCTCTTGGGATATTCCATATGATGCTAAGCATAGGAGAGCCTGAAGCACAACCCGACGAGCTAACTTATATTGGGGTTCTGACTGCTTGCAGCCATGCCGGATATGTTGACGAGGGCCGCCTTGTTTTCAAGAGCATGAGTACAAGTCAGGGAATCGAGCCGAGAATCGAGCATTATGGCTGTATGGTTGACCTCTTGAGTCGTGCTGGATACTTCGAGGAAGCATGTCGGCTCATAGAAACCATGCCCATGAAACCGAATGAAGCTGTGTGGGGTGCCCTGCTTGGTGGTTGCAGGATTCATAAGAATCCTGAGATCGCATCTCTTGTGGCGCAGAGACTAGCAGTTGAGCTCGACCCTGACCGTGCTGCGGGCTATCATTTGCTTCTGTTGGAAACATATAGGACCGCCGAAAGATGGATAGATGTGAACGATATTAGGCAGAAAATGATTGACATAGGCGTGAAGAAGCCAGCACCTGGCCGAAGTTGGGTCGACGTCAATGGAGTCATTCATGATTTCGTGGCTGGTGATAGGAGCCACAAGCACACATTATCCATACACGAGATGCTCAGAAAGGTGATAGTTCAAGCCGAGTCAGGAGGAGACCGGCCAGATGGATCGGATGAGGCTTTGTGTGCTGCAGCCTAGAAAGGGTAAAGAGGGGACTTTTTGCGCAGCAATACTTCCTGCCCGTGTGCTACGGCCTGCAACGTCGTCGCTTGTTTGGACTGCTAAGGTTCTTGTTGACTCCTGCATCAAGCAAGAAGTTTTGAGCGCCATTTGATTACTTTTGAAAAGCTCTAACTAACGTCAATTGTCATCCGAGAAGAATACTTGTTCAGAGAGGATCTTGGTACTTTGATAGTAGCTCCCATTCTTTTGTATCATCCGTTCCGGTGGCGTTTAATGACTTGTACAGATACTTTAGAAAAATTCTGATTTTGGATTCTTCAGAAACGGAATCAAATGGTGATGTTCGGTCTATGGAACTCTTGCTACAGGCGAAATGTAGAATTTTCCTCGTGAATTGATTAATGGATTATGAATCTCTCTCTTTCTCGTGCGCGCGCATCGACACACAAATACTTGACCTCTAAAGAACAGATGGAAGGGTGGTAGAACGTAAAAACAATTTTAGCAAATTGGGCAACAGAACCCCCGGGCCAAGATTTTGTTTTATGCTTTCTTTTGTTGCAAGTTGCGTTCCTGTTGGCTGAGAAAGGATTATTTTGACATTACAAGCACAATGACAAAGTCTAGAGATAAAATAGAGTATGCAAATTTTGCACGTTGGCACCTGGAAGAGGTTAGCGAATAGAAGTAGCAAGCATTCATACGTTGAAACCAAAACTTGCTGCCTACATGAGGTTTTCGAAAGGCCACCATGCAATGCATCAGTTGAAATGGACGCCAAAAAAGGGAAATGCTTAGATGAATTTTACTTTGAATGACGATCTTTATTATTCAACTCGTAACATATTGTACACTCCCCGTCATAAGGTTATTTTCAGGGCGGATGATCCGCGAGTCTTATAAGATTAACAGCACCCGAGAGAATTGACCAGGACGTAATAGCATCTTCGACGTCATGAGCTTGCAATATTCTGCTGCCTTGGCAATCTTTTTGCGGATGAAAAGAAGTGATATGAACGCATTAAAGAGAGAGTTCATTCAAAACTTAGAAGAACCAATGCTGAGCACAGACAAGAAATTCACAGCGAATTATCATTATTGGCCATATTAACACTGAGTCAAGATATCATGTCGGTGATTCTCACTACTACTAATTTATTATGTCTTTTACCAAAAATCACAATCCAGACCAACTAAACTAGTTAAAATACCGAAAGGAATTCCGATGGAGTGAAAAGCTGATATACATGACGTGAAGAATTCAGTATCAAAAATTAAACTGGAAGACTGAGAGCTTAGACAGCAACTGGTTCAGGCCTCTTGCTGGTTTTGATTCCTCTGATAGCTGTAAAACATTCAAAACATACCCAAGGGGAGGGTCAAACCAAATTATAGCGAATGGATTTTTCCTTCTTGAGCCTAAAAGGTTTTAGGTGGCCCTACCTTCCGCATAATCTTTAGCACCGAAGACTGCAGAACCAGCAACTAAAGCATTTGCTCCAGCTTCAATGACCTGCATGCATAGAAACAGCTTAAATGAGAATCATGCATGTCATGTGATCTGTCATTTGAGCCTTTATGTGTTAGCAGAAATGAGGTTCTGGTTCACTTTAGCTACAGAAATATTTGCAGCCATGTTTAATCCTAGGTTGCCGGCATCCTTCCCTTCATAGAACAGAATGAATAAAATCCTTCTAATTTGGTAAAAGCATTTGAACTTTGTGTCGGTAACTACTGGTAGGTTCAAGCATCAATAGGCATGCCTTGTTACTTTCCCCCTTCCATCATTTTAAATGCTCTAGTGTACCCAAGGATAATATACATTTTAGGGACTCTGCGAGGAAAATGAATGGACATGGAGCATCCAGTATATTTCAACAGCTAGGACACTTAGTTTGGTTCTTCTGGGATGTCTTTGACGTCTTAGTGTACCCAAGCATACTTCCAGAATTTGACGTCTCGTGATTTGCTAAGGAAATATCGCTGGATATTACACTCAATAGATCAGAAAACAATCTAAGATGTCCCTTTGTGCCAGCTGCCAACAGTTCAATAAAATTCAATCCAAGTTCTTCCCCAATTATTATAGAATCGTCAAGGAGTCAGTCAGACAGATCAAACTACTAGTAGGCACATAACAATTACATAACAGCACCTTATACGCATTGGCTGGGCCGACTCCACCATCTACTTCGATCCATGGGTCGACTCCCTGCCACAAAGGAGAAGACAAAAAAGTTCCATGATATTTTTTCTTACTTTCAAGAAAAAATGTTCACTATAACCAAACAGATAACCAAGTAAAGAAGAATGACATAGGACCATGTCCCAAGAATATTACCTTCTCCACACACATCCTTCTCAAGTCTGATGTTTTCTTCACTTGGCTCTCGATAAAGCTTTGTCCACCAAAGCCAGGGTTCACCGACATGATCAACACCAGATCAACCACTATTTGCATAAAGAAAGCTAGTGTCATATTTTCTCTTTCATCAGATAAATTTGCCACCTCTTGGACGAAAAATCCTTGGGTAAAATATTGGAAAAGTTTAAGAAAATAAAAGAAAAATTGCGACGGAAGTGAACAAACAGTAAACTCACCATCAAGGACATATTCTATAGCGGTTAGTGGGGTACCAGGGTTCAGGACAACTCCAGCTTTAGCTCCCGAATTTTTAATCTAGACCATCATTAACCAAAATTCGGTAAAAGACGCATAACTTATATTAAACTGCAAGGCGGGTGATGAACAGAAAATTGGGGGCAGTTATGCTACCCATCCAATATTAGGAGTCTCAGGTTCGAATAGATTCACCAATATATCAGATAAAGAAGCAAAAATATTCGGATTGTGAAAGATCAACCTCTACCCCAGTTATCCCTTAGTCGCAACACCTTTGCACCTGTCGGGACATCCTTTGTCTTTTCAGGTACGAGGTTTTTGTGTTCGGCTACACCCTTGTATTCTGTGTGTTGAAAAGTCAATATAATTCTTACCTTACCAAAAAAAAAAAAACCTCTACCCCAGTTATTTTAACTATCGACACAACATGCCAGAAGACGAGTGCACCACATCTGTATCGCGGAGGTCGTATTACCGGATTAAAATGAGATGGCAATGTGTGCCTCTGAAGTTAGTGTTTAGGACAGTGAAAAGGCAGCGTGCTGCATACAATCCCAATAGTATTGTAAATAGCAAAAGACAAAAGGAACATGTGCAACAGAAGTCCGTCATTATTCTAAGTCCTACAAAGGGACTTACATTCTCCAGGAAGGTAAAAAAATTGGGTTGCCAGTAGAAGACATGGCATGCACTGTAAAATACTGAGGATCTACATGGTTGAAGTTGTTTATACAATTAAAAAGTTTTATAATTAGCTGTTGCAGTTATTCTTATAAATTATCCTTACAGGCTGAAGCCTCTCACTTTTTCATGAAAGAATATTTTCCAAGGACTCTGTGGTTGTGGACTGTCTAGATGTACACATTGCTCCATGTAAAGAGACCCATTAAAGAACATGAACAACCACCAAGAACAACATGTTCTGCATATATAGAATAAAGAAAGGATCATACTAGGTTGAGTGTGCGATGCAAGTGGATGGTAGCAGTTTGTTCACAATGTACACTGACTATGTCAGCTCCAGCCTTGATGAAATCTGGTACTCGCTGTTCAGGTTCCACAATAACCTGTACGCGATTTCCAAGTTATTAAGTATTCAGTTCAGTCGACAACCTTCTGTTATTGAAGAAAATCCACCAAATGAAAAGGTTACCAGATGAACATCCAGAGGAAGATCTGTAACAGGGCGCAGGGCAGCAACCACAAGGGGACCAAATGTAATATTGGGAACAAAACGGCCATCCATCACATCGACATGGATCCAGTCACATCCTGCCAACTCCACAGCTTTCACCTGGATCACTATATAATAGTCAAATACCACAACAATGGATCTACATGACAACCCTCAGCAGAAACAATCTGAGAAAAAAGCCAATTTTGCGACTTGGAATATTGTTAAAGCATGCAAGCTAGAACCATACTAAAGATCCGAGTAATGGGGTAGGGACAAATCAAACCTTTCATAGCTCTTTGAAAAATAAGTGATAGAATGGAACCTGTTCTCCCAGCTTCGAAAAATTAGCAGATAGAATTGATGGAGATACAATAATCTCACTTTTGGAGTATTTGTCAACTCGTGAAGATGCCTTCACCGCTGTCTGGATTTTCCTATTTAGACCCATACAAAGGGAAGTAATCCTATCAGAAATGGGAGATAAAGAGCTGTAGAATAGCTTAAGGGCAATGTCCATAAAAGTAGTCTTAAAAGTGAAGTCCCAACAATCGTAAATGTAATATATAACAGAAACATATTAACTTCACTCTCAAACGACAAATGAGAAGCAAACAAGGCTAGTAAGAACTATCAGACGAAGCAAGAAAGACACATGCAATAGGCTACTAATAATGACAACATTTTTTCCCAATTACTCTGGAAGTGCGAACTGCCCATTAATTGTCGGGATAGCTATCTTCCACCTTTATGTACAATCTTTCTAAACGACTGACGTCAAAAGTCAACACGAGTTCTACTCTGAAGACTGAATCCGATCTTGACACCTGGTAATTCGAGCTCTCGATGCCCCCCAGTACCTTCACATATCGCTAGAGTACGATCACGAAGCCAGAGGAAGAGAAAATCGCAGAAAACTCCTGCTATGAGTTATTGGCCCAAAGTACCAGCCAATCAATCACTACAAGCATAGATGGACCTTCAGTACTATATATAATTCAGCTTCGCATATTCCCAAACATGTAGCGCCCGAACTTCAATCCGAGTCATCAACAGAATATCTCAGCCTAAAATCCTCACGCTAGCTACCGCATAATTTCTTCGCGCCGCAAACCACATCACTCTTATCGCGCAACCGGAAAAGAAAAAGGAAAGCGAATAGATTCTCTCTACTTTACCCGTCGTTTCCCGGACTATACTCGACCGAATCGCCATAAACAGTTCGTTCCTCGCTTCGTTCCAACCTGAATGACTTCATCGAATCCGGTCGAGACAACTTCCCTCGGAAGATCATATACTCTTTCCCGCACAGGTTTAAGCGCTAGACAACCTCGAATTCCGAACGAATCATCGAGATCTCGAAGAACGCCGTTCCCAAAAACTTTCAGCTCCGCAGACAAAAGAAGCAGCGATGACTTGAATACCTGGCGAAACCGACACTGCCCGGCCGGCGGAGAGAAGATCGCCGGAGCTCGAGGCCTCCTCCGAGCCCGCCGATCCGCGACGGCAGCGTCGAAGAGCGAAGCGAAGCGGTCGACATCTCTCCCTCTCTCTCTCTCTCTCGCTCTGCGTTGCGCTCTCTCTCCAAATCGTGCTCCTCTGCAGAGCTTTAACGGCTAGGTAGAGAGAGAAAGCTCGGTGGGGTGCGATGACGTGAGAAAATATTGCGTGAGTGGAAAACTCCACGTTGGAAAAAATCTATTTCACCGATCGTTCATTTCCCTCCTCTGCCGTTCTATTTTCTCCCGAACGATCGGTGAAATAGATCTCCACGTTGGAAAAGATCTATTTCACCGATCGTTCAGGAGAAAATAGAATGGCAGAGGAGGAAAAAGATCTATTTCAGCAATATTTTCTCCCGAACGATTGGTGAAATAGAACGGCAGAGGATCGGAGAAAATATTGCGCGAGTGAAATACTCCACGTAGGCACTCACGCAATATTTTCTCCTCTCCTCTGCCGTTCTATTTCACCAATCGTTCAGGAGAAAATATTGGTGAAATAGATCTTTTCCCTCCTCTGCCGTTCTATTTTCTCCTGAACGATTGGTGAAATAGATCTTTTTCAACGTGGAGTTTTCCACTCACGCAATATTTTCTCGAGAGGAGGAGCAGGGTCCTTCATCGTCAACACACCCCACCGAGAAAATATTGCGTGAGTGGAAAACTCCACCGGTGCCTCCTTGTCGGTGTCGTCTCGCCTCGCCATGGTCGAGCTCAAGCAGCGGATCCTCACTTAGCTGTCTAAGCTCTCCGACCACAACACCCACCAAATTGCTATCGCCATCCCCCATGCTCCTCAATTGCCTCTCCCTATTTTTCCTCTCAGTCCCACGGCTCAAATTCTAATTCCTTTCACCTCAGCCTGCAGCTCGCTCTCTCACCTCACACTCTCTGCAAGACCCTTGCTCTCTCAGTCTCTCTTACAGCTCGTAGGTTGCGACCTCGCTTGCTAGACGGCCTATTCCATTGACCCACTCAAAAATCGAATAGAATCGGTGGTTCGATTCTCGGGTGGGTCTAGGAATCAATGGGCGATTCACAGTTTCACAAACCGGGAAACCAATCCTTAGAGGACGATTTTCGGTTTCAGGGTAAAAGCCACCCACCTTAAAACCGATGGCACCTAATATCCGTGAAAATATCCCGTTTGGGTAAATGGCAATCCTTCTAGAAGGGCTAATTACAAGGAATCAACCCCTAGTTTTCCTCGCGATCAAATTCGCTTCACGGTCCATAAATAAATAGCACATAAAATTAATTTCTACAGATAAAAGGGGCCCCGGCATTTTCCAGGTCAGCAACCCGGCGCGCCAACCATTGCCGATAAGCCCGCCACGTGTCGGCCCGAGATCGCTTCTCCATCTCCTTTCCTCGGATCCGGCGCCTCCCTCCTCTGAACGTCGGAGAAAATATTGCGTGAGTGGAATACTCCACGCAGGCAATACACAACTCCACTGAGCGCGTGACACCTGACAAGCGGGCCCACAAATCAGATTTATTAAAAAATCTGACCCTTTCCCTTCTCTCTCCCATCCTCCGTTACCCTCGCCGCTACTGCTCAAATATTCACTTTTTCACTTGGTTTCTCTCTCCCTCCCTCCTTCCGCTCAAACTTCTCCCGCTCCCGACCTCCTCTTCCTTCCTCCGCAACTTCGCCTCCTTTGGTCGTGAACCCGCCGCGCCTACGCCGGTTGCCTCCGCCGGCCCCTTCCAGAAAACCCATTTGCTCTCTCTCTCTCTTTCCTCCGCGAAGCGCGGCTCTTTTTGTGGACCGCGCCTCCGCCTCTGCCGGTTGACTGCGCCGTCGCCTCCTGGAGCCCATCGGTGGCTCAGATCCCGACCGCGCGGCCGCCTCCGCCTCCGCCGTCGCCTCCGAAGCCCCCCATTGGCGATTCGTCCTCTGCCCTTCTGTCTCTGTCCCGAGAAACGGCTCCGCTCGGCTCTCTGTGACGAACGGCGCCTCCGCCGTTGCCTCCCGAAGCCCCTTTGGCGAGCCCTCGGCAGAGGAGCTGGCGCTGGTGGTGGTGATGGTGGGGTCGAGGTGTGTGCGTTCGACAATCGCGGCGCGGACCGGAGCTCCGTGCCCGCCGACAAGTCGGAGTACACGTGAGTCCGATTGATGCATACCGTGAGCTTTCTAGTTCGTTTGAGTGTGTGCTGCTTCGTGGAGTTTCTTGAATCGGGAGCGTATTCATAGGAGAATGGTTGCCAGTTGGTGCAAAGCTGAAATGCAGCTTCAGCTTTCCTTGGACTAATCGTGGACATTGGATGGCTTTCTTAGTCTTTTAGTTTGATGATAATTTGGTGCTGTTCCAAAAACATTTTAACGAAAATTGACTTTGACTTTCGATATGATTTCTGGAGCAGGACAAAGATTATGGGCGAAAGATGCGATTGCTGTACTCGATCACCTGGGATGGGAAAGAGTCCATGTCATTGGCCGTTCAATGGGTGAGTTTTGAATGACCCAAATTTCGTGGATGCTTATTTGGCTCTGTGGTTCATATGAGAAATTGAAACAGCCATTCTGATTGCAATTTCTGGATGCCTGGATTTATCTGGCCATTTTTTAAACTTAATAATGAACTAAAAATCACATCCATGACATGTCTGCCTATGAGTCCAGATCGGGTTCCTGTTTGTTTTAGGGTGACTAATTGCCCTCTTTGGCTGTCAAAACAGGAGCTATGATGGCTTGCAAGTTGGCTGCCATGGTTGCCAACAGAGTTTTATCTTTAGGGTTGCTCAATGTGACTGGTGAAGGTTATGAATGTTTCCCAAAGGTATTGCATCCATTTCAGTATGCGATGGTCCTTCCTTTGAATAGAGATTGACATTTTTCTCCATGCAAACTAAAAGGGGAAAGAATGTTCTTCCCGGTTTCTTTTATCATTAAAAGAACTATTTGTTTGTGTGGGTGTTCGCTGTTCAGTACTTTACAGACTGGTTGTTCATTTATTGCATGCTGAGCCTCTTCCATGCTCCTTATCCTTTGCTTTAACCACATGAACAAGAGGAAATGGATTTTTTTTACTAATATACTGCTTAGAAAGGAGCCGTTATGAACTTTTACTAGTTAATTACTTGCGGATTTTAATCCATGCCACGAATGTTCCTTATTAATGTTTGCGCGTAGTAGCAGAAGTTGCTTTCGCAGTTTGCATCTCTCGAATGTCCCAGTCACAGCTACCATACAAAATCATTCAGATGGAAAAATCGTCAAAAGATCTCATTGCATCACTTGAATATCCCAGCCATAGCTACCACACAAAATCATAGAGATGGTTATTTTTCAAAAGAGCTCTCGTTGATTAGCTACAAGAGTCCTTTTCCTTGTGAAAATGAGAAGCAATGCAGAGACATAGGACTTAACCTTGGATATTGTGCGGGAACAACAATTTTTTGAAATAGAGATTCGAAGAAAGATCAATATCTAGCGAGAGCCTTTCTGCATCGCAGTTGCAGTCTTCCTGAGATGATTCCGTGTTTTCATCTAGGAAAAAAAGGGTCCTCTCACAATTTGCCTTTTAATGGTGAAACTGCTTATTGTTCACTTGAATCCATTCATATTCTGTATCTTGACCTCGCCATATGATGGAACATTGTTATCGGGGGAGTGGAAGCTGTTTTGACTTTCCTCAAGAAAATTGGTTTCATTTTTACTTTCCCAAAGAAATTCCCATACTTGTTTTAAGTAGCTACTTGTGCTATTTACCATGTGAATTAAATTTGTTTTGATGATGCAATTGCATTGTCACTTAAAACCAAAAAAAATTGAATCCAGTCCTGATATTGCACTTGAGTCACTATTTGAGCGGTCTAACAATGATCTTTTGATTTGTGTATATTGATTGGCGAACCATCTCAATTGCAATCCGCGTTTTTAGGGCTAAAACTTCGGAACAAAGGGCTGCTGTTGATTTGGATACCCACTACTCAAAGGTAGGCAGTACTTGTGTATTTAAACCATCATTGTAAAATCCACTGCATCCTCCTGTCATCTCTGTCAAAGGAGAAATACTTAATCTTTCTCCATCCCAAAAGAAATAAGGATTTCAGGAGAACAATCAGTGGTTTTGTGATAGTATGAATTAAGGACTCCAAGTAAATTCATTTGTGTTCTTATGATTGGAGTCTTTCTTTTGGGACATGGAAGTGTGTCGATGTGTTAGGCTTCCACGGACAGAGGTTTTAGATAATCTGTGTGAGTGTGTGTGTGTGTGTGTGTGTGTGTGAGAGAGAGAGAGAGAGAGAGAGAGAGAGCAATCCACAGGGTAAAGCCGTTGGTCTATTTTTCTTTCTCTTATGGAAGCGTAATGTATTATGTGCAGGAATATCTTGAGGAATATGTTGGATCTAGCACCCGGAGGGCAGTACTCCACCGAGTAAGAAATCTTGAAAAATCTCAAGTTTCTTTGGTCTAGCATTAACATAATGGAGCAAACCCTACATGGCCTTAGTAACTCTTGTGTTATTTAGAAACTTCCTGAGGGTTTTTTAAGGTTTAGTAAATGTTTATGTCTACGAGTGTTGTTTAGGTTTAAATGTACAACAATGCCATATAAACAAGTGCCAAACTATCATTGAGTTTTCCTATCCTTAGGATTTCCATAGATGCATTTTACTTTGGTGTTCACAGTTAAATGACCTGCCTCTGAATAACCATGGTGCAATATGGTATTTTAACTTGACAACTTTTTTTCACTTATGACTATACACCTTTGCTTAGAGTTCATTGAAACTGGATGAACTTTATAAGATATTACTTCACTGAAAATTGCCATTTTGTGTTGAAGTCAATAATTGGTTTTTGACTAGTTTAATTTTATAATTGTAGTATAAGATTGATAACTTGACTAAGGACTAGATCCTATCACTTGCAGGACTATGTAAAAAGTATTACAACAACGGGACTGCAGTCCAACTATGGCTTTCAGGTTCAGATAAATGCTTGCTGGAAGCATAGGATGACAGGAACAGAGAATTAATCCGTTCTGCAGCACACAAGATCACACCTAGAGCTCAGTCTAGTCATGGTTTGTGCCGATTTTGCTTGGCACAAACCTCACAGAGATACTGACAGAACGGTCCCCTCCAACTCCCAATATCAAAGAAGTTTTCGAAGTCTCGAATGCGTATCCTAACGAGGTCTTCCCAAGATATCATTCAGGTGAAAAATGGGTACTAACTGTGTAATCCTTCTTCATCTTGGAGGCCTGCACATCTGATACTTGAGTGATACTTCAATGCATCAACTTTATGTCTTGATTAGAGAGGTCTCGAGGTTGCGAGTAAGAAGTCATGCAGGGAGGCCCTTCTATTTTTTTGTAAGTAAAAGAGTTTTTGTACGATCCAGTAATTGTCATATACTACCGTAGGCGGATTGGGATGAATTCGCAAGAACGCAAGGGATCCGATGCAAGTGTCCAAGCAGTCTTGTGAGTATAACTTTCGACTGTTCCAGTAGAATAACCATTGATCCCTGCACTCTCAGTTTTCTTGCATATGCACTTGCCCTACATAGTCCTAGGAACCAGGTCCATGATGCAGTCTTGTATAGTTTGGGATGATTCGCAATGATGGAAATTCACATTCTCTATGTGCGGAGCAATGACTAACATGCGCTTTAAGAGTTATTACGAAAATGTATGACCAAATCACTCTCCTTTTGCAAATTTGTTAGTATTATAATAGCAATAACTATTATTATTATTGTTGTTCTTTGCCTTTTTCTTTTGGCGGGAGGTTGGGGGATGGTTGGATTGAAGGCGGCACGAGCAGCTCTTGGAATTACTCACCTAATTTTTGCGAATGACATCGCGATGGAAGCTTTGTCTAGAGGAACTCTCCTGGGCAAAATATGAATTTGACGGAGTCTAGAGTTTTTTTTTTGCAAGAAATTTGGATTGATTAACACGACTTGAAATCTGCCAGTAGCTTTCTTTTGCTCAAGAAAGCATTTGAGACTGGTACAACCTTTGTTCATGCGATCTTATTCAAAACTAAGATTTCACCTATGCCAAAGATTAGGCGAGACGATGCTCTAACTTGTGGAAACAGACCTTATCCCGAACAGGATGCTAAATTTTTCATCCAGCTAGTCATTTTGTTAAATCCCAACGAAGAATTTCCCATCTTCCACTGCAGAAGCGGACCTTAATTCAAAACATAATCGTTTTTTGGGTCAATTTTCTTGATAGACAAGATTAACACACGGTGCTTGCTTGTTTTAAGCAACATAACGCTTTTTACCTGAAGTATGCCGAACAATATCAACTTTGCTTATTCTGACGCAAGATAAACCCCCACATGGTCATAGAACACCACGAATTGTTTCTCGACTCTGGTCACGACAAATGTAACTGCTATAGGTAATGCACCATTCTACGACATATGGGTATACCAGCTTCCAATGCTGCCACTCTCTCTTTTTCAAAAGAGAAACTTCATTCATACAAATTGATAATGCGCACAGATGGATCTAACGAAGTGAGTAAGGATAAATCAGTGAAAAACAGCCACACCCAAGTATTCAAATTAAGTGCAACACTAAAAGAATGAAATCCACAGTAATAATTGGAAAGATAAGGATCTAAATAGAATTTTGAAAATCATCGGACTCCGTCTTTCTACCAGATGAAACAGTAAGTTCCAGAACAAACAGAAACAAGTAGGGAAAAATAATCTAACATAGTTACTAAAGACACAAGGAACACCAAAATTTGTGTACTCTTTAGTGTTCTTCATCACGAGTCTCACTTCTTTGCCTTCTTCGGTACCCGGAAAGCCAAATAAAATTCTCTCAGATAAATCCAACTGTGGATAAAGGGAAATCTGCCCATTTTGTTGCATATACTTACTCGGCTTCAGGTGCTCTAGCTGGTGGTGCTGTTGCTGGCTTCTCACCAGGTCATTAACGTCATTGGGGTTTAATCTCTTACTTACTGCCAAATAAGAAAAATCAAGTCAATGGAGTATCATGGACTTATGTCTTTCCCTCACTGGAGCCACACCTACTTTACCTAATACAGTTTCATGTCTAGAGAAAAAAGATTCAAGGAAAGTTCATATCTTATGCATTAATCCATTGTGTCTAAATGAAGTATCCGGACAAGCTATTAAAAAATCAATAAATTTGGCAAATCGATCACCATGTGTACCACAGAATGTCCACATTCTATACAAAATTTTCAGGATTAGCTATACTTTTACATTTGCTGATGTCATTCCAAAATCCCTAACATTCACTATCACGTTGAATATTGGCTTTAACCACACTAACCACAGCAGAAGTGCTCCCCATCCAACACAAACAATCAACTATTGATTCATTAGATTAGATATCCAATGATTTTCAATTGGACAAAGCAGCAAAGCCAGCCACCTAGACAACACAATTTACAAGTTAACATCTAACAAATTCATTCTGGCTACTATTTCTAAGCTTTGAGTTCCACTAAGATGCAACTCTACTGGTACATTGATACAACCACTCAAGACTGTGTATTGTTTGCAGATAAGCCCAACAAATAAACATAGTAGCCCAAATAAGTTGTAGTACATTGCTCGCAAATACATCCTATATTTTGGATTTCTCACAAGAGAAATGATCAGGATATTGAACTTTGGCAATAAAAGGAAGAGTTAAAAAATTGCCTGTTTCTCCCGCGACAAATGAGCACGTTCAACAGCAGGCATTTCTTCCCACCTCAAAACCTAGTGTCACAGAGATGTCACACCAAGGACTTATTAAGTTTTTAGTGCAAATATTAGTGGTACTAAACGTTGGAGTTTGTGTTATTGTCCACAAACTTCCGATGAAATCTTAATGCTAATTAAAGAAACGATAAAAGTATTCACATATTGTGCATAGTGAATCACATCATAAGACTTCAAGCAACATTTCAATGCATGCAGGAGATCCTGGATTATCATGTATGAAACATTTCAGGGACAATGAAAGTAAAATCAAAGAAAGTAGATGGGCAAACTTTGTGATGTAAGCTTTACACCCAAATTTACATATACAAGAGAAACGGAGGGCCCTGATTTTCAGTGTTATAAAATGTACGGATAAAGTTACATGACCTTGTGCTTGTTCTTATTGATCCTCAGCCGCTCATCGATCACGAAACCAAACTGCAAGGGGGAACTCAAGATGAAAAAAAAAAGGCCAGTAATTTAAACATAATTAGATCCACACTTGAATTGACTACAATTAACAAAAATGACGGACGTGAACATAATCAGTTTGCAGAAAATAGACTAATTGATGCACTTAACGAATAGAGCTCAATAATCTCAAAGCAGTGCAACTGAAAAGATCCCTTTTATATTTTTGCAGATGAAATCCAATGAAGAGACAACCTATGATGCTTGCATCTATTTTCTCCCACACAAGTACAAAAATGGTTGTCTGTGGCATTATCCTCAGATTGCACTCAAGAAACATGCGTGATGTTCTTTCGTTCGAGCAGAATCAACAGAGAGTGTAAGAATGAGCACAGGCCACATCTTTCATTTAGCACAGAGTCATAACAAGCACAAACATTATCACCCATTCACCAAACGAACCTCATTATTTGACAAATTAAGCACGACCAATCCGACAATCTGCCCAAACGCCAAAAAAAACAATTCCGTGAAGACGAAACAAACTAACCAAGGAAAAAACATAATAACAGCGAACCTGTTGATGGCGCGGTTCGTCACAGAGAGCCGAGCGAAGACATTTCTTGGGACACAGAGAGAGGGGAGGAGGACGAATCGCCAATGGGGGGCTTCGGAGGTGACGGCATAGGCGGAGGCGGCCGCGTGGTCGGGATTTGAGCCACCGATCTTCACGTTAGGGCAAAAAAGGGAATAAGTTCAAGTCATACAAAACCCTAACCTGAGAATGGGGCTCCGGGAGGCAACGAAGAGGGCGAGTCGGAGCCCGAGATCGCCAAAGGGGCTTCGGGAGGTGACAGCGGAGGCGCGGTTCGTCACAGAGAGCCGAGCGGAGCCGTTTCTTGGGACAGAGAGAGAAGGGCAGAGGACGAATGGCCAATGGGGGGCTTCGGAGGCGACGGCGTAGGCGGAGGCGGCCGCGTGGTCGGGATCTGAGCCACCGATGGGCTCCGGGAGGCGACGGCGCAGGCAACCGGCGAAGGCGGAGGCGCGGTCCACAAAAAGAGCCGTGCTTCGCGAATGAAAGAGAGAGAGAGAGAAAATGGGTTTTCTGGAAGGGGCCGGCGGAGGCAACCGGCGTAGGCGCGGCGGGTTCACGATCAAAGGAGGTGAAGTCGCGGAGGAAGGAAGAGGAGGTCGGGAGCAGGAGAAGTTTGAGCGGAAGGAGGGAGGGAGAGAGAAACCAAGTGAAAAAGTGAATATTTGAGCAGTAAGGCGAGGGTAACGGAGGTTTAACGGAGGATGGGAGAGAGAAGGGAAAGGGTCAGATTTTTTAATAAATCTGATATGTGGGCCCGCTTGCCAGGTGTCACGCGTTCAGTGGAGTTGTGTATTGCTTACGTGGAGTATTCCACTCACGCAATATTTTCTCGGTCGTTCAGAGGAGGGAGGCGCCGGATCCGAGGAAAGCAGATGGAGAAGCGATCTCGGGCCGACACGTGGCGGGCTTATCGGCAATGGTTGGCGTGCCGGGTTGCTGACCTGGAAAATGCTAGCCCCTTTTATCTGTAGAAATTAATTTTATGTGCTATTTATTTATGGACCGTGAAGCGAATTTGATCGCGAGGAAAACTAGGGGTTGATTCCTTGTAATTAGCCCTTCTAGAAGGATTGCCATTTACCCAAACGGGATATTTTCACGGATATTAGGTGCCATCGGTTTTAAGGTGGGTGGCTTTTACCCTGAAACCGAAAATCGTCCTTTAAGGATTGGTTTCTCGGTTTGTGAAACTGTGAATCGCCCATTGATTCCTAGACCCACCTGAGAATCGAACCACCGGTTCGGTTCGATTTTTGAGTGGGTCAATGGAATAGGCCGTCTAGCAAGCGAGGTCGCGACCTGTGAGCTGCAAGAGAGACTGAGAGAGCAAGGGTCTTGCAGAGAGTGTGAGGTGAGAGAGCGAGCTGCAGGCTGAGGTGAGAGGAATTAGAATTTGAGCCGTGGGACTGAGAGGAAAAATAGGGAGAGGCAATTGAGGAGCATGGGGGATGGCGATAGCAATTTGGTGGGTGTTGTGGTCGGAGAGCTTAGACAGCTAAGTGAGGATCCGCTGCTTGAGCTCGACCATGGCGAGGCGAGACGACACCTACAAGGAGGCACCGGTGGCCCACATTGGTCGCCGGCGAGGAGGAGGATCGAGACGTCGGTGGCGCCGGCACTGCCGGCAAGGATTGGGCATGAGACCATGAGGCGCAGGAGGATTTGAGCCCCTGCGATCTCATCCCAGTGGTTCAACCAAAATACGAGAGGAGAATGTTGGATATATTATTAATATAGTCCAAATAATATGTTCACATACAAGCCCAATATGTTTAAAGCATGGTTATTTTGGGCCCATATGGGCTGAAGCCCAATAGCTTACATATAAATTCTAGGATTTATCTACGCTGGAGGTAACACTGTTGAGCGTTCCAAACTTGATGTCTCTTAGTGTAACATTTCAAGCAAAACACTATCTACTCTCTCAAACCCATAACATTCAACAATCTTGAAGTATTAGATTCGTGTTTTGGATTTGAGCAAGAAAGGTGTCTACTTGAAGATCTCGTCGAGACGAACTCACAGGTATTATTTATTTTCGATTTCGACGGTGGGATCGGCCGAAATCTTTGATTCAAGAACCCAGAAATTATAGCCAATTTCAGAGGGTGAAACCACTTGGGTCTTGTTCTATTCGTCGATACGAGCGTTTTGAGTAATCACTCACATTGAACGGAGGTCGGACGGCTGAGATACGACAACCGGAAGTCCGGCGATTTTTCGGCTTCCAACGAATTTCCGGCGACTTCTCGGCTTCCAGCAACAAGAGCAATCCAGGTTTTTTGGCACTCCGGATTGTTTTTGGGGTCTGTTTTGGCAAACTCCACCTCTACAGAGCGGTTTGACCAAGGTTAGGAGCTTTATTCGACTTTGTGAGCTCCGAGGACTCCAAGGTGCACTCTTTCTACGTCTTTGCTCTGATTAAAATGGTAAAACATAGTTCCTATGATATTATCAAGCTACAATCATTTGATGTCACTGAATTTCATGATTGGAAATTGCATGTTCAATTTGGCATGAAAGAACGTGAAATATTCTACACTATACTGAGTGATTTCAGAATGCATTTTTGATTCCAGAATGAGTTTTGGGCAAGAAAAAGAGAAGCTACTTTTTGTAACTTCTCTCTTCCAGAATGCATTCTCCATATTTTCTCTCTTTTTCTCACTAATTTTTTTTTTCAGAAAATGCATAAAAATTGAAAAATTCCAGAAAAATTCATAAAAATCTCCCGAAAATAAAAAAAAGTCAGATTTCGGGAAAATATGAAATTTGGTGAATTTTTTTCAAAAAAATCAAAAAATCAAAAATTTCAAAATTTCACAGAATGGCTTAGAATACCTTTGGACATCCACTTTGAGTGAAATTTAATTTTTTGAGGTAAAAAATCAAAAAATAAAAAATTTCAAAACTTCACAAAATGGCAGAATACCTTTGGCAAGACCCACTTTGAGTGAAATTTAATTTTTGAGGTGCCCAAAAAATCAAAAATCAAAATTTCAAAACTTCACAAAATGGCTTAGAATACCTTTGAGCACCCACTTTGAGTGAAATTTATTTTTCTTGAGGTGCCCAAAAAAATCAAAAAATCAAAAATTTCAAAACTTCACAAAATGGCTTAGAATACCTTTGGGCACCAACTTTGAGTGAAATTTATTTTTTTTGAGGTGCCTAAAAAATAAAAAATAAAAATAGATTTCTGTTCCAGAAATCAATTTCTGGGGCAGAATTAATCATGTTTTATCAAACAGATTTCTCCTCAAAAAATCAATTTCTGGCAAGAATTTGATTTTTGGAGCAGAATGGTTACCATTTGCGCCCTAAATGTCCGTTGAAGTAGCGCTTCCCGCGCCGTAACCGACAGCTCCGAGAGCGCTGTGGCAGCGCCTCTTTGCCCTGCTCCGGAGCCGCTGCGGTGCCCCGAGGAGCTTCGCCCAGATCCATGCCCAGGTCGTCGTCAGCGGCTGCGACGGCAGCGGCTTTGTCCTCGCCCATCTGCTCGCCCGCTACATTGACTAAGGCCTCCTCGCGGACGCCTCAAGGGCCTTCGAGGGCGCCCGGAACCCAAGCACCTCCGCGTGGAACCAAATGCTTGATTAATGGATTATGCATCTCTCTCTTTCTCGTGCGCGCATCGACACACAAATACTTGACCTCTAAAGAACAGATGGAAGGGTGGTAGAACGTAAAAACAATTTTAGCAAATTGGGCAACAGAACCCCGGGGGCCAAGATTTTGTTTTATGCTTTCTTTTGTTGCAAGTTGGTTCCTGTTGGCTGAGAAAGGATTGTTTTGACATTACAAGCACAATGACAAAGTCTAGAGGCAAAATAGGGTATGCAAATTTTTGCACGTTGGCACCTGGAAAAGTTTAGCGAACAGAAGTAGCAAGCATTCATATGTTGAAACCAGAACTTGCTGCCTACATGAGGTTTTCGAAAGGCCACCATGCAATGCATCAGTTGAAATGGACGCCAAAAAAGGGAAATGCTTAGATGAGTTTTACTTTGAATGATGATCTTTATTATTCAACTCGTAACATAATGTACACTCCCTGTCATAACGTTATTTTCAGGGTGGATGATCCGCGAGTCTTGTAAGATTAACAGCACCCGAGAGAATTGACCAGGACGTAATAGCATCTTCGACGTCATGAGCTTGCAATATTCTGCTGCCTTGGCAATCTTTCTGCGGATGAAAAGAAGTGATATGAACGCATCAAAGAGAGAGTTCATTCAAAAACTTAGAGAACCAATGCTGAGCACAGACAAGAAATTCACAATGAATTATCATTATTGGCCATATTAACACTGAGTCAAGATACCTTACCAAAAAAAAAAAAACACCAAGTCAAGATATCATGTCGGTGATTCTGACTACTAATAATTTATTATGTCTTTTACCAAAAATCATAATCCAGACCAACTAAACTAGTTAAAATACCGAAAGGAATTCCGATGGAGTGAAAAGCTGACATACATGATGTGAAGAATTCAGTATCAAAAATTAAACTGGAAGACTTGAGAGCTTAGACAGCAACTGGTTCAGGCCTCTTGCTGGTTTTGATTCCTCTGATAGCTGTAAAACATTCAAAACATACCCAAGGGGAGGGTCAAACCAAATTATAGCGAATGGATTTTCCCTTCTTGAGCCTAAAAGGTTTTAGGTGGCCCTACCTTCCGCATAATCTTTAGCACCGAAGACTGCAGAACCAGCAACTAAAGCATTTGCTCCAGCTTCAATGACCTGCATGCATAGAAACAGCTTAAATGGGAATCATGCATGTCATGTGATCTGTCATTTGAGCCTTTATGTGTTAGCAGAAATGAGGTTCTGGTTCACTTTAGCTACAGAAATATTTGCAGCCATGTTTAATCCTAGGGTGCCCGCATCCTTCCCTTCATAGAACAGAATGAATAAAATCCTTCTAATTTGGTAAAATCATTTGAACTTTGTGTCGGTAACTACTGGTAGGTTCAAGCATCAATAGGCATGCCTTGTTACTTTCCCCCTTCCATCATTTTAAATGCTCCAGTGTACCCAAGGATAATATACATTTTAGGGACTCTGCGAGGAAAATGAATGGACATGGAGCATCCAGTATATTTCAACAGCTAGAACACTTAGTTTGGTTCTTCTGGGATGTCTTTGACGTCTTAGTGTACCCAAGCATACTTCCAGAATTTGACGTCTCGTGATTTGCTAAGGAAATATCGCTGGCTATTACACTCAAAAGATCAGAAAACAATCTAAGATGTCCCTTTGTGCCAGCTGGCAACAGTTCAATAAAAATTCAATCCAAGTTCTTCCCCAATATTATAGAATCATCAAGGAGTCAGTCAGACAGATCAAACTACTAGTAGGCACATAACAATTACATAACAGCACCTTATATGCATTGGCTGGGCCGACTCCACCATCTACTTCAATCCATGGGTCGACTCCCTGCCACAAAGGAGAAGACAAAAAAGTTCCATGATATTTTTTATTACTTTCAAGAGAAAAGTTCACTATAACCAAACAGATAACCAAGTAAAGAAGAATGACATAGGACCATGTCCCAAGAACATTACCTTCTCCACACACATCCTTCTCAAGTCTGATGTTTTCTTCACTTGGCTCTCGATAAAGCTTTGTCCACCAAAGCCAGGGTTCACCGACATGATCAACACCAGATCAACCACTATTTGCATAAAGAAAGCTAGTGTCATATTTTCTCTTTCATCAGATAAATTTGCCACCTCTTGGACGAAAAATCCTTGGGTAAAATATTGGGAAAGTTTAAGAAAATAAAAGAAAAATTGCGACGGAAGTGAACAAACAGTAAACTCACCATCAAGGACATATTCTATAGCGGTTAGTGGGGTACCAGGGTTCAGGACAACTCCAGCTTTAGCTCCCAAACTTTTAATCTAGATCATCATCAACCAAAATTCGGTAAAAGACGCATAAATTATATTAAACTGCAAGGCGGGTGATGAACAGAAAATTGGGGGCAGTTATACTACCCATCCAATATTAGGAGTCTCAGGTACGAATAGATTCACCAATATATCAGATAAAGAAGCAAAAATATTCGGATTGTGAAAGATCAACCTCTACCCCAGTTATTATAACTATCGACACAACATGCCAGAAGACCAGTGCACCACATCTGTATCACGGAGGTCGTATTACCGGATTAAAATGAGATGGCAATGTGTGCCTCTGAAGTTAGTGTTTAGGACAGTGAAAGGGCAGCGTGCTGCATACAATCCCAATAGTATTGTAAATAGCAACAGACAAAGGGAACATGTGCAACAGAAGTCCGTCATTATTCCAAGTCCTAGAAAGGGACTTACATTCTCCAGGAAGGTAAAAAAATTGGGTTGCCAGTAGAAGACATGGCATGCACTGTAAAATACTGAGGATCTACATGGTTGAAGTTGTTTATACAACTAAAAAGTTTTATAATTAGCTGTTGCAGTTATTCTTATAAATTATCCTTACAGGCTGAAGCCTCTCTCTTTTTCATGAAAGAATATTTTCCAAGGACTCTGCGGTTGTGGACTGTCTAGATGTACACATTGCTCCATGTAAAGAGTCATTAAAGAACATGAACAACCACCAAGAACAACATGTTCTGCATATATAGAATAAAGAAAGGATCATACTAGGTTGAGTGTGCGATGCAAGTGGATGGTAGCAGTTTGTTCACAATGTACACTGACTATGTCAGCTCCAGCCTTGATGAAATCTGGTACTCGCTGTTCAGGTTCCACAATCATCTGTACACGATTTCCAAGTTATTAAGTATTCAGTTCAGTCGACAACCTTCTGTTATTGAAGAAAATCCACCAAATGAAAAGGTTACCAGATGAACATCCAGAGGAAGATCTGTAACAGGGCGCAGGGCATCAACCACAAGGGGACCAATTGTAATATTGGGAACAAAACGGCCATCCATCACATCGACATGGATCCAGTCACATCCTGCCAACTCCACAGCTTTCACCTGGATCACTATATAATAGTCAAATACCACAACAATGGATCTACATGACAACCCTTAGCAGAAACAATCTGAGAAAAAAGCCAAGTTTGTGACTTGGAATATTGTTAAAGCATGCAAGCTAGAACCATACTAAAGATCCGAGTAATGGGATAGAGACAAATCAAACATTTCATAGCTCTTTGAAAAATAAGTGATAGAATGGAACCTGTTCTCCCAGCTTCGAAAAATTAGCAGATAGAATTGATGGAGATACAATAATATCACTTTTGGAGTATTTGTCAACTCGTGAAGATGCCTTCACCACTGTCTGGATTTTCCTATTTAGACCCATACAAAGGGAAGTAATCATATCAGAAATGGGAGATAAAGAACTGTAGAAGAGCTTAAGGGCAATGTCCATAAAAGTAGTCTGAAAAGTGAAGTCCCAAACAATCTTAACTTCACTCTCAAACGACAAATGAGAAGTAAACAAGGCTAGTAAGAACTATCAGACGAAGCAAGAAAGACACATGCAATGGGCTACTAATAATGACAACTTTTTTTTCGCAATTACTCTGGAAGTGCGAACTGCCCATTAATTGTCGGGAAAGCTATCTTCCACCTTTATGTACAATCTTTCTAAACGACTGACGTCAAAAGTCAACACAAGTTCTACTCTGAAGACTGAATCCAATCTTGACACCTGGTAATTCGAGCTCTCAATGCCCCCAGTACCTTCACATATCACTAGAGTATGATTACGAAGCCAGAGGAAGAGAAAATCGCAGAAAACTTCTGCTATGAGTTATTGGCCAAAGTAACAGCCAATCAATCACTACAAGCATAGATGGACCTTCAGTACTGTATATAATTCAGCTTCGCATATTCCCAAACATGTAGCGCCTGAACTTCAATCCCAGTCATCAACAGAAAATCTCAGCCTAAGCTCCTCACGCTAGCTAATAAGAAATTTCATCACGCGGCAAACCACGTCACGCTCTTTTCACACAGCCGGGAAAAGAAGAAGGAAAGCAAACCGATTCTCTCCACTTTATCCTTAGTTTCCTGGACTACACTCGATCGAATCGCCATAAACAGTTTGTTCCTCGCTTTGTGCCAACCTGAATAAATACATCGAATCACCTACAAGAAAAGATGGACCTCCAGTACTATATATAGTTCAGCTTTGCATAATCACAAACATATAGCGCCCAAACTTCAATCCGAGTCATCAACAGAAAATATCAGCCTAAAATCCTCAACGCTAGCTACCGCGAACTATCTTCGCGCGGCAAACCACATCACGCTCCTACTACACAGCCGGCTAAAGAAAAAGGAAAGCGAACCGATTCTCTCCACTTCATACTTCGTTTTCCTGGACTATACCCGATCGAATCGCCATCAACAGTTCGTTCCTCGCTAAGTTCCGGACTGAATCGGTACGCAACAACTTCCCTCGGAAGATTACACTCCTTCCGCCCAGATACAATCTCGAATTCCGAACGAAACACCAATCTCTCGAAGAACGCCGTTCCCAAAAAAACTTTCAGCTCCGCAGACAAAAAAAAGCGGCGATGACTTCAATACCTGGCGAAGGGGGCATTGCCCGGCCGGCGGAGAGGAGATCGCCGGAGCTCGAGGCCTCCTCCGAGCCCGCCGATCCGCGGCTGGAGCGTCGAAGAGCAAACCGAAGCGGTCGACATCTCTCCCTGCGTTGCGCGCGGTCTCTCTCCGAATCGCGTTCCTCGGCGGGAGCTTTAACGGTTAGGTAGAGAGAGAAAGTTCGGTGCGGTGTGGTGTGTTGACGATGAAGGACCCTTGCTCCTCCTCCGCCGTTCTATTTCACCAACCGTTCAGAGGAGGGAGACGCCGGATCCGAGGGAAAGGAGAAGGAGAAGCGATCTCGGGGCGACACGTGGCGGGCTTATCGGCAATGGTTGGCGCGCCGGGTTGCTGACCTGGAAAATGCTGGGGCCCCTTTTTATCTGTAAGAATTAATTTTTATGTGCTATTTATTTATGGACCGTGGAGCGAGTTTGATCGCGAGGGAAACTAGGGCCTGATTCTTTGTAGTTAGCCTTTCTAGATGGATTGCCATTTTACCCAAACGGGGTATTTTCGCCGATATCAGGTGCCATCGGTTTCAAGGTGGGTCACTTTTATCTTGGAATCGAAAATCATCCTCTCTGAGGATCGGTTTTCCGGTCTGTGAAACCGTGAATGGCCCATTGATCCCTGGACCCACCCGGGAATCGGACCACTAGTTCGGTCCGGTTTCCAAGCGGGTCAATGGAGCAGGCCGTCTAGCAAGCAAGGTCACGACCTGCGAGTTGCAAGAGAGATCGAGAGAGCAAGAGTCTTGCAGAGAGAGTGTGTGAGGTGAGAGAGCAAGCTGCAAACTGAGACGAGAGGAATTAGAATTTGAGTCGTGGGACCGAAAAGAAATAGAGTGAGAGGCAATTGAGGAGCATGGGGGATGGCGATAGCAATTTGGTGGGTGTCGCGGTCGGAGAGCTTAGACAGCTAAGTGAGGATCCGCTGCTTGAGCTCAACCATGGCGAGGCGAGACGACACCAACAAGGAGGCACCGGTGGCCCACATTGGTCGCCGGCGAGGAGGAGGATCGAGACGTCGGTGGCGCCGGCACTGCCGGCAAGGATTGGGCATGAGGCCATGAGGCGCAGGAGGATTTGAGCCCCTGCGATCTCATCCCGGTGGTTCAACCAAAATGCAAGTCCAATATTGATCGGACATCGTTGGAGGGGATAAGGCATCGATTCGCTGTCCGTGGGATGGAGAGGTTTGATCGGGAGAGGACAATGCAAAGAGAAAGAGAGAGAGAGAGAGAGAAAGAGTGTGTGTGAAGGATTTAAAAAGGAAGAGGTTGGAGATAATCGAGTGGAAAAGCGAGAGGAGAATTCACATGGAGAGACGAAACCAGATCTCCTTGAGCCGCCGTGACTTGTGGGCCGCGAGGTGAGGGCATATTTACTATTTCGGGATTAATCGAGCTGAAAAAGTTTGGATATCTCTCTTATAAAAAGAATTATAACAAGACCAAGACATGCAAAATCCAATAATTATTTTATGGGAATATAACACAAGCAGTCCGTGAACTTTGTATCAATGTGCAATTTGATCCCTGAATTTTTAATTTGTTCAATGTAGTCCCTGAACTTTAACCGAACGTGTAATGTAATCCCTAAACTTTTAATTTGTTCAATGTCATTTCTGAACTTTTGGTACAAGTTTAATTCAGTTCCTGAACTATAAGAAAATATTCAATGCAGTCATTTTATTAATTCAAATTTCGGGACTATATTAAACAATTTCATATAGTTCAGGGACTACATTGAGCATGTACCAAAAGTTCAGAGATCATATTGAATAAATTAAAAGTTCAGGGACCACATTGAACATTAGGCTAAAGTTTAGGGACTACATTGAACAAATTGAAACTTTAAGAACTAGACATGGCCACGGGCCGGTTTAGGCTTAGAACCGGCCCGGAATTGGCCTGGGTCAAACCCGGGACCGGCCTGTGGTTCGGAACCGGAACCGGCCTATGACCTATGGGCCCAGTTTCGGGCTTGGATAAAAAATAAAAAAATAAAAACCGCAGCAGGGCCTGTAGATAAAAAAAAAAAAAACTACAGTTGGGCCTGCTGCCTGCAGATGTGCAAGACCTGATGTTTTTTATTTTTCCGGCCGGTTCCGAATCGGGCCGGAACCGGAATCGGCCCGGAACCCCCGGTTTCGGTTCATACATGGCCGCGAATCGGAATCGCCGGTTTCGAACTGGAACCGGCCAGTTCCGAACCATGGCCATGTCTATCAAGGATCAAATTATACATTGGATCAAAATTCAGGGACTGTTTGTGTCATTATCCCTTATTTTATTTGACATGAGCACGATGAGGACATACAAAGAAATACAATACTAATCATTATGTTTTACCTTATTTTTTCTGGTCAGGTTACGGTTGACCTTATTTGAGTATTGAAGAACACTGCACCGTTCTTCCTCTTCTCTTTCCGTTTTCAAACTCTTCAAGAAGAAGTCCCCACTCGTTCGTCTTCTTCCTCCTCCGCCCACCTGCAACTTCCACCGCCACCGCCAACAATCGGAAATGGATCCAAGACGCAGCTCCTTCTCCACTTCGAGAGCCAGATAGGACGAAGAGGGTTCTCTCTTCCTCTCTCTCTGTAAGCCAATGAGGAGGCTCAACAAGAATGTCAACGACCCTGATGAGCCATCGAAGCAATCCGACCCGGATGATGCTCCGACCCTCCCGAGAGATCCGGACAAGAGACCCGGGTACGGCCCAATGCGGGTCATGGGTGTGTTCGTCGTCTGCTTGATGGCCACGTCGGTCGTGTTTTCTCTGTCGGTGGTGCTCAGAGACCCGCCCACGAACGGTGTTCCTGCAGAAGGGAGGAGAGTTCATGAAGTCACAGCCCCTGAAGGTACTGACTTCATGGTTGTTTTGCTGAGCATCGGATCTGGCGTTTGTGGGTCGCTAAGCATAAGCATCTGTGTTCACTCATCACTGCTGTTGTTACTCGTGGGCCGCTAAGCATAAGCATGCGTGTTCACTCATCGCTCCTGTTGTTACTTGTGGAGCTGGATTTGTTTCGAGCCTCTCTAAATGATTAACAAGAAACGCCATTTTGCTGCAATGACCACACTTTGTAGTTCATATGTTGCTTAACCAGCATCCATTGTTTAGTATCTCGATTTTGCGGTGTTTAAAGATCCATCGAATTGTGTAGTTGCTTGAAATTTGTAGTGGGACACTGGCACTGATGTGAGTGTAGTTAGACAATCATAGTTATGTTAGGTTCATGTTGACTAGGCTTTTTTACCAGCAATAGAACTTCATACGATAGCTGACTCGGTTTGAGTTTGCGTGGGCACTCGAATTGCTCTGTAAGATACGGTGCTCGCGGAAAGCTTGTGTGGACTTTACTTCCATGCGCTTCCCTCGGCTTCTCTGACCATGTTATCTTATGTCACTGAGCATGTCAGATTAATGTTTGCATAATGTTAGTGACCCATCTGGATCTTATGGATGGAAATAACCAATAGAATAAATTGATCCATCCAAAATGAGTTTTTAGCAGCCTTTCTTTTTTAGCAATCTGCATTGCAATTCATAGTTGGAGATGGTCAAGCCCTTCTCTGTTGTCAAACCACACTCATAGCTTTTTTCTTTCTTCCTACAATCCATTGGTTCAGATGAAGTTGCCTCTCATACTGTGGAGGAGCAAAAGAATGAACTGCTTGGTGGCTTGCTTGCTGCTGGGTTTGATGAAGGATCGTGTCTCAGTCGATACCAATCAGTTTTATTCCGCAAGGAGTCAAAGCACAAACCTTCTTCTTATCTTATCTCTAGATTACGAGGCTATGAAGCTCTCCATAAGCGATGTGGACCTCATTCCAAGTCCTACAAGAGAACCTTGGAAATGCTCAAATCTGGCCATTCCACGGGAATCTCAGACTGTAAATATGTTATATGGATTTCCTTTAGTGGATTAGGGAATAGGATATTGACTCTAGCTTCAGCATTTCTCTACGCGATTCTCACGAACCGCGTTCTTCTCACTGACCCTGGAGTGGATATGACCGATCTCTTCTGTGAGCCGTTTCCAGAGGTTTCATGGTTCCTTCCTTCGGATTTTCCCCTTAGAGACCAATTCAATGGCCTCGATCAAAACTCCCCACACTGTTATGGAAAGATGTTAACCAGTAACACCTTAAGTAAGTTGGAGATACCATCTTTCACGTATCTCCATCTTGTCCACGATTACAATGATCATGATAAGCTTTTCTTCTGCGATGAAGACCAGTCTTTTCTCCAGAGCATACCCTGGTTGATTATGAGGACAGACAATTACTTTGTTCCATCTCTCTTCTTGATCCCTTCGTTTGAGCGAGAATTGGACAACCTCTTCCCAGAAAGGGAAAATGTTTTCCATTTCTTGGGACGATATCTTTTCCACCCTACAAATTCTGTATGGGGACTCATAAGAAGATATTATCAAACTTATTTAGCTAAAGCAGATGAAAGGATCGGGATTCAAATCCGAGTCTTTGATACTGGAGTTGGTCCATTTCAGCATGTTCTGGATCAGATCCTAGCTTGTACTGCAGGGGAGAATCTGCTACCAAGGACAATTGAGGAAGGATCCCCAGAGGTTACATCCTTGAATCGGAAATCAAAAGCCGTGCTAGTGACATCTTTATCGTCTGGTTATTTTGAGAGGATAAGAGATATATACTGGCATTACCCGACAACCACAGGAGAGGCAGTTAGTATTGTGCAGCCGAGTCATGAAGAATATCAACAAACCGAGAAGGAAATGCACAATAGGAAGGCATGGGCAGAGATGTACTTGTTGAGTATGACCGATGTGTTGATCACGAGCTCTTGGTCAACTTTCGGTTACGTGGCTCAAGGTCTTGGAGGTTTGAAGCCATGGATCCTCTACAAGCCTGAGAATGGAACAGCTCCTGACCCACCCTGCCGCAGAGCAATGTCCATGGAGCCTTGTTTTCACGCGCCTCCATTTTATGATTGCAAAGCTAGACGAGGGGTCGATACTGGTGAGCTGGTACCCCATGTGAGGCATTGCGAGGACATGAGCTGGGGCCTTAAACTTGTTGATTCTCATGATAATTGATAGATGCATTTTTGCATTTTAAGTGGATTCATTGCAGTAGTACTCAGCTGTTATAATTGCAGATGTTCCTGGTAAGTGGCAACACTATCACGTGGTACTAGTCCTTCAAACAGGCAGTGACCGTATCTGAGCAATCATTCTGGAAAAGAGAGTTTTGCGAGTCTGGAACATGATCCTCAGCTGGAAGTTTTATCAAGTGCTCCGGTCACAGAAAAGTCGATCTTGGCAGACTTCTGTTTGCTAGCAAAGCAATTCATTAACTACTCTTGCCGGATACATGAATACGTGCCGCCATAGTTGAGAAGGTGGCAACTTCTGCTGAAAGAGAGAGTTTTTACGAGGCATAAGTGGTTTGTAAAGAGTTTCAACCGAGATGAATGTGGGCGTTTAGTGGAATTCAAATACATATTTTCGAGCAGTGTAAGTTTGTTTGTCATCTGACAGATCAATTGTTTGCGAGAATCTGTACCCATGTACACCATTGTTACAGGTCGATTGTCCCATGTCTGAATTTTGTTTAGTTTTTTCATCTCAAATCTTTAGGTCCCCTGGTTCTCTTGTAAATTATGCATATGCACAATAAAATTTCCTGGGATTAGCAATTTTAAAAATGGAACTTGTTAGTAACTCATCTATCGAAGATGCAATTTTTCCGCTGGATATATGAGAATAGGCTATAACCTGTAATTTGGCATGGATTTTCATTGGCTTCCTGCAAACTAGATTGTAATATTGAGGCTTGTTTAGACTTGAATACATCAGAGTTACAATGATCACCACTGTTTGCATGTTATGAATTTCATCCTACTTGGCATAACCTATGTATTTAACTTTTAATTGGTTGGTCAGATCACCTGTCACTAACACATGATCGATGAGAAAAGTTCTTACTAGCAAGTCAAATGATTGGACGTTGGAGCAAATATTCAAGCACTTCTCTGAAAAAACTTCAGGATCACTTTTCACATGAGAGTGCACTTTAATGAAAGCAACTATGTCTACCCTAACTCTCTGCCAGAATTCATCCAGATTGAAGCATATTACAAGATGGCAAATTCTGCAATAGTTCCATTATTTGAGTGCACTAAAGGTGGACCGATAACTTTGGGCAATTAACAAATTCAATCTAGCAAAAGCAATTTTAGCATCTATATCAGTGCAAAAAAAGTCGTGGAGCAAAGGATGATCAAGGCAGGTGCAAGCAGTTCATCCATCGCATGTACTTTCCTTCGTAAGATAAGGTTGTTTTGATCCTCAAAAGTGAAGCTAAGACCGGCCATGATTGTTGCTTGCCTTGCCCAGTATGCTGTCTCGCATGGCGAACAAGTTAAACTTCCTTGTATGTTCAAACCTGACCTCTACCACTGCTGAGAATAAGCATCTTGACTACTCAGAATCAGAATCCGAAAATGGCATCTGGTAAGCATCTTTAGGTTCTGCATCAGTAATTGAAGAAGGCCCATCTTTTTTTGAAGTCGTTCTCCGTCGTTCTCTGCGTCCTGTTTTAGCTTCCTCCTGCGGAGACATTATATGAGCATGCTTAAATTGAGAATTGAGAATTTATTATTTATAGCCACCATGGCCGCATCCAATTATATAGCTCTGACTTGATGACCAAATTTGTCTTTCAAGATAATGAGTATACGGTGACCATAACAGTTCACCATACCATCTCCAAACAAAATAGAATCGGTGATAATGTGACTCAGGGGGATGGGGTGGCTTTTTTGATTGCTGAAAGAATGAATTGACTTCAGGAGCTTACCTTCCTGCTTGGCTGTTCTGATTGATCTGGTTGACTAGACTGTTCTGATTGATCCGGTTGACTTGGCTGACTTGGCTGACTTGGTTGACTTCTACGCAGCCATACGGTACCAAAGGACACCAATGCTCCTAAAAGCAAGAATGGACCGATTCTAGGATCTCCCAGGCGATCAAAAAATCCTCTTATGAAGCCACGGATCTTCTGGGTCATTCCTGTACTCTTGGATAAGATGTTCTGAGCACCTTTGGAAAACATGGGTTCTTCGCCCTCAGGAACAAGCTCAGGAGTCTTTGTTCTCTGAAGATGTATTAAGAACATTAAAAAGGTGTACATACATTGAGCCCAGGATACTCACCAGAACTTCTGATGAATTATAAATTTGGTCAGATAAGGCAGGCATGTTGCGATGTTTGCACCCCAAAAACGACATGTAAATACACGGGTTTCATGCATGGTAATGAGGTAGCCCAACAAATGTTATGGCAGCAGAAAAATTAAAAAGTTGATCCTGAAACCAGATGTCATTGATTAGTGCTTTTCGGTTAACAGATACAATTCCAAATGACTAAATTCTACTAGTTTCTCAGACAAAATTAAGTTACTAAACTCTCATGATAGCACATTTAAAAGGCATGATTGCCTGGCTTTTCCAAAATCAACTATCGAAAGACTTACTGAAAAATGAAAAATACTCAATGGGGCCAAATAGAAGTAGATCTATATTGCATGTTATAAAGTTAAGTTTCTGGAGCTATGAGAATACCACCTGACAATTAATTTAAGGAGAAAAAATAGAAGGTGCCTTAATGACACGATAGGACATTAAAGAAGAAAGAGCTAAAAACAAGGTATTATTGGCAAAGGCATCAAATCCCAAATCTCTAATCAACTATGCGTAAGAGAAGGTTGCTTACATAGAATGGGAGATCTCTGGAGTCGCCATCCTTGATTATACCAGAAATCCATTTACTAATCTGCACAGGCCCAGACAACATTGTATTAAGCGAAAAGAAACGGAGCTCACGGAGTGACAATATGACTGACAATCCCACCACAACAAAAAGATATTCCTACCTCAGGAATTTCGTTGGAGCCATTGTACCTTGCCACAAGCTGTGCTGCAGGATCCGCATCCTCATTTAGCAATGCATCCCACATATTTCTGGGGTTTTTCTTAACCTCAGTGTTTTCCTCTGTTGAGTTTCTCTTGTAACGTACAATGAACAACCTAGGCACATCAGCAATGTCCCTTCTAGGTCCACAGGTATCATAGCTGGTTTCTGATTGAAGGTAAAATAAGCAATATTTCTGGGAAGAAAAAATAGAAGATATTAGTGGTTGACCCATGCACAATTACCATGGCTGTTGTCTACTGAGTTGTGGCTACTGGGAATAGAATAATTTACAATCAAACAGATTCCGAAGCATAGAAGCAATAATCGATTAACATAACACCAGTAACTATGAGGTTCTAGGAGCAGTCTTCAGCCAATCTTCCCAAACAAAATCTGTTTATTGCACATAGCAAGAATACAAGAAGCCTGACATAAAGTTTAAGTCCTTGGGATGATACTATTCAAGACTTGAAAGCACCTACCCTCCTAGAAATATGCTAGAAAGCACAAGAAGACAGGAGAGACCTCCCCAACAAATGGGTGGTGACATGGATGCTTTCAAAGTAATCATTTTTGCTGGAATTATTATGATACCTGCTTTTCCACTTCTGACATGCCATTAAATGTAATGTATTCAGTATATCAACTCTATGGATTGCAGTACACTTCTGCATATGGTTGTTCCCACATACCAGGAGCCACTTGCAACAATTTCCACCAGCCTAAATGTGTGCATCATATATGAATCCTCTGAAAACCATCCAAATTTATCCATGGCATTATGCAGATAAAAAATTGTGATGTGGTTCTGCACAAATAGCTATGAGCACTGACAACTCTGTCAGGCACATCCATCAGCTATGTGACCATTTAGAAGATAAGGACAACCAAAATCTTTTGCATCCAAAATTTGAGGAATTCCCAGATGGGCATGATACGTGCATCAAACATGTCAATTGTAAGTTGACCATACTCTAAACGAGAAAACATAAAAACAAAATGACTGCAAACAAATAAAGACAAACTCACTTCCTGGGATTCCCCATTAAGCCATGTAAAAGTGAGCCGCTTATCTTTCAATGCAACAGCTGCATGTATCGAGGATTCCTCATTGTCAACTGAACTTAACTCACCATCACTAGATAACATTTCTCGGATCCTGCACATGGTCTGTCAATGTGTGAAATATTGCGATTGCCAAATTAAAAAAAATTATCAGAGGAGGAACTACCACAGACAAAATCTTATTTAATAATTCCATATAAACTATTAAAAATTAAAACTTAATACTTTTTTGCTAGAAAACAATATCAAAAGGTCGTGAAACTTTGTGTACATAAAATTGTTTTGGGACTATTCATTTCAGGCCTTTCAGAGACAATAACGCGTTGGCTGAGATAAGCTATTCAAGGATATTTAATGCCACATCATGGATTACGAAATGCATGACACAAAACCACCAGCTCATCTCCTCTTCCTGCCAGTGTAAGCTCGTTAAAATCTCAACGTGTCCACTCAAACAGACAAAGGTTTCTCAACCAACCTTATTAGCTAACCATGCGTTTCCTTTGCCTTGCCTTGGCCCTCAGCATTCAGGGACTATTCAGGGACTATTCAATTATTCACAGCATGATATACAGGTGAGGACATTGAAGCTTTATCTTTCAAGAGTTCTTTCATTTGACGTGTTATGAAGATGTGTGACAGAATTATCTCAATCGGATGTTTGTCTTTTACGAACTTCGTTGCAAATCAGTAGAGCAATACTTCGTTTAAGCCTTAGTTTTGGCCAGCAGTGCTGTCAAAGGAGAATATGTTGACCTCAATGGCTGAGCAGGGATGGCATCTGGTTTAACCTTTTCAAGATCACAATTTGCCGGTTGGTCTCTAGAGGCTATTTGAAAATAGTTTCTCTAAGCATAAACAGGACGATACGTGCAGGTTCAAGTAGTGGCTGTTTTAGGATGAAAAAAGGGTAACAGCCATTCAAAAAGTCAAAAAGAGATTAAGGTGGACATTATTTAAGAGGAGAAAACACGAACTCTTGCCATGTCTGCTGAGAAATTTTCATTTTAACGGATTCAAATGAAATCATCTAACAAACAGACAAAATAACTCATGGCAGAGGAATGATTGACTTAGAACTTCAGAAAGCTAAACTGTTAAAAAAACTAGCTCAAAATTGGGAATGGAAAAAGTACTGGGGCTCTTTGAAAAATATCATGATTTAAGGAGAAGGGATGGACCCTGCTGCTTCCCCATCTATCCATGTCTTTGGTGAGAACTCCCTGTGCTTGAGGCTTATATCCACAAGGGATCTCAGACACATAGCTGTGTAGTCTTGCATCAATTAAACTATGGTCTACAACACAGAACCTACAAGCCATTGCTAGAAGCAAGCATACAGATATTTAACAAAGAAAAAATGAACAAATGAAAATGAAAGGTCTACAGACTTTGAAACTATTTTGATCCTATCCAATTTGTGTGTTTGCATGCAAAATCTTATGCTTACAACACATATGTTGATGTTGTAATTAAAGCTTGGAAGCAAAACTTGAAAGTACACTTAATTCGTCTGAATAAACAGGGGACGCTTACTTGGCGCATTTCATTTAGCTCCCGACTGAGCCTCCCCGCTAGTATCACACAGTACCATGATTCCACATTAACTCCAGCTCGGGAATAGCCTCTGGGATCGCAACCCAGTTCATGTGATGTTACAGTCCTCAGTTGAGGAAGTTCTGCAAATATGAGGTCGCACATTTTAAAGAAGACTTCCCCATTGTTTATAAACGCCAATTATTTTGTGCTCTTTTGACTCATTCTAATCCCAACAATTCAAATAAAATGCCTTCATGTCCTTAGTTTCGTCGTGACAATATAACCAATCAGCCAAAGTAAAAGTACACCATCAATGATCAATCCTTCCCCATGCAAGTTGCAAACTACCTCCTAAGATGCCCAGAGTACAGGAAGCATGTTAGTAAAGTAATCCTGAACAACTGCTATACAAATTCCTTCTATCGACATCCTGTCAAGATAACAAGCCTATACACTAGAAATGGAGTTGGCAGGAAGGGCTAATTCAACATGATACCCATTCACAAAGTCCATTAACAGTTTCTGTTTGCAGCTTAATTGATGAATTACACCCTTGAAAATTAATTTCCAAGTCAGAAAAAGACAAACTACACACTAAAACTAATTACACTGCATAATTATTCCTGTGCAACCAGATAGTCTTTGAAAAAAACCAAACGACAATAGATGCACATAATTACCAAAATTGCAAGTAATAACCGTGTCCAACTTATTCTACTCCAAAATCTAAGAACTCAGAAACATTAACCTTCATTATCCGGCTGACATAATATCCTATTTCCCAAAGTGGATGCAACAAATTAAACAAAAAAGGAGGGAAAGTTCCTTAACAAAAGAAAATTTTCTCTAACTTTTTGGTACCATGAAATAGGGTGCCCAATTTACTATTTTGTTTTAGCTCCAAAAGTCTCCACTCTCTTGTGTCATACCGTGCAAGTCAATGTCACATACTCCTTCAGACTATACAAAGTTCAGTCATATAGTACAGGAGGGAGGCAGCAACTTTCATCAGACAAAATAAGAAAACCAATAGCCATAGAACCCTTGCTTCACCTTGATGTTTGTTCTGTTCTATCAGATTGGAAAACCAAGAGTTGTTGACTGGTCCTGCAAGTTCCCAGTGTTAATTGTCAAACAAATTCTTTTGTCTGTAATAATAACAGAGTAAAGGAGAAAAGACAACCCTGTTTCATAGAAGGGTGCAAAAATTTACAGATGAAAAATGCAAACCTAACATTGCTGTGGAATATTTATGAATGGAAAAAAACTGTCTATTTAAGTTCTAATCATTGCAGCATGTAGAAAATTAGCAAAATTCTTGGGCATACATCTGTTATTAGAAAGCCGCAGGAGATTAATTTTTTTGCCACTCAAAAGCAACATGCAGCACTTGGTTTCAGACAGCCTTCAGAAAATTCATAATTTGGCATACAGATGACATCTTTGCAATGTGACGCTAAACTCATCAACCATTTTCTTTGGCATTCAAAGTGGACAATGCAAGTGCAATTCTTTTCATTCTCGATGTAAAAGTTAGCCCCTCTTAATGGCCACGAAGGTCATTGTGATTATCGCATCTGAGAACAGCCAATATAATTTAGTGTTGAATGTGTCGGGGACTACTCAATCTCTGACGGGAAGCAAATGTGTCAAAAGACTACATTTGCAGTTTCTTTTTCTGTCTATTAATGAAATAGAGAGCAGGGATCCCATCGGGTTTGGATGGGGGAAAATAGCATCTCCCGCCCTGAAGAAAATGGAAAAAATGCCATCTAATCATCTTTATCCATATTCAGCAAAATAAGGAATACCATGGTGCACAACAGGCTTGACGCCAGGATCTTTCAAAATTACGATAGCAGGTGCAGATTCCACCTCAAACCTAGCATCAAAATTCAAAAAGCAAAAATGCTATCACCAACTTATGCTACTGATGGAAGCAAACTAAAGCAACAAATTGACGTACATCATCTAAAAGAAAACCCATCCTTTTCTACTTACGCATTCCACCAAAAGGAAGATTCCTCTTCTCTCCACAGTACAAAAGCAAATGATGCATAAGACCAATAATTCTTAGCAGCAAGACGCACAAATGGAGTGGCACGTTCCCCCGTCTTTGAGAACAAAATAACCTTTACCTATAAGGAAGAAGTGCGCAAGGTTTGAATGTACACATGTAAGTTACATATATTAACAGATACGAATAATTGATTTCTTTTTATAGGTGATATGGGGAGGGGTAATGCGGGAATCCCAATCTTGGTAAGAGTACCATCAATAGGCCAATCACTTTTCATGATTGATAAAGGTTCATATGTGCCGAATGACATAGTTATCTTTTTTTCTTTTTCTTTTTTGCTTTCTTGAGGGATCGGGCCTTTGATCTTAAGCTACAAGTCCCAACCCCCACCAAGACATGACCACAAGGCCACACATGACATAGACATCTGGCCATATGTTTCATCATGGATGAACTCGTTACGCACCTGCACGAAATAGCTGACCCCAAAGTCAAAAGAACAAAAGAGGGTGCTTTTACAGAGTTGTGCAATAGATTCAACAAAACAGTGTTTACCCGCGTAAGAAATTTCACAACCGATGGAATCAGAGATATTGAAGCTTTAAAAGTTGGGAGACGATTTCTATTGCAGCCATTAAAATTCAGGTTGATTACTGCTTGGATTATGTTATCTTAACAAAAAAAAAATAAGCATTATTGTTTCTTGATGGATAGAGGGTCTTCTGAGGACACTTTAATGCTTACTATGTTGTGTCGAGTTTTCATATCTCATTCTTTGCAAATGAAAAAACACTCCGCATTTACTATGTATTACAAACGAGAAAACGAATTTACTATCAATGGAAGAGAGGAGTATGACCATTGTATTTGGCGAGCGTGCACACCTAATAATGCATAAAAAAACCAAAATAATAGGCTTGCACAACAAGCTGTCATGCTTTTTCTTTTTCGGACTGAAAAGCTAGCTGATTTTAAGGTACATGAACCCCTTTCTCAGATCACTTCAAGCTTCACTGACAAAAGTATAGTTGATCAGTTATACTAAATGGTCGCTCAAGATCACTAACTCGGTGTAAAATCAGAAGTCAAGGAAAACTGGAGATATGTATTGACTGAAAAATTAATACACCATTCCCAACTAGTAGGATCAACCAAGTACCTTGTGAGGGCTGGTCTTTGCCATAAAAGCTTGTCCCTGCAAGTATATTTCCACCATTAAGCAAAGGAAGCAAGAAACAATCACAACTAGCAACCAGGTTTTTGAGCGAAAGGCTTTAATCTTAGTTGTTTATAAAAAAGAAGAAGAAGAAAAGAAGTGAATGAGAAAAGGAGAGAGGTATCTGGTATCTGATGTGACATATCTTGTGTAAACACACATGGAGACTGATCAAAAAATTTTGAATGTGAACATTAGGATATTAACCTGTGGAGATGTTGAATGATCATACCTATTACTAGCCACTGAATTATGAAGAACTTAATGAGAGTTATGGGTTTTTACGACATAAGTTGCATAATAAAAAATTTTCCCCTCCAATGTGATTGTAATAAATGAAAAACTTAAGGACTGTATAAGGTCCTAACGTTCTCTCTCTTTGACAGGAGTAGTTTATCACAAGGGTAACATACTATGTGCAAAAAGCATAATCTCCAACATTTAGAAAAAGTACTGGATCTGCAAGAACCCAAAGAAAAATATAAAGCACGACAGTACTGTTAAAACAACAAAGCAAGGAGTAACAACCAGAATCAACACAAAACACAATAACAGTGAGTGACCTAAAGCTTAGAGACCATGTCAAATAACCGTTGTCCCCCAGAGTCTAAAACTGTTAGGAGAAGGGCCCAGGCCCACCATATAAATCTTGCATATTTTTAACCCCAAAAAGTATATCTAGGATATTTTTTAACAAGAACTTTAGTGTCAAGCCATCTACCTGTATCTATACCCCAAATCAACCCGTTATCCCACCCCCCCCCCCCCCCCAAAAAAAATAACAATAATAAATAACCGATTAAATAAAACTTAGCTAAAAATGAAATTTCAAAAAACAGATAAGGAAGACAAAAGGAAGAGATCAGCATGTGATCTTTTGCCTCGGTACTATTCCAACATTAAGACTGTTTCATGAAGATAAATAATCAAGGGCCTCTAACCTGCAGTTTCCATTGCGGTAAACAATAGCTTTAAGTAGTTAAACAAAGGGGGCAGTTAGGGGCCTGATTGATTCAACTTGAACATACACAAAACAAAAAAGTTAATATGACTAGAGATGGACCTTCTTTCCTTAGCTACACGGCTGGATGGGACTATTTAAAGCAAACAGCTGACTGATGTTAAATATGGAAAGGTAGTTGACTATAAATAGAGATTAGAGAATCAAAGGGCAAAGAATGGGAACTCAAAAAGCGTAGGTCAATTTTGCAATTGGGTAGTGATAACTAAACTGAATATACTACCTTTGATTGCAACAGATAACACTAACTACAGTGAGTATATTAATCGTGAAACAATTGAAGACAACTAGCTCCATATATGTGATTAGTAATTTCTTTCTCAAATAAGTATTCTGCTCCGTCAATCACACTTTGTTTAGTTCTCATTTTTATAAAAACATCAGTAAAGTACGTGAAGATCGATTAGCAAGCTAAGTAAAGTAAAAATAGAGATTGACGTCTATAAATTTGGCTGTTCCTATCAAAACAATCTGGATCTGGCCCTGTCCAACTTATTCAACAGTGCTTTACACTGCAAATGCTATAGCATAACAACCGTGATGATAAATGAAGATGCAATAAAAAATTATCTTCTATTCCTACAGTTAGCATAATCTTTTTCTGCAAAAGTGACAACAGAAAAAAGAGCATCCACACTGTCAACAAGAATAAGAACTGGCAAGGAATTTGTAACTTACAAGTGATTCCTTAGAGTAGTATCGAATGCGAGGTAAACTGAGTATGGTTGTCGCAAACCAATCGGTCACCGCATCAGTACTTAATTCTCCTTCAAACCTATGAAAATTTCCAAGGTAATTTCTACTCATGCTTCTCTTCTCATTTAGAAGAAACAGAAGAACTTCTAATCATAACCCTTCCATAGGAGAGGCATTTCCAACCGTCACAAAGACTCAGAAATCAAAGCTTACTCAGCACACAAAATGGGCTAGAAAGTGAAACTCACCTAACTAGACAGTCTGCATTTCTACATTGAGGTGGAAAAGCAACAATTGAAGGAATACCTGTAGTAAATTCGTCAAATTAATAACAAAGCACACTGAGTGGAATGTCGTCTTCAGTACTCTCTCTTTATTGGATTGAAATACAAGTGAAAAGATAAGGAAATTCCTTGCATAAAGAAAAAAGCTCAACACATATTCCAGTCTTGCTTCTTAATTGCTTAAAATTTGTGACAAATGAATATAAAAGCATATTACATTTCTCATCTAAATAATGTATACGGGATGCATGCCAATGATGGTTCAATTCAACCAAATCTGCCAATTGAAAAGAAAAATACAAGAGTATTTTTGGTTTTCCTATCCAAAGGAAACCCACGGCATTTAAGGAAAATAAAGAGCATTTTTAGATCTTGACCCCTATAACTATCAAACAAGGTACCACATGGAAGAGCTGAGAAGATGGGCTACCTAGCTTTTTAGACACTTTATCCATGAAGTCAACACTAGGAGAATTATATGAGAAGCAAGCATAGGTGCATTGCTAGATGTCCCTTATGCATTTCCTAGGATCAAAGAAAAAACTAGTGTCTAGTTTGTGGACACAAATCGACTTTTGGAATGTGTTGTTCAGTTAAGATGAAATATAAATCACACCAGAGGTCTCGAGTTGATTCTTCATTCTCTCCTTTCAGTTTTCTTTATTTATATAATGGATTTAATCCATTTTTTCATTTACACGTTACGTTTCGCATGCTTAAGGCCTTCATCGTCCTAGCAGCCTTCATGTGAGGGGGGATGTTGACTTGAGATATAAAATCTAAACAGCGTTGCTCTCTAACAACTTAAATGGTTGTGCAATCAACTTCACACAGTTTTTAGCTGAAATCAACTTTTGATATAGTGGAAAAGCAAACCTTCCCTTTTTCTGTTTGATATGTACAGAGAAAAATCAAGGGCTTCTTTATTTTGGTGACATGCTAAATATTACCTTCCACATGGTCCAAACGATTTCTATCCAACACAACCAAATTAAAAACTAATAGTGATACATCCAAGTATCTCACCATTTCTGTAAAACAATTGTCCTGTTGGTTTTCTCTCAGCAAGATATGCTGCAAGTTGAACCTCGCCAAGTTCCACAGCACCAGTATTTGCAACTCCATCCAACAGAGCAGCTGAATGTAATTTAGAGGGGAACATGATAAAGGGAAAGCACATAGTGAAACCAAAGTGATAATTCTTTAGTCATCATCATGATCGCAAGATGTGAAGCAGCTACCATCAAGTACCGAAAATTCTGTTTGCTTCAGCAAAAAATTCACTCCAAGTCTATTTAATTCTAATAATTCGAATAACTTTTGAGTGCTCATATTGCTTTGTGAGAAAAAAGTTTAGCATGACCGGAAGCATTCCCGCTTTTCTTCGTACTATAGGCCAAAAAACTCTCAACTATCTTGAAAACTCACAGTCTAATCAGATTGAAACTTGAAATGCAAACCTTTGAAGATTGTGCATATGAATGAAGAACTAGAAAAGGAAAATGAAAAACAACAGATCTAGACTAAAATCGAGACTTTAAGAAGTAAATTGTCAGAATTATGCGAAAGCATGTTTCCTCTCAACATAAACATGAATTGATATCAGTTGCAAGTATTTTACTTTTGAGAATAAGAACTAGCAGTAAGAAGATGGCTCTGAGCATGAATAGCACAAAAACAAATAACCCAACAACACTTCATTAGTAGGAAGAGCGATGAGCCTGCACATAGTGGACGAGTTCAGAATTTAAGAAGAAGAAGAAGAAGTATGCAGCAATTTTTTTCTGAAACTGTGTTTACAAGTTTACGACAGAATGTAAGGAGTAAGAACGCATCCACACTCAACTAAATATCATGTATAAGTATCGGACAACTTGGCAGCTCAATTATCTAGCAAAACAATAAACAAAGTTTGAGAACTAGGAGACTAAGACTTAACAATGAATTTTTATAAATTAGGAACGTACCTATTCTTTTCCAGATGTCAAAGCGATGAGCACAACACTTGCTCCCAGATGAATATATCTAAATTAAATCATTTTAAATAAATTATTTGCAGACTACATGTGATGAGAGGAAAATAAAGTAGAAAAAGGAAAACACATGACAAGCACAAAAGCATGCCAAATTCACAAATATTGCAGTTTTTGGTTTATGTATTGCTCGATTTAGGTCCCTGAATTGTAAAATTTTGTGGAGCCACTCTCAACAATTCTAAATGCTTACGCTATTAGATGACAGAATAGTTTAATATGCAAATATTCTAACACTCCTCCTCATACGTAGGTTGGACTTTCGCTTAAGACTAAAGCCTGGAAATAAAAGAAGGGGGGGAGAGAGGGGTGGGAGGAGGAAGGGGGGTGGGGAGTGCAAATAAAGGAGCCTTGAAGAATTGAATTCGCGATATCCAACCCTGATACCATGTAAAAGCTCTGTGGAACTCTGCCCACTATTTTAAGATTTTAAGCTCTTAGATGAAGGCATGATTTTATACTTAAACATTCTGGCAATAATAATGCAGAGGTCCCTAAAAATTACAGCCCAGCTTATTAACTGGCCACTATCAATCTTCTAAAATTTTGTAACTGGATGGACCCTCCAACTGAAATGCAAGGGTCAACTGCTTGAGATACTCTAATTGATAGGTAACTTCTAAAACGAGTGCGTGAAAGTGTGGGCAATCCAATCAAGGCATCCTTCATGCTCTTTCTCTCGCTCTTGCCCATAACTTAAATGCTCCACATAGCAATCCTATATTTGAGCTGTCTTTTGGGTCTTGACTAATTTTTGCACGTGTTGACACCATGTGAAGCCTTTTCTTCCTCCATCAAATCTTTATAGAAGATTAGTAGCTCTACAGCTTTACCATTTTCATCATCTACAACTCAATCAATCAACAATATTCTCCCATTTTGTAAAATGCAAGGATCTCTATGGTTTATCATTGTTGTCATTCTATCAACCAATTAGTAGTATCTGGACTTTGAGAAAACATATCAATTAGCTAACCTGTATTATCAAATTTCTTTATCAACTCATAAAACAAACTATATCAAAGCCCATACAGGCCCGAGGAATAACTTTGACAAGAAAACACATACAACCATACAACAACAATAGCATAGGCTGCTTCTCTTTTCTTTATTTTTTTCTATCAGAGTATATAAGGCCAGTCTTATTGATGGTTCTCAGGAACTCGGTGTAATAATCGAGTGCTCATCCCTCCCTCCCACCCCGAAAGCTAAAAATAAAAATGCCTGGGCAGAGAGAAGAATGCATTTAAAATGAATTTGTCCTTATTTCACAGAAACCACGAAATCTCCCACGACAATGGAAAAGAGAAGCACCAAGATAAATTGTGAACACGTTAAAAACAGCCTGGATAAAAGCCCAAATAAGATGTAGATAGCAGTAGTACCATAAATAGCCATGGGCTGTCAGCTTCAGATGTAAGAACATCCTTCAAGGTAATGGCATTAGAAGCTTGGTCTCCAGAGTCTGATCAGAAAATGAAGAAATTGTCTATAAGCTTAACCAATGCTTGGTGTAGGTGGAAGTTTATAACCAGTTCCAATCTAAATCCAAAAAAAGGATAACCAAGAAATCGCAGTATATATTCTTACTTACCAGAAGCAGCGGCATCTAGTAACGGAAGGTGCACTCCAGAATAGCTTTTCCCAGCATATTTCTGTTTGGCCTCTTCAATAACATCCTGCGGACAAAAAAGTTAGATGCCGTACCGCATCTACCCTTATTCTCCAGTAAATAAATAGTGTATGAAAATGTACACATAACACACCTATCAGTATCACTAAGAAATACCACTCACATGTTGCTCTTCAATGCCAAACATGTCATAATTTCTTTTCCAAGTGGGGTTGGTCAGCAGTTCATAAGCATAACGAATCTGCAAAGCATGAAATGAAATGGGGTCTATATTCATGAACCCAAAACTCAATGGCAATGGAAACAGGACCCAAATAATCCTGCAGATGAGAGAAACAGGATGGATAAAGAAAAGAGAAGACAAGAAAATTCACATATGTAGATAGGTTAGAACTTTACGAGAGAATTTTTTGCCACAAGTATTCCACCATAACTGCTAGTTCAAGAGTACCGGAGAAAATGTGGATCCATTGCAGGATAAAGTCCCCAGAAAAGAGCGATACAATTCAAAGATAAAAAAAGTGGCAATGCTAAAATTCCAAAGAAAAAATAAACAATTAAAGAGTAATACGATTAAGTTCACCATGAAATTGTAGTGAGAAACATGAAGCAACCAGAAACTTCTCTGGCAAAGTACCAATAAGTCGAAGTCCAAAAAAAATGAAAAAATGGAGTGGAAGAACAAACTTGTCAGAAAAATCAGTCTGGAAAGATGGACACTATGTTCTGAATATGCAACTTTCAGCAACAAAAAATGATATCCAAGAACAAGCATGGTGAAGTTTTGCCACACTCCAAATTAACATTGAAAGAAATACCCCAGATTGCAGTCATTTCAGTTCAAGACATGTGTTTGTGCCGTCAACAGAAAAGTTTTGCGGAACAAGGCATTAGTTTTGGTGATGAAAGAATTATTTCCAAAAGACAACTTATAGGCACCAACCGTTCAAAACTTTCAGAAAGAGGAAAAGGATGTGGAAACAAGTAGGTAATACGAAATTCCCCGTCTGTTTTGAGAAAAGCGTACACCAATGAACTCTTTATAATTGCAGAAAAAATTTCCCTTTTGTCAAAAACACTTAGGAATCTACTCACTCCCCAAATAACACGTGGATAGAAGGAGCGAAGTTGTAATCATATTTTAAAGGGAAAAGGCACCACACTCTAGAGGAGACGCACATTATCTACACACATTGGTGATTCTAACTTTCTAAGACACCAAAAGAGGTAAACACATTGATAATTGAACATTCCACACAACTGATACAAGAGCAAACATAGTTGCTGCCGACTAAGTATATTTTGCCAGTTAGCTCCTTGTTTTAAACCAAAACAAGGATGAAAATATTCTAAACCCCTATTTCTAGACAACGAGCGATAGCATCATGACAAAAGTTTAAACGGCAGGATTTCAGGCCACGTACTGCCAAAGTCAATCTTTCTAAATTCTCTAAGGTCACAACCAGTGACAGAGGAAGCATGTCGGTTGTATTTGAATGAAGCAATGGAAAAACTACTGCTACCCATCGATCAACAGCATCACGGGAAGTTAGTTGATATCGAAAAAGAAAGTCATACGGTGGTTTCGCCATGACTCCAAAATTGATAAAAGCATCACAGAGGCAATTCGAGTGAAGGCATAGATAGTAGGATCATGTTGCAGCAAATAATGAGCTGACCTTTATAAATTCGGATGACTTTTGCAATTCCCCATCTGAGTTCCTGAGTTCGTTATGGTGGCCAAAACGATCAAGTTGCGTAGGGTTGTAAATGACCAAAATTGTTATTGACACATATTGTGAATGTCCATCGAAATTTAAAAACGTAGGTGCAATAAAACTAGTAAACCAAACTGGGAATAGAATCAACTTAAAGAAACTAAAACTGACCCAGATGAGGAAAGCTTCTCATACGCCTCTTCTACTTCCTGGATAGAACTATGCCTCTTCAAGACCAAAACTGCAATTTTTGAACCCCCAAAACAAAAAAGATATCAGATAACCTCCGATACAGCTCATTACTACGGCTAGATCAATCACATAAAATCCTCAGAGCAAATACATTGAATGCTTCCCAATTCCCGTATATTGGCGGATCAAGTAGTGAGCAGAAGATACCATCATAGTGACAACGAGGGAACGTGTTTGGAATAACGACGAGCTGATACACCATGGCTCCAATGAAGAGCATCAGCGGAACCGAGTACGCCTTCACCGTCGTCAGCATCGAAGAAACCCTCGCCATCTGCAACCACGAACAGAGTTACACCCACAGTCAAAGCTCCTTCTAGCCCTCGGATTAACCGCGTGCCGGTCAGTTCGGCAATGATGATCAGCACCCACCAAGTCAAACCCCCCCCCCATCAAAATTCCATTCCCTCATCATCAGCCTTCAAAAACTCTCCACCATAACCAACCCACGCGCACGCACTGAAGCTAAAACAGCCCCATTCCGACATCCAATCGCGGCAACACCCACACAACACACAGTGATCCGACAAGGACCCTGCTCGAGACGCTCAGCCCACGTCTCATTCCGCCGCGCGGGGCATCGAAACGATCGAGAAAAAACAAGAGCTTGAACACCGAAATCCCCCGCGCGCAGAGCAATCGCGGAGCAATGGTGACTCCGATCGTGGCCCAAAACGAAAGCGAATTGCTCGACGGAGGCTTAGGGCAAAACAACGAGGTTCGAGCGCGAAGGAAGGAGACGAATTCGAGAACCGGAGACTGACCTCGGGCCACAACCTCGCCGGAGCAGGGGTAAGAGAGAGAGAACGCGAGAGAGACGAGGAGCAATGGCCGGCTGGCTTGTGGTTATACGAGGAAACGGATCTTTTTAGTTATTTACTACAAGACAAAATATATATAGGCAAACAAGAAAAAAAAACCTTAAAAAAATTGACAATATGGGCTTCGTATTGTCCGTACTAAAAGCCCATTTGAAGCCCATATTGTGAAGACCGATGTGGGCTTCGACCCAAAAAAGTTGACAATATGGGCTTGTGGAAAATGGGCTTCGCGGCCCATGAATGCATCACGTTTTTCGAAGAGTTCGACGCTAGACCTGATCAAGGGCCGGGCCGTGCCGGGGGCTCGAGGTCGGTACCAACTTGTCGTCCAAGCATGCCCATGCTACATAAGATTTCGGGTAGGTCAGAGTCGTAATTTGCAGCCCGAGCTTCTTCTTTTTTTAGCGTACGGAGTGTGTTCCTAGGTACGCGCATTTACAATTGACTGTTCTAGCCCGAGCATGATAGGTTGTCCAATTGCACACGTATAGATCATGAATGTCATGTACGGGTCATGGAATTGAAATAGTTACTTGCAATTATACGTAAAAGTATCGGTATTTCATCGATAGGAATACTGATGCGACTCAATCGGCCCATTAATTCGCACGGATTGGAGAAGTTTTGCGCGAGCAATGATGTCGGATGGGTTCGGTTTAAATTCGGCGATAATACGAAAAGTATAATCGACCCAAAATTCATTTCTATTTCGAGGAAAATAAGGTGCGGAAAATGTGCTCTTGGATCCTTTTTCTTTAAGGGATTGGGGGTGGGTTTAGTGTCAATCGTCCAAAAACATCATCAAAAGGGCAAATGATAGAATGGCTAGATTCCTCTTTCGATGCCTTTAGAAGGCAAAGATGAACTTTATGCAAAAATGGCAAAGAAAGATAAGATTTGACTTCATTGTACTTGACCTTATCCTTTGGAAGGCCGTCATTATTGCCGCGGCTTAACAAATTATCTAATGTTAACGTCAATCATTTAGCTTTTGCAACGTTTAATTGAGTATGATCCCGGGTTCAATTTGGCCTTTTCTCCTGCCCATTGAGATCTTCTCCACATGGCCCCCCTAGGAAGAATTGTACAAATCACAATGCGTGTGCTCTCGAGGTCCTTGCGAATAAATCCGGTTAATTTATGAGCCGTTCGCGAAAAGAAAAAATTTGAAACCCGTGATGAAAATAATAAGGCAATGGCCGATCCGATGGGGACGAGGAGGAGTCGTCATCGGCATTGGAGCGAAGAGTATGTTGTTTGTCTAGACTACTCAAGAGGGAATCGCTGGACAGAGATTCGCATCAAATAAAGAATGGGCAAATGCATGCGCGAAAGCGGATTTGATCTATAGTGAACGTGATTCGATGTAATAATTAATTCGAGCAAAACTCCGTCAGTACCCTTTAATCTATTCTTATTCGCGCCTTTCTGGAATCCGGGTTATCGTAATCTTTAATTTATGAAGGTACTATAGTATTTGATAATTTGGCTTTACTTAGGGAAATACCCTTCTTTGATCAGCTATTGGTTGGGCAAGCGCGACTTTTGATCTTTTAAAAATTATCCCTATTGAAAGCGACACGAGGTGGAACATCTCCAATCAATTGCGAGTCACACGACAGTCACGTGCCTTCTCTTTTTCATTTTTTTTCTTTGTTATGAAAATAATTGAATTAAAGTATGATTGTTCGAGGATGACAATTTGATTAGATTCGATTGCACTATTGTAATCTCGTCTTTCTAAGTTTTATTGCATAGCAATATCTTCTTTCAGTTCCACGGGAACAATTTTTGCGGCATCATACTTTATATTTCCATTAATTAACTAAAAGGGTATAAGCATCTTAGTCAAGCATGATTTTTGAAACATGCAATTACTGAGGATAATCAACGCGTTTCGTATTAGGCATAGCTTCTTTTCTCGACCGGAGTAACTGATAAGACAAGGTGACGTGGAACCAGAAGGTTAAAACGAGGATCGGTACTTGTCAAGATCCAAATTAAAGGCGATTATAGGTCTGGCAACCCATTAAAGCACGCTTAGACCCGATCAATACAAAAAAAAAAGGGCAAAAATGAATTGTATTGATTATGCAATCATCTTCTCGAGGGTGGCTAATCGCCTCGTTCCACTCAGGCCCCGTCACCTTTTACTTGCAAGTTTAACGTCCGTCTGATAGTCGGCGGACCTAGACAGAGGGGCTTTCTGGTCCGACGTTGGTCCTGGCCAGAGCACCACCTCGGGGCCCGTCGATAAAACCAATCGCCCCGGGCCATAACACGGACCCCCCATCTCAGGCGGGCGTCGCCCCGAATTCAGTGGCTGCGATTGCATCGGGTCCATAGATCGGGTTCAGGTCAAGGGCTTTATCAAGAAGCATTATCTCTCTCTCTCCCTCCACCATTAATGCGCGGTCATAGGACGCGAGAGAATCCCCCCCCCCCCCCCCCCCTTCTTTCCTTCCTTTCGATGGAGGCCCCCCCTCGAAGTCGAGAGATGATGGTAAGTAATACTGTCATCCCCCGCTTTGTCTCTTTCCGCCGGAAGGCAACCGTCACCCACAGCTGTTACCGGGGTGGGGGACCGAACCCAACCCCACCCCGCACCCCGCGCCCCGCGCTCCCCCGCCACGTGGCGGCCTCCCATTGGCGGGTGTCGCGCTCGCCGGCGGGTCACGGGGTGACGCCAGCGCCCCCCACCTGAACCGCGTGTCGAGCTAGGGGCGGGGAATCGCGCCACCGTGGGGGTGGGGCCTCCCCGCCGACGTGTCGACCGTTAGGGAAGGCCGAACTCTCCCGGGGCCGAATCTTGGGCCCACCACCCTACCCCCTCCCGTGGGCCCCGCCGCACGCGATTGGAACCCGGAGGCCCCTCTTTTTTTTCTTTTTTTTTACCCCTCTATTATGAGAAATAAAGACAAATTTATAGAATTTAATAAAATGGGGCGATGCAATTTTTTGAGAGATTAATTCGGACAAGCGAGCCACGTTTAAGCATCTAATAAATGTGTTTGTCGAGTCATATTTCGAAATTAGTGTACATCTGGAATCACTCCTATATTCTTCGAAATTTCAGTATATCCGGTATCACCACGGAATATTGCTGTTGGAATTATGCACGGACGCAACAATTTACTTTTAAAAACTCGAGTTAGCAGAGGATAACGCACATACTTTATATGTTTCATAGCAATCCTTTGCAAACGAAGGTGCGTTAGGTAACGAGTGCCTTGGACACGAAGAGAATCGCGAGAACTGATCTCGAAAAGCCTATTTCAACAATTGTTCGAGGATGGCGTGTATCATTTTTTTTTTAGGATTAATACAATTAAAAGTCTCATATTGGTATACACAATATTTTTAGTTCAGACTAATTTTTGTCGCAAAAAAATGTCAAACCAATATCTTCACGACACATTTACAAAAAGAAATTCGCCTCACAAAAAATCTAAAACTGGTACCGCTGACCTAAATCTGTTTTTTTTTTGGTTGAATGCAGACCTAAATCTACCATCTACTAAAAGGCATACTTAACACGTCAGATCCGTAGCGTAATTATCTGCGAGACGTATGCATTTTAAAGAAATATTAGACAAAATGCGCATCGGGAGTAGATTTGAGTTAGGGTACCAATTTCGATTTTTTCTGTGAAAGGAAAATTAGATTGGCTAAATGTGTCGTGGGAGGACCGGTTGGGATTTTTGTGAGGCGAAAATCAATTTAGATAAGATGTGTCGTGACAAAACGGTTCGAGATTTTTTATGACATTAATCATTTCTTTTATAGGTTCATCTTAACTATATCTAGCAATTCATTCAACATGTATGATTAAGTTTGCGTGAAAATTGTCTAACCCCATTTTTTCGTAGGTCAAGGGGCTTGTGACGGAGGACTACTCCACTAACTAGAAAGAGAGAGTACATGCGAAGGTGACTAAATGTCATTAGGAGTATGGTCATCTGTCTACCTTGCTTCTAATTAAATTATTGGTTTGGTGACCAATAGAACCGAAAAATGCGCCCCCACAAATTTCGATTAGCGGGCATTTTAAAGAAGGAAATTCTCGATCTAAGTTTCCGTTTGTTTCGCAAAAAATGAATGATTTGAAAATTAACAATTCACGTCTGAACATATTCGTGGACGATGATAATAATTTCTGTTCATTCATTTTTTTAAAGCGATGTAAACAATTGTTTTTAGAAAAAATATTTTTCGGATCACCCATTTCCATGAAACGAGCGGAGCCTAGTCTCGATTTCCGGTTACCGACGCATCTCGCGAAAGGGGCAAGGAAGAGTCTCCCCCCCCACTTCGATTCTAGCTGAGGAACATGTCGTGCAGGACGCGAATTGCTCGCGATTCAATTGAGGGTGCTTGTTCATGTGTTCGAAATCGAAAACCCCACGTGGTGCACAGCATGTAATGACGAAATTAAAACGAGGGCACATGGAATGTGTGTGCGTGCTGTTGACTCTTACATCATCATGCATTACAGCTTTGATAACTGAACGAGTGCGAAGGAATGAGAATGGAGACAAGAGCACATTGGTTTGCTTAATGGGTTAATCATGCTTCAGTTCTTGTGATTAGGGATAATATCTTGATTAAGAGGGTGCGGATGGGTCATTAAATTCGATTGATGGCATCGTCACTTCTTGAAAATTTTACCGAGTCTCATCCTCGCCGAGGTTCCTAAGGTCGAGGGTTTTCTTTCACATTAACCGTCAAAATGCCAGACTTAGATTACCATACCGATTAATCGACATGGGATTACAATGAAAAAAAAATGCATAAAAGGGGCACATATAAGAGAGGGCGCGCACTAACCACAGACGACCCGTGTCGGGTTTAAGACCTAATTGGATGATTCATGTCAGGCAAAGGCAGACGTCGCCACCGTGCCGCCTCAATACAGATGATGTAGCCTCAAACCAACCCCACACTCCCCTCCTCCCCTCCCTCCCGGGCCCTCGACCTCGAGAAAAAGACTCGCCCACGAGTGGGCGGGTGCAGAGGACGATCATAAGCGAACCCTATTCTTGGTAGCCAATCGCGCCGACCCGCCGCATGTAGGGACCGACATACGAGATTTCCGATGCCTGGATCGAATGCTCAAGCACTCAACAAAACTTACTTAGGATCACCTTCGCAGTCACATCAATTGTCAAATGGGACCCGATCTCGTCTCAACTTTATCAAGGGCCACTAATACATAAAAGACAGAGATAAGTGCCCGTATGAATTCCAATCGACACAATTCACGTTCAAAATTGTGCGTGTGGGCACGCGCGCACGAGAGCGAGCGAGAGCGAGAGCGAGAGCGAGAGAGAGATTTAGGGAAGGTTGTCCATAATGGGCGGCGGGATGGCATGCTCACTTCAGTCCCCACAAGGACAACAACATAGAACGAGAGAAAAACCCCTCTTCTTCCCCCCAACTGTACGAGAATGAAACTCGCTTTCCCCCCGGTGATGCAAGAACCGGAACAACTTGGGGCTGCTGCCATGGAGAAAATACTCTGCACTAGAAAATTCATTAAAGAATGAAGATCGGTTAGCCTCAGCCACCAACTTAGACTTCACGTATGTCACATGTTTTGTACTCGAGCCAATCTGCACTTGCGACGCTAATGCTGCTAACAGAACATCAAACACTCCATAAAATATTCATTGTGGGCAATCACAAATTGCGCTAAAAATCTCCTTACAAATGCATAACGACATCATACAGAACATGCTTCACTTTCTTTCAATCACTCCTTGGGATTTAGAAAATCTATACAACAGGCCCACGCTCACCCATAATCTTCTTTTATGACGAATAAGAAGAAATGACCCCAAGCCTCTCCTAATGACCAATCTGTATATTTGCTTAGGAACGAGCACGAATTATAATTTTTTTTTCTAACTTGAATAGTTCCAGAGGACGTCCACGTCCATTGGTCCAGCCGAGGTTGATGGAGCTTGTTGATCCTCGAACTGCCTCCTCCCCATTCCGAAGCTCTGCATGACGGAGGAGATCTCGGTGTTCGCGTCGTTGGCGAGCCCCGTCTCTTGCGAGGCGCTGATCGCTTCCCTCTCTGCTCTCATGCTCTGCCTCATGCTCAATCCGTGGTGGTTCTCGAGCAGAGCCCTGAGGACGGAGTGCTCCGGCACGAAGGCAGGGCCCAGGTATTGGAAATTCGGTGGTACGGGGATGGGCTGAGCAGGGTATAGTGTGCTCAAGAGCGAGATTTTGGGAATCGGATTCATGGGATTCGAAGAATTGGGAAACAGAGGATTGTTGAAGTAACTGTTCATGTTTTCCTTGTTCTTTTCGAATTTCGTGGGGCTGGAGAAGCAGGGCACGTAAGCTGATCCGAGGTTGAACGTTGTCGTCTTCGAATCTTGCGGAGAAGAATCCGTTAATGGCGGCAAGCCGGAGCTCATTTCGTTCTCGAGAGACTCCGTCCTCACGAGGCCCGAGATATGGATTTTCTTCCCACCGGAGCTCTTTTGGAAGACCCTGCAAATGACCCACTCGTTCTGCAACACGAAGAACAAGAACTATAAATTTGTGCTCTTTCAATTATCATGGGAAAGTATACAAAAGAAAACGGAAATAACAGGGGAGGAGCAAAGAAATCATGGGAAAAAACAGAGGATTAGCCATTATTCATTACCTTCGAAGTCTTGGGGAGATTATTCAGAGAGAGTTTCCCCTCTAATCTGTATTCATGCATGACCCAATTCGTCTTCTCGCCCTTTGGAGCCCTCCCTCTGTAGAAAACCAAGGTCTTCTTCATACCAACCAGAGATTTTCCCCTGTAAATCTCTTTGTCTTTTCCCGTCGCCTTCCAATAACCAGCTTCCGTGGCTCTGTTGGTCCTTAAACCAGTTGGGTACTTTCTATCCCTCACACAGAAGAAATACCACTCCTTCTCCCCCATCTTCGCCTTCCCTATATACTCAAACAAAAGCAATCGCGTATGTCAATCTAATTCCAGAATGAATCAGACGTGAATAGAGATAAGTGAGATGGGGTGATTTCGTGATTGCTTACAAGGCAATTCCCAGGGCTCAGACTTGTTCAAATCCACTTCTCCGATAGCTTTAGCGGAGAAGCCGGTGTCCATCACCTTCTTCTGCAGGTAATGGGTGATGAGCTCTTCATCAGTCGGGTGGAACCTGAACCCCGGTGGCAACTCGATTTGATCATCTTCCTTCCCAAACCCGGCCAAGTTCTCCATTTCTTGAAACTGCTAATCGCCCACAGCGCCCACAGATGAAAAAGAGAGATTCAAATTCTTCAAGAATCGAAGAGCCCAAAAGTAAGCAACTTAAAAATCCTGAGGACGCGAAAACTCCCGAAGGGTAGGTGCTAAAACCACCCACGGTATGCCGTTTATATATCAACCAAGCAGAGAGCGAGAGAGACGAAACAGGGGATTTGAGATTCAGTGAATACAGAGATATTTGAGCGAAAAGTTCGAAACGAGAAGCTGTGGGAAATTTTTTTTTTTTTTGGTCGAAGCTGTGGGAAAGTTGAGGGAGGAGAAAATCTGGGGACAGGAGAAGATAGAAACTTGACAAAAAACGAAGAGACGCGATTTAAACTCAAAAGCTGCAATTTTCAAAGGGAAGATGTCAAGGAAAAAAAAAACGCATGTGGCAGGAACAGAGGCCCCTAAATACTGCTCTCTGTTAGAGAGAGAAAGAGAGAGAAACGTGGAATGTAAGGCAGCTCGTATCTTGGCTTTGGTAGGTTGTTTCTGCTCTCTCAGTTGCTTTTTTGTTCTAATCCTATCTTCTACTGTTTGACTTGAAGACAACTCACACCTCAATGTCATGCATGTGTGCTTTGATAATAACCGATTCATCATCATCTTTCAGTATGGCCAGTGGAGTTGGAGATAGCCCCATCATTTGTTTTCATTTGACAACACTGTTCATCTCTCCATCAGGAAGGTTTCGATGGGGGGGGGGGGCATCACAGCACGTCAAGGAGTTCGTTCACGAGCATGTTCGGTCGGGGTCGATCGCCCCGAGCCGTCGCTCGGCCCACATCGTCCTCGTTCGCGTTCGAACAGTCTCGAACTGTTGCCGGGAGGAAAACGAGCGATGAATCTGGTGCAAAAAGGAGGGGTATTCGCAGAACAAACTTTCCTACCTTTGGCAAAACCCTTCCGAGCCGTGTGTGAAATTGTGAATGCAAAGGAAGACTTTTTTTTAAAGTAAAAAAGTCTCTTCAGATTCGGGCACTCGACACGAGCTCGTGCACGTTTCGAGTCGAAATTACAGGCTAGCCCCTCCTCCTATTGACTTGCCCCTCCTCCCATTGACTTTGGTACCTGCTTCGAAACAGGGAGAGGGCGTGGAAGCTTTCATTTCCGTCACCATTGAACCAGAACTGTGGGCAACAGATGAAGGGAATGTCAAGCAGCAGGCTCCTGAGGTCAAGTCACTTTCAATAAAAAAAAAAAATTCAATTAGCAAGGCTGAAAAATAAATTATACCCAATTCTTAGCCAATTTGTCCCTTTTTTTTTCTCGTGTATATTTGATTAAATTATTTAATTATGCGGTATTAACTTTCAAGCTAAATCACGCTAATGTCATAAGTATTGCGGTTACATGTACATGCATGTTGTATTTCGTCCTGGCTCTGTTTGATAACGTTCATGCACGGCCCTAGCTGGTGTTGGGCTCATTTAAACTCCATCATTAGGCGAAGTACATATCGTCATGAATGCACGCCGGAGTAATTAGTACCAGATTGTTCCGAGGTTAGCATCGGTATCTCGAGACGACGGTTAGGATTACGCTCCACCGATTATGGTTGAACAATAACGTGGTAACTTTTGAAAGTAAGGTACAAAATGGTGCATTTCACATTCGATCAAGGTGCAATGAACCCATGGATGCAAACCCTCATTCTCACTTGGATTGAGCAAACAATGGTGCCTTGGGTGCCTACCTTAGCCAAACCTTATCAAGATCATTTAGGACTTTTCGGAAGTGATAAGGTTGCACTTGGATTTTGGTAGTAAATGGAAACCGAATGACTCTCAAACTTCCTATTTTTATATTACTAGGTTTCCATTTCTAGTGCCCATGATAAGAAGAAAATCACATGGTTTAATGGTAATTGGGTAAAGAGAAGCAAGAATTAGGTCTATGATTTGCGCACCCTTTTTCTAGATTAACACGGAACGATAAGATTTCGCGATAATTGCAGATGTTTCAGAGATGCACAGTTAGTATCAAGATCGAGCATCACGAAAAGCCCTGAGTCTTGCTATTAGACATGCGCCAAGTAGGCATCTCCAAGAAGGTTCATATTATTGTTAATCATGCGTACTTACACATCAAGGACAAAGGTGGAGGTGGGGTATTCCATTTGGTGTGTAAATTAAAGAGACGTCAATTGTCATGTACTTCAAAATGGCCTTCTCCAGCTGGGGCCTTTGGTACTAATTTTGAATTATACTTTTATCTTGAATTTCATAACTGAGAAATCAGTAGGTATCAAATTGTACTTTAATTGATTTCCTATCTCGCAACCATATGTCCAACAGTGGTATGTTTACGAAAAAAAAATGTGGGGGAAAGAAGATGTTTCGTAATCACTAGAGAGCGCTGCTTGACATTTGACATCAACCCCAGGCCAAATTGATTCGTGATACCATCTGAAGCGTATCAGATCCCATTTACATATGAGCTGGCATATGTACGCTACGAATTTTCAGCTGAGAAATTCCGATTGAATGATAGAGAAAAGTCGCGTGATTATTTTGACATAATGTAATATCTTACCAAATCACACAAGAGCCCATAAAATTATCTAGTATCGTCGGCATTTTAACAAAAAATATTCAAATTACAACCACCAAATTTCCTAAATGTTAATATAAAAAAAACGAGAGTTCCCTCAAGTGTACGGCACAAAAAAGGCAAGAGAGTCCAATGAAATCGGCTTTGCTAATCTAAGGAATCTACATCTAATATCTATTATCTTATTAACTATTATGGTTAAATACCAAATAAGCATCGTTTACCATTTTTTAATAATAGAATGACGAAGATGACCTTTCCCTTTCAGGGGAAACCCCCCCGATCTCCGCCGTACACGTGTCGCCCTCCGCCCATCCGAGGGGAATTTCAGTCGTCTCGGAAATCCCCCGAATCTCGCCCGCCCCGGAGCCCACGCGCCCGCCACGTCAGCGCCCCGCGAAGTTGACAGTGCCGGCCGCGCCGCACCGGATCGCAGCCCGTGGCGAGCGCCACGTGGCGCGTCGAGAGAGTTGACCGGGATTTAAACCCGCGGGCTTGGCTGGCTGGCTGGCAGGCAGCAGGAGGATGGAGGGGAGGGGCTGCTGAGCTGGCGGGGTTTCCGGGGGCCCCTGCTCCGTCTACCGCGACATGGGGGTCACGAAAGGGACGGCTACGTGGCGCGCGCTGATTGGCCAGGAGAGCCCGCGTTAGGCAGAGTGTCAACTCCTTTGAATCCCTCGGAAAGAAAGCAAAAGGAGTCCCCGGATTTCTCTCTCTTTTTCATTCGATCGACTTCTCCATGATTCGATTATTTTTTTTTTAGGGACTTGCCTAACTTTGAGATAGGACCTAGCTAAAGCGGAAAGCTTTAATTTTATTTTAATTTAATGTATTTTTAAAAAAAAATTATAGGTGTACGTGGATGCTTTTGATCGTACTCTTATTCTTCTGCGGATGACAAATTGCCACTCTTTTTTCTTTTTAGGGTTGGGTTGACTTGGGAATTGGGATTGAATGTTCCACGACCAGTGTTTGGTTTTGCAATAGATAATTAGATAATGAGTAGATCTTGGTTCTCGAAGGTTTGATCAGATGATGATGATGATGATGATGATGATGATGATGGGGTCGGGACTTGTTCGTAGACCTGTCGGGCAGGTGAGTCGGGTCGAAAAATGATCCGACCAAAATTGACAATTTAACCCGTTTTGACCAATTTCCATATAATATAAATCTAGCGACTCATACCTAACCCATTCAATACCCAAAAAATATCCGACCCGACTCATATTACACACACACACACACACGTATATATATTTACCTCAATTCAGGAAAACTCATACTCAAACTAAGGTAAAAGGACGGAACGAGCGAACACGAGATTGAGTGAGGGCGAAACACACACACACACATGTATCTATATTTACCTCAATTCGGGAAAACTCATACTCAAACTAAGGTAAAAGGACGGAACGAGCGAACGCGACATCGGGTGAGGGCGAGAGAGGGTGAAGATAAAGTCACAGAGGTGGATTTGATCTAAATAAGTTGTGAACCTATTAACACCCATATTAAATCCATTTATTATCAATTTATTAAATATAACTGACACGTATAACAACCCAACCTATCAAATATGTGTTAAAAAAATGAGTTTGCGACAAATTTTGCTAGGTCTACATATTCGTGGTTCCAAAAGTTGCAGGTAGTTTAATTGCTTGATTGTGTTTCATTTCATCACCATTTGCCAACTTAGCGAGGAATTGGGAGACAAGGAATCGAGCTCTACTATGGTTCTTCCCTTTTTTCTTTTTATATTGATTTCGTAGGGGATTCCGGTACATCGATCAGAATAGTGATGGTGTTTTCTTCAGCCGAATGAGATTTACTAGGGTTCGATATGGACGAGCCAGATGCGACGTGGGAAATGCGCGAGTGCACGAGGTGAAAGTAGGTGATTAAAAGCATATTACTTTCATATTAATCAAATGAATGTATGTGTGTTTTTGGTTTTATTTTGCTACCCCAATCACGGTGCTTAGGATCCTTCTTAACCCGAGGATGGGGGCAGGCCAACTAGCATGTGGGTCGAAGGCCAAATAGTCGTAGTTTCAATTTATTGTGCTCGACCGATGTATTTATTTCTAATCTAAAGTTTTCGATACTAAGCAACATTTCTAGTCTTGATATTAATTCCAGTATGAAACATTCCATTGTAAAATCTAGGAAAATTACCAAAAAAATCTTAAATCTATTATGCTTGTGCCAATTCATTGCTAAACTTTTTGATTTGACCAATTTAGTCATAAACCTTTTGACAATTTGTCAACTTAGGCATTTTGGCCAATTTTGGTCGAAATCGCCGACATAGATGCCAGCCATCCTATGTGGCACGGCCGATGTTGACGTGGACAATTTTTGTAATTTTTTGACTTTTTATATTTTTATAGCTATTTTTTCTTTTCTTTTCTTTTCTTTTTTTCCCCTTCTTCTTCCACCAGCCTTTGGGCCTCGGCAATGGCCGACGAGGCTCGATCTCGCTAGATCCTGGCAAGGTGACCCCGATAGGCCTGCCAATGAGGTTGAGCCTCCTTGGAGGTCGATGAGGGTCGACCTTGCCAGCTTCAGGTGAGGCTTGACCTCGCCAAATTCGACAGCGAGGTGACCTTCCTAGTGTCGGGAGAGTGAGAGCCTCACTCGAGGCCAGTTGCTGGCCATCACCAAGGCTTGGTGGTAGACAAAGGAAACAATAAAAGAAAAGAAAGAAATGAAAAAAATTTAAAAAAAATGCAAAAATTGTTCAAGTTAGCATAGGCCGTGTCACATAGGACGGCTAGCATCCACGTCAGCGATTTCTGGTTAAAATTGACGAGAAGAACTATATAGACTAATTGTCAAAAGGCTTATGATTAAATTAGCTAAATTAAAAGGTTTATGACTAAATTGGGACAAAATGTAATGAGTTTAAGACTTTTATGGTAATTTCCCTGTACAATCTTGCCAAAAAAAGAAAATTGGTATGGGCATTGTCATATAAGTTACCCCACCAAAATGTTAGTTTCCAAAATATGTATACCTAATTTATGACAAGTACAAATTAGATCTTTCAACCACACACTCCAAAAGCTGTTCTTGTAAAGAATAACTAGGGTTTGTACAACTCTTTACATTAGTTTAGAAAACATCTGTTGGAAATAGTTGCAACCAACTAGTTGGGGTTGGAGGATCTTTCTCCAACTACTTATGTACACCAAACCCATAAACTCTTTGATTTTACTACTACTTCCATTAGCCCATAAAGTCACTCAGTTACATCTAACTAGACAACCTTGCACGGTTTAATATTTTTCCTTCTCCTTCAATTTTATCAAGGGCCGAGCCAAAAAGAAAAGTGTGTTGCGTTGCGCCGCGCACCTTTTCGGGTTACTTTTTTTCTACGTCGATGACTTCTTGAGGTCCATTTGACGTGGCTTATTTCGATATTAAAGGGGGGAAAATCCTGTAGATGGCGAATTTACATTCATTTTGTGGCGGGGGCAATAATTCAAAATCACGTTTTGGACTACTCGACGGACCGGGCATTTGTTTAGATTTGACTTAAAAAGATAAACCTAATTAGGGTCAGATCCAACGACTAAACCGAACTCATCTATTCACCATCTTTCACACTTTTGACCCTCCTCAAGTTCAGCAGAGAACTAGGCATAATTCTTCTTTAGCCGCCATTGTTTAGCTTTGTATATACCTAAACACTTCGATTGGCTCAAAGGGTCTGTAGGAATTGGTCAGATATTTGCTTTAGTTTATGAGGATGGTGCGAGTCCATTGGTCCACCAGTTCATAACTGAGAATAGAACTGTTTTGTCTGCATTCCCAAGCATTATTCATTATTCTATGCCCCTTCTCTTCATTCATACACTGCCCCTCCCACATCAAAAGACCCCCCACAAAGCTCCATCACTTGACCGTTCAGCTCACCTAATCACTCATCACACTGATGTCACGGCTGCGATTTGTCAGATCTTGCTCCAATCCCATTCGATCTCAGTGGCTCGGAACCCCTGCATGATTGCTGATAAAACAACCAATATGCTTGACCTAATATCCATAGGGCTTACGTCTGAGTGGATGGACATATATTCCCCTCCCTCCACCGGTTTCTAGAGAAAATGATAGTGCATGGATAACTGGTTTCATTAGGTAGATCATATGCCGCGAGGACCTATGAGCCAGGAATAATCTCACCTAATCTTGCGCTAAACTAATGCCGATTCTTCAGTCAAATTTTTGAAACCCCTTTTGAATTTTTTACGTTGTTTGATTCGTTTTGGGGGCATCAGGACTATGTTGGCATCTGCCTTTTGAGGACAACATTGATTAGGGACATATGAGGTGGTGTACATGTTTCACTCAGCTAGGATTGAAGCGGCCAATGGCACGGGGAGTTGTGTAATGATGCCATGTTTCATATATATTTTGCTAGTTTAATCGAAGGGTTGCCAAACTAATGATGCTTTTCATCTCTCTTTAGCAGTTTCATTTCCTTTTCTAACATGCATTGTAAATTCAGTTGTCCTTTTCTTTTCCGCGTCAGTCACCAATGACGGATGTTAAAAGAATTCCGATGGGCTAAGTCATATAGAATATGCAACATGGCTCCTTTTTAATGTCCCAAGTTAATTCCTTAATTTTCGATGTAACATATAATTAGTGTATTTTTCTCGGATTCGAAATTTAAATATCTTTGTTCTAAGTCGATGAATCTGTACTAGATGTGGCCGTTGATCGCATCTGGTCACCTTAGCCCCACCTGAAATTGAATATCGCACGGCCTTTGTAAGCTCGACCTTGCAACCTTGTTAGTCGCCTAGGCTTGCCGAACAGAAAGCAAAGGTCGCCCATGCTAGCCCCAAGTATACATATTTCTATGTTTCTAGCTTAATAAGGCATGAAAAACTAGAGTTAATTATTTTAAAAACGAAACACAACTCGATTGCACACAAAAATCTCAAAAAACATGGATAACATGAACAAAATGTCAAATTCTACTTTACATAGTCAATGTCTAGAAAATTGCCTTTGAAAAGAAAGCTTTCTTCTTTCTTAAGTAACATGGGCGAGTCGAAATGTCCGCTCTAGATCGAAAGTTCGGGCCTCTTAATTGAGTAAGTGGGCTTGGACGGGCCAGTCCGATCTATTGTCCGGTCTAATTGTACTTAAAGTTCGCCTGCTTTTATTATTTCGCAAAATCACAATCGAGCTAATAATGACTAAAAAGATTTACGAGAAAAAGAAGGAAATAAAAAAAAAAAGCTACAACTAGTAGATATGCGGGCTATTTTGGGCCCATGGCCAAGCTTGATTCATGAAGTTCTAAAGCTAATCGGGGCGATCTAGATGATCTCTTTCCATGCAAGAATCATTCCGAAGCACGGATGCTCCAATATTTCACGTCCCTCTTCAAGAAATGCTCCACCCTCGCGGACGTCAAGCAGATCCACGCGCGCGCCATCCGGACCGGCTGGATCAAGAACAAGAACCTGTTCGTCGTCGGCAAGATCATCAACTTCTGCGCGGTTTCCGAGCACGGGGACATGGGTTACGCGGTCAAGATCTTCGAGAGCACGAGGAAGCCTGATGGGTTCCTCTGGAACACGATGATCAGGGGCTTCGGCAACTCGGGTCAGCACGGGAGGGCCTTCGAGTACTACGGGAGGATGCGGGGCGAGGGGATTGGGGCGGACAATTTCACGTTCTCGTTCTTGCTCAAGGCCAGTTGGCATCTGGGGTCTGTTGCTCTGAGCAAGCAGCTGCACTGCAGTACCGTCAAGTGTGGCTTGGACGAGCATGGTTTCGTGAGGAACAGCCTCGTCCACATGTATGGAATGATCAAGGATATTGAGGCTGCGGTTCAGCTGTTTGATGAAATGTCTGAACGGAATTTAGTGGCGTGGAACGCCATGCTCGATTGCCTCGTGTCCTGCGGCCAGTGCAAAGAAGCCCTCGACATGTTCGCGGATATGCTACGAAGTGGCGTAGGACCCGATGAGGCCACTCTTGTTGTGATGCTCTCGGCTTGTTCCCGAGTGGGTGCCTTGGACTATGGGAGGTGGCTCCATGACTTCATCAATCATACCGGCCTTAGTGATATCGTTCCAGTGTGTAATGCGCTCATTGATATGTATGCAAAGTGTGGTGCGGTTGGAGAGGCATATATGGTTTTTGCAGATATGAGCCGAAAAAACAGAATAACATGGAATACCATGATTCTAGGACTCGCGATGCACGGGCATTCAAAAGACGCTCTTCAACTCTTTTCGCGGATGTTAGAGGATGGATCCCAAGAGCCGGATCATGTCACTTTCTTGGGTGTTCTGTGCGCTTGTAGTCACGGCGGGATGGTCAATGAGGGAAGAAGGTACTTCGGATCCATGAGAAAAGATTACCATATCGAACCGACAGTTAGGCACTATGGTTGCATGGTTGATATGTTGGGAAGAGCAGGTTTTCTGGAGGAGGCGTATGAATTAATAAGGGGCATGCCCATACGATGTAATGCCATAGTGTGGAGATCGCTGTTGGGTGCTTGCCGTATGCACGGCAATATTGAACTTGGGGAGATGGTGAGAAAGAAACTGTTGCACTTGGAACCGGATCATAGCAGCGACTATGTTCAGCTTTCAAGCATGCACGCAAGTGTTGGTCAGTGGAATCTAGTGCTGAACGTGAGAAGAATGATGAATGACAGGGAAATTAAGAAACCTAAGCCAGGTTACAGTTTTGTCGGGGTCGAAGATCTTAGAGATGGAGTCGTTTGCAGCATATAGAAATCTAGGTTATGAAATGTGAAATATACAGATGGCTCTCCAACTTTGCCAACTTCCCTCGTTTTCTACAAGAAGATTGGTTGTGTAAAGCTTCAAGAAATGAAAATGCATAGAAAATTTACAACTTTAGTTGATTTCAGATGGCTTTTGACACTTTCAGGAGCATCCCACTTTGACGTACCCAAAATAAAAATTCACGGAGAATGGCATTTATTAGAGGAGCTTGGAAAGTATTAAGCGGTATCCACGGTAGCATGAACACATAATCAAAGTCATAGTCGAGAAATAAGGTGAAAGAGTCTTGATTATTTGTAATGTACATCATTAATTGGACAAATCCTGGAGAAGTCCAAAGCTCAAACTTGATTACAGTGTTGCATACAAGTAATAACATTTGAACATCACCATCGCAATCAGGACATCTTCTTCTCTTTCTTTTCCTTCCAATCCGCGATGTCGGCGTCTATTCTCTTTTTTACACTAGCATGAAACCCTGGGTATGGTTCATATTCAAAGACAGTTTGAAGAACCTGCATACAATAATTGAATAATATCTTTTCAAGCCATTCTCCAGAGAAAACCAAAAAAGCTCAAAACTGTGCAAAGATTCAATGACTTGCCTCAAGCAAAACAAAGAAAGGAGCCATTAGAAAGGCTTGTACAAGATTGTCCAAGAGAGCTGGCGCTCGTTTCTGAAACAAAGTGATCCAATTGAGATAAAGCTTTTTCTATGGCCAAAAGTGACTATATAATAGGTTATAATTAGTGAACAAAGCAGAAGACAGTTCCAAACTTAAAGGATATGCTCACCTCAAATACGCCATGTCCGAGGAATTGACCTGTCCAGCAGACTAATTGAGCCGCAAGAACAACCTGAAGAGAGATAAACCTTGTGAATGCGTATGAAAAATATCGAGGAGGAGATGCAATTGCCTTTTGATATAACTTCGCTTTTAAATGACAAAATTTCCCCCTTCATAGCCAACTAATTAACCACCATACTTCAGGAAAATTTGCTTCCGCATATAAACTAATCACAGGCATGTCCCAACGTCAACCTTCCGAATTTATTCTTAGTTCCATCTCCTGATGGAGATAGAGAAGAATAAGCACATTCACCCCGGTCGATGCGATTTCCTTAAATGTGCAATATGACAAGAGCAAGGCAAAGTTTAATTACATAGGAGAACTCACCGAGGCTACTAAATTATATAGGTGTACTTCTTGGAGTACATTTTTACCATAGCTTTGATGAGGAAAACTTATTCTGTACAAAGTATTATGCTATTTTGATGGTGACAAACAAGAAGTTTCTTAGGCTCTCCAAAAAGTAAATCAGAGCTACTTCTACCTTGCTTTGATTTAAGAAAACTCTTTCAGGAGAGTATCTGCAGAAGTTTGCTGCTTTTAATGATGGGTCTGCATAACACATGGAGGCGCAGCATCCTACATATCTCAGAGATCAACGGATCTTTAGGGACTTCATCCTTTTCCTTTTCATCGCTTTCTATTTCTTTGAGTTAGTTTTTAATTTGGTATATCTGCACAAGTTTGCACTCATAATCCAAATTCAAGATCCTATTCTCAAGTATATCATTTTCTTAAATATATCCAGATGGATTCTGCTTAATACTCCCTTCCACACTCAATCTCTTACTGGGCCCCAGAACCCCGGCTGTCTCCTCAAAACAATGTCAAATAAGTAGCTCAACAGCCCAACCAGCCAAAACATGTTATAATCCATATTCTATTTACTATATGTCATGTAGGAGAACCAAAACACAAGACTGCTAAAAAGTGGCTTCAATAAAGACAAGAATGTCGTACGCAAGGAACAAAGCCATCAGACAAATACTAGGATCCACCAACTGCCGGATGCTGCAAAAGCTCTATTCCCTAAAATACCAAGGTAAGAAGATGAGTAGTTTGAAGGAATTTTGACAAGGACATTCAAGAAACATGGTCGCTGTACACCATAATTCTTGCTGTCAATGTTCCAAAACTGCCACATCCGACAGTTAGGGCTGGTCACAAAACCTGACTTGATGAGGCTCACACAACTGTACTTGGTGAGGGTATCCAAGCAAATGAGTTCATGTAGGTTGGGCTCAACAACAAAATACTGGCACTTGAGATACCTATGTACAACTCTATGCTACCTAAGCAAGTTAAGAAATCTCAATGTAAGGGCACAAATGTGGCGTTTAAGTACTTATGCACCAGTCCTAGTGACCGGATTGAGATTATTTAGCATCTTCAACCATTCCACGATTCAGCCAAGTATTGACTTCGGAGTTCTAATTCTATGGTTTAGAGTCAGAATTGTTCTTTTACTCTTTAATGAAAACAACTGCAACAATACATAGTAAGAGCTTATAATGTTAACATAAGAAGAAATGAGATATCTGGTTCCACAGAAATTATCATCAGTTGACTCAGGTCCAACAACACATGGGTGTTTCCATTCACGAATGTGTTTCCTATCAACCAAGAGTGATGATCTAACAGTTTTCTCCCTCGTGATTCTCTCAAACTCTGCCCAAATTCAGAAACTCAAGGCATCCAAGGGACAAATTCACCATTTGTTAAATGCTTCTTCTCTTCCATGATATGGAACTCCACTTTAAATGAAAAACCTCACTAAAAACTAAGACGTGAGCCGAAAAATAGGTGGGTGGCCAAACATGAGATTGTTTGTACTTTACTGGTGTTGAAAATCGAATTTACGTCATCTGTCTAATCCACACACTGAAACTGTTTTTTGATCACTCCATGTACCGTAAAATTAACCGTACAGAAGTTGTTCTCCTAGAAGAAATATGATCCTATTCTCTGGAACGGCCTATGTGGAATTGATGAGCCGGTTTTTGAGTCCGATTAGTCAAAACTAAGGATCACTAGGACCACCAGGACCACCAATCCTCCTCCTCCATCCCAGAACCATCAAACAACAATCTTTTCAAGAATAGCATCACCAAACAAACAATTTGAGCTGACACAAAACGACCTGCTTCTATCTAACCAAAGGATCAAACCAAAACTAATGCAAGTCCCTCCCACTAAACAGTTATTGATGATGTCCGATAGATTCAAGTACTAATTATATCAGATATCAGATATATCAAAAAAAGAAAGAAAAAGCGAGACAAGAAACGCGATACCTTCCAAGCCAGGGAGAAACCAAGATGCCTAGCGAGCCAACTGGCCCCAACCCAGCACACCATACACAGCAAACCCGCCAAAGAACCCGCCTTTATGTCCATGCACACATAGAACACCGCGTACAGGAGAGCGAAAAAGAAGCCCAGATTCAAGAACAGGCCGTGTCTCGCCAAGAAACACTGGGGCTGAAAGCTCAACAGCTCGCAGATCGAGGGAGTGAAGTAGAAGAGGACGAGGGAAGTGAAGAAGATCGGCCAGACGAACACGGTGTGGATCAGGATGTTGACCGGGTTGCTGTGGTACGCCCCATAGAAGGCGAAATGCTTCTCGAGATCGAACAGCCCTTTCCTCCCCATGGAAGCTTTTCTCGAGAAAGGATTGGTTTTTCTCGGAAAGTCGGCGATGAAGATGACAACTTTTCTAGGTGGGGGGTCAATTATAGAGAGACGAGGCGATGGGTTTCTTGAAAACCAAGAGCAGCAGAGACCCACCGGATTGGTAATTTTGGAGGCTTGCGAAACTTCGGCCGCCATGTGAAGGTTATCGACTGTCGGGAGGTTTCGCTAAAGTGCGCCGGTCCGTGTCGAGTACTTATCCTGCGCACGGTTTGATTTCGCTAAATTTACTCTGTGTTCTCGATAGGTCCTAGGTTCCGACCGAAAACAAAACCACGTCCTAGGTTGGTTGATCTTTAAATGCAAAACTCTAATAAAAGCGAAAATCTTTAAAAAAAAATAAATAAGGAATTGTTCCTAGGTAATAAGAAAAACGGTATTAGCCCAAAAAAATAAATTGGATATGAAAGAGGTCCGTTCGATTGTAAAGTTCATCGATTAAGGTTATTTCGTTTATGTAACTCTCTAACACATGGTGCGGGCTAGGAAAATTACGATATGCTCGTGGTAAATTTATTGCTAAAACGATTCCATGTGATTGTAGAGTTATGGTGTTTAAATGTTTGTATCTTACAATAAATTCTTGAGGGTCTCATCCTTTGCTAAAACTACACCTTGAATATGAATTAACCATAAAAAGGTAAGCAATGAAACGAAACATTTATTGTATCAAATCTTTTGAGGGACTAAGAGAATGCTCATTCGTCGGGCGAGTTTACCCTCCTGTGACTTTATCCACAAAAAGTGGCCGATGCATTTATTAGCAATTAAAACTAATTTCGTCAACGCTGACTATTGAATATAGTTGGAACGATGAATATGCTAAATCGTCGTAAACCTATTATATTGCTCGCTATTAGAGGATAATGAATCCTCCCCAAATGTAACAAGATGAATTGGGGATTTACCATCGTGAACGTAAACTTATAAGGAATTATTCTCACAATCTCCTGAATCACGTTTTCCTCTTCTCTTTTTTTTTTTTGTCTCTTTTCTATATACGATCATCATTAAAACATGGTAGAGCGAAATACGATCCTAAGGTTAGCTCCACTATCAATGCTTCCACTTGTCTATTGATAACTGAGAATTTAAGTTCTTTATTGTTGTCAGAAAAACTATAAAATTATAAAATTTGTCCATGTCAGCGCCAGCTATGCCATGTCCATACCAATTAGGATGATCAGTGGCACAGCCGGTGTCTACGTTAGTAATTTCCAGCCTAAATGGGCTGAATAGACTAAATTGGTATCAAAGTGAAAAGACTTACGACTAAATTAGTCCAATTGAACTGTTTAGAATTGAATTGGTACCAATACAATACGTTTATGACTTTTTTGGTACTTTTCCCAGAAATGTTGAGGTTCGGAGTTCTATCAATGACTTATCTATTTTTTTTTTGGCGAATATTTCGATCAATTGAGCATTCTTTTCATTGTAGTCGACATTTACAGCGCAGTGATCGGTGTAAAATTCAATTATTTATTTTCTGCAACATATACCTCAATGGTTTGAAAAGGTATGAGTTATAGTGTTGTCTTCGGTCCCCTGAAATACAAAAGGCATTCTGCCCCTTAGAAACTATCGATCAGAGGACTAGGCTTAGAATGCGTTTGGTTCGAATTTGGAAAAATGCAAAAGACTTTTTGGATTAAAGAGATTTTTCGAAATGCAAAAAAGTGTTTGACATTCGCCATGCATTTGGCTCTAGATTGGACCATGCCCACTATTTTCAGCAGTTGGCATTCACTTTGAGGAATTCATTGACATACTCCAGTTGTGATCCGTATGTTGTCAAACCATAATCAGTTCACATAATGCCAACGGATATGTTGCAATCTTTTCGTCTTCTTGTTTTCATAACATTCTCTTTTACACTGAATCAATACCGGAAATTAGCAACAATTGGGTGGCAAGGTCGTCACAGAAACTAGAAGTAGCGCCGGTCGAATTTCGCGCCGTTTCGGTCCCGAAAGGCAAATTGGACTGCCGGTCAAGGTAGGCACATATATTGGAGCGTCGCATGAAGATGAAGGAAATTCCTTCCTAGTATTGACCATGTTGCCTGCGGTACAAGAGTGCAGAACTCAGAAATTGGGTGCTCGCAGAGTCCTAAATCCCTAAATGGTCGATAACGACATCTTCATTGAGGCTAATCAAGAATCTGACAAGACAAAACACAAAAAGGAGGCAAACCCAGATGGTAGAAAACTGAGGCCTTTACTGGAAATTTTGCTTCCAAGGTTCCAAATCCAGTAAAAGAATAAAAAGACCTCAATCAATACTCAAGTAACTTTTGCCAAAAAACATCTCTAGTCATTGAGCTTCGGAAGATCATTTCCAACTTGGCAATGCAATTAGCTGTCCAAGACAAAATCAAAGCACGGATTGTTGCATATCAAAGTTTTCGAATCTACAAAACTTATCTGCATATATGTAAAGCTTGTTTGGTTCCTTACATTGTCCTGCCAAATTTAGCGAGGAAAGAAAATTTGAATAAATGGAATACTTGAAGGGTCGGGTTTAAAAGGAGAATCTTGAGATGAAAAGAAAATCTCAAGCAATGCATTTTAAATTGAAATCGACGCACAAAATTGATATTACAAAAAGTATGGCCCCATCTTCTGTTTCTTTTCCTTCCAATCTGCGATTTCGGCATCAATTCTCAGTTTTACACTAGCATGAAACCCTTGATATGGCTCATATCCAAAGACAGTTTGAAGAACCTGCATACAATAATTGAAAAATAAGTCCTCAAGCCATTCTCCAAGGAAAACAAAAAAAGCTCAAAACCGAGCAAGATGCAATGACTTGCCTCAAGCAAAACAAAGAAAGGAGCCATGAGAAAGGCTTGTACAAGATTGTCCAAAAGAGCTGGCGCTCGTTTCTGAAACAAAGTTGATCCAATTGAGAAAAAGCTTTTTCTACGGCCAAAGCAGAAGACATTTCCAAACTTGAAGGATATTCTCACCTCAAATACGCCATGTCCGAGGAATTGCCCTGTCCAGCAGAATAATTGAGCCGCAAGAACAACCTGAAGAGAGATATACCTTGTGAATGAGTATGAAAAAGATCGAGGAGGAGATGCAATTGCATTTTGATGTAACTTCGCTTTTAAATGACAAATTGTCCCCCTTCATAGCCAACTAATTAACCACCATACTTCAGGCAAATTTGCTGCAGCATATAAACTAATAACAGGCATGTCCCAACGTCAACCTTCCGAATTTACTCTTAGTTCCATCTCCTGATGGAAAAGAAGATGAGTAGTTTGAGCAAATTTTGACAAGGACATTCAGGAAACATGGTCGCTGTATGCCATAATTCTTGTTGTCCATTTTCCAAAACTACTGCATCCGACACTTAGGGTTGGTCACAAAACCCGACTTGATGAGGCTCACACAACTGTACTTGGTGAGGGTATCCAAGCAAATGAGTTCATGTAGGTTGGGCTCAACAACAAAATACCGGCACTTGAGATACCTATGTACAACTCAATGCTACCTAAGCAAGACAGGAAATCTCAATGTGATTGCACAAATGTCGCGTTGAAGATACTTATTCACCAGTCTTAGTGACCAGATCAAGTCACAATATACCCACATATCGAGATTATTAGCATCTTCAACCATTCCACGATTCAGCCAGGTATTGACTTCGGAGTTCTAATTCTATGGTTTAGAGTCAGAATCGTTTTTTTACTGTTTAAAATTCAAATATCAAAAGGAAAATAACTGCAGCAATACATAGTAAAAGCTTATAATGTTAACATAAGAAGAAATGAGGTATCTGGTCCCACAGAAATCATCATCAGTCGACTCAGGTCCAAGGATCCAGTTTCAAAATGGATACCCAACACATGGGTGTTTCCATTCGCGAATGTGCTTCCTATCAACCAAGAGTGATGATCTAACAGTTTTTCTCCCTCGTGATCCTCTCAAACTCTGCCCATTATGCAAATTCAGAAACTCAAGGCGTCCAAGGGACAAATTCACCATTTGTTCAATGCTTCTTCCCTTCCATGACATGGAAATCCACTTTAAATGAAAAACCTCACTAAAAGGTAATACGTGAGCCTAAAAATAGGTGGGTGGCCAAACACGAGATTGTTTGTACTTTAGTGGTGTTGAAAATCGAATTTACGTCATCCATCTAATCCAACTGTTTCTTGATCACTCCGTGAACTGAAAAATTAACCGAACAGAGAAGTTATTTTCCTAGAAGAAATTTTATCTTATTCTCTGGAACGGCCTATGTGGAATTGATGAGCTAGCTTTGAGTCCGATTAAACAACAATTTTTTTACAAGAATAGCATCACCAAACAAACAATTTGAGCCGACGCAAAACGACCTGTTCTCAACCAAAGGGTCAAACCAAAACTAATGCAAGTCCCTCCCACTAAACAGTTATCGATGGTGTCGGATAGATTCAAGAACTAATTATATCAGATATCAGAAATCTAAAAAAAGAGAAAAAAACTAAAAAGCGAGAGAAGAAATGCGATACCTTCCAAGCCAGGGAGAAACCAAGATAACTAGCGAGCCAGCTGGCCCCAACCCAGCACACCATACACAGCAAAGCAGCCAAAGAACCCGCTTTTATGTCCATGCACACATAGAAAACAGCATACAGGAGAGCGCAAAAGAAGCCCAAATTCAAGAACAGGCCATGTCTCGCCAAGAAACACTGGGGCTGAAAGTTGAAGAGCTGACAGATAGTGGGAGTGAAGTAGAGGAGGACGAGAGCAGTGAAGAAGATCGGCCAAACGGACACGGTGTGGATCAGAATGTTGACCGGGTTGCTGTGGTACGCCCCATAGGAGGCGAAATGCTTCTCAAGATCGAACAGCCCTTTCCTCCCCATGGAAGTTTTTCTCGAGAAAGGATTGGTTTTTCTCGGAAAGTCAGCGATGAAGATGAGAACTTTTCAAGGTGGGGGGTCATCTAATATAGAGAGAGCAGGCGATGGATTTCTTGAAAACCAAGAGCAGAAGAGACCCACCGGACTGCTTGCCAAGCTTCGGCCAAAGTCCGCCGGTTTGTGTCAACTGTCAAGGGTCAAGTAGTTATCCTGCGCACGGTTTGATTTTGCACGAGGAGGTTTTAATTTACGGTGTTCTCACTAGGTCCTAGGTTGTTGATCTTTAAATGCAAAACTTGAATAAAAATGAAAATACTAAAAAACAAAAAACAAAGGAATTGTTCCTATGCTGTCGATCTTTTAAATGCAAATTGAAATAAGAAAAGACTATATTAGCCAAAATATAGATTGAATACGAAAGAGGACCATTCGATTGTGAAGTTTATCGGTTAACGTTATTTCGTTTATGTAAATCTTTAACACATGGTGCAAGCTCGGAAAATTATGCTAGACTCTTGTAGTAAATTTATTGCTAAAAAATTGTAGGATTATGATGTTTAAATGTTTGTACCTTATCCCAACCAAAAAAATAAAATGTTTGTACCTTACAATAAATTCTTGAGAGTCTCATCCTTCACTAATGATTTTTGGCCAATTTTTTTTTTATTTCTATTTTCTGAGCGAGTTTCTGAATAGGAGTATGCGTTTGATAACAACACAAAATTTCTCTTCCATAAATAGAAATTTGTTTGATAGCAATACAAAATTTCTCCTTCTTACGTTTTTTTCCATTCATCAACGGGCAGAGGTTGACGGCTGGAAGCGAGCGGCTTCGGGAGGTTACTGCAAGCGGGGGTTGGCAGAGGCTGCAGTCAGCGGGGGGAGGCGGTGGTTGGTGAGTGGCGGCGAGAGTGGGCGATCGGCGGAAGGCCGCAGGGGATGGCGCTAGGAGGCAATGGCCGGTGAGGGGTGGCGGCAGGAGGCGGTTACCAGTGAGGGGTAGCGGCGACTATATGCGGCGGGAGGTGAGGGCGAGTGATGAGAAGAGTTTTTATTTCTCTTTTTGTTCAAGAAATAAAAAAAGTATAAGATTTTTACTTTGCATTTCTGTTCCAAATCTATTTCTAGACTAAAAATTTGTTCTAGAAATAGAAAAACAAAATTGCGTTACCAAACGGATTCTGTTCCAAACCTGTTCCCGAGAACAGAAAAATAGAAAAAAGAAAAAACGAATGGTTATCATGTGTGCCTTAAAAGTACACGTCCTATTCATAATATAGTAGCTGATCTGACTGGGTTGTGTGATAGTTGTAGCTATCACATCAATGACCGTAACTCATTGTATTGCTCTCTATTATAGAATAATGAATCCTTTCCCAAAAGTAATAAGATGAATTGGGATTTATTACGTAGACATGAGCTTCCTAGGGATTATTCTCTTGGCCATTTGAACTACGTTAACCATTAGGCTTTTCTCTTCTCTTCTTTTATCTCTCTTCTATACACGATCATCATTAAAACTTGGTAGAGCGGAACACGATCCTAAGGTTGGCTTCAGTGTCAATCCTTCCGCTTGCCAGTTGGTGATTGAGAACCCGAGTTCTTTATTGTTATCACGATAGTGCACTGCCAGTAGCTCGTTGTGAATTGTTTTTTGCAAGTTCAGAAGGTTACGACATACTCTTGTAGTAAATTTATCACTAAAAATGATTTCGTTCGATTGTACAATTATGATGTTTAAATGTTTGTATCTTACAACAAATTCTTAAGGCTTTCCTTCTTTGCTAAAAGTACATATAAGAATATGAATTAACCATATATGGATAATACCCAAAAATAATAAAAAATATGAGAAGGAAAGCCAAGAAACAGCAACATTTCGAGAGTAACAGATTGCATCAAATCTTTTGTGGGACTAATGGAACGCTCATTCGTCGGCGAGCCTACCCTCCCGTGACTTTATCCACAAAAAAGTCGCCGACGCCTTTATCAGCCATTAGAAATAAGTTCGTCAACATCGACCATTGTCAATTGTTCAAATTAAAAGCTTGCTAATGCCGACCGTCAGATTAGGGACACGATAAATTTACCTTGATTTTGCTCACGTGAGGGTAGAGAGGCCCCATTTTCTCCCACGAGAAGGAATGCTCGTTTGGTTCCTTCATTGTCCTACCATATTTAGTGAGGAAAGAAAAATTGAATAAGTGAAATAACTTACGGGCCGAGGTTTAAAAAGGAGAGAATCTTGAGATAAAAAGAAAATCTCCAGCAATGCTTTTTATATTAAAATTGATTCAGAAATTTGATATACCAAGGGACGCATAGGAATGTAAGTCGACATTCGTATCCAACAACGATCAAGAATTAGTTCGCATCTCTTAGTAAATCAATTTTAGAACTACTCAAAAGATCATTATTGATCAAGGAGCTTTTACTATGGGGTTTAGGTCTATTGAGGGATGGGTTCGTTGACGTAATTGGGCTTGTCCAGTACGAACGGCCCAACCCATTGCAGTAGAGGCCCAGTCCAAACCAAAAAATTTTTTACAAAAAAATGGCCCATGCAGGTCTCGAACCTGCGACCTTCGCGTTATTAGCACGACGCTCTAACCAACTGAGCTAATAGGCCTTTTTTGATGTGATTGTTAAGATTACAAAATTTACTAAAAATCTCCATAGTAGTTGTACGAAAAACTTGTCGCTTAGAAGTGTTCAATTCCGGGGTTGGCCAACTCCTACCCTAGATACAGGAACTTGCACAGAAAGGTCGGTTCTCGGTGTGTCGAACCGGAAACCGGCCCACCTTGTCCTGGATGGAAACTTTCGGTTTCCAATTTATGGAATAGGGAATCAGTCCACCTTGTCCTGAATGACCGACCGGTCGAATTCTCGAATGAGTTCAGAAATTGGCATGATTTCTCAATGCAACATCAGAACCAGATTTATATTGGTTCGGTCAGATTCCCATGCTCATCCCCTAGTGGCGCCCCCAAGTCACGGTCATTGTTGCAAAATCTCAACGCTACTTGTAAAAGTAACTGAGGAAATTCATAATGTTTGACTAGTCCAAATGAAACGCACCACCTTAAAATTGACCCAGAGGGCCAGAGCTAGAGAATTCACAAGATCAACACGAAATGGAATGATATAGCACTCTAAAAGAAAGTTACAAGGTATATTGACCGGACTGTCGTCCTTTGTACATTTACCAATCACCAAAGTCGATCATTTGTAATACAAATGTAAGCGCAAACATTACAATTCAAGAAAGGAACTTCTCTTGGACCGAATCAGGTCCGTCACAAATCGCTTTCTTGTTCGTGATTTCTTCTTGCACCGTCGGCTGGAACATCAGGGACTACATTCCGAACCCCTCGGGCGGGATGGTTCGACACTTGAAGCAAACGTGCGATGTGGATCTGCATTGAGATATATTGTATCCCAAACATCTGGTTCACAGCATCAAAGATGACAGATTAAACAGGAAGAAATCTCAAGCCTTCATTCTTATACCAATGGAACAGCTCATTTCACGAGGTGGCCTTTCGGAGCCCAGCCGGTCTGAGGACTAGGCTACGACGAATACGCCCCCTTTCAAATCTCCGTTCTTTTGGAAGCAATCATCAGGCTTAAAAAACATCACACGAAATCTGAAAGAACAAGGAAAGTTCGCCATCGCGAGAATTGTGCTATTGCAACAGCTCAATTTCTCAGCAATGGCATACCCATTTCCCATTGCTGTCTGACTATTTAAATGCCTAGTTCAAACTAGCTCAGAGAAGCAAATATTCAATTCAAACACAAGGATGAACTCCAATTGAGACTCCATAAAAAGAAAACTTTAGCCTCTGAACAATGCATTTCTCAAGAGATGTTGTGAGAATTCAAAACGAACAGTAATTGCCTCAGAGGTAGTGACAATTTTGCAGATCATCACGCTGTGATCTGATAATACGTGCATCAAAATGCATCATTGGCAATCGATGTTGCAATTAATAGACGAATAAATAAATGAACAGGGCATCAAAGAGATTCCCAAAGACAAATCATCATACTCGCAGTGAGTGCTGATGTCCCTGTCTGTTTTTCTCATCACTTGCACAACAAAAAAAGAAAAAGGAGAAACTTTCAAAACAAGAACATATTCCAAGAAGATTAGAAAAGAGGAGCCATATGAGTCACTAGATTAAGTGTAGTATGTTCTCATCAGATAGCCATTAAAGCATTCAAGAAAAGACAAGAGGCCTCATATTAAGAACGAAAATCCTAATCACAGAAAGATTCATTGTAATTCGAGGGCATATACATGGAGGATAGTTCATCTCAGGCCCCCCATAAAAGCTGATTGCGACCCAACATCTACCGGCATTGTCATTGCACAAGTACAGAAGTTGCAGTTCAAACAGACAAGAATGCACACCACCAAGCCAAAGTCTAATACTACAACAATCATGGCAAAACAGTTCAGGAGTGGAATAATAGGAACCTAACAAAACATAGAAATCACTCGAATTGATTCATCAGAACCACACATCTTCACGATAGTCATGTTAGAAAGTTCACACATCATGGGAAACCACAAAAACAGCTCAGGGACACAAGAGACCATAAAACGGAGAAAAAGCCATTAGATAGCACAGGAACATGATTAAAACAAGAAACGCTGAAAAATGCATCAGAGAGATTCCCAACTAGACGAAGTCACCATCCTCCATAGGAGTGCTGATGTCCCTGTCTGTTTTTTCATCATTTGCACAAACCTTCACGTTTCTTGCATCACAGCGTAGCATCAAAAACGAGAATCCGAAACTTACAAACGAAAACAAGATCTAGAAATAGATCAACATGCAGAGCTCACTGAAATGCCTCAGCTGTAAGTTCTTTTCAAAGAGAAGGAATCTCTCAAAGTATATTTAGAACCATCACCGGCAGAGACCCAGATAAAAAATTTCGACACTCGATGCTTGAAAACTGATTCACTCGGACAAGAACGGCGAGAATCAAATGCCCAACGAGCCTAAAAATCCAAACTTTCGAAAATCAGATGCCCAATGAGACTAAAAATCCAAACTTTCTTCTCATAATGACAAATTGATCAGACACCCACATAAAAATTTTCGACACTCGACGCTTGGAAACTGATTCACTCGGACAAGAACGGCGAGAAATCAAAAGCCCAATGAG